TTTTTTTTTCGGGATACCGCGAATGAAGTGAGAAGTGAGAAGTGTGGTTCCACATCTCCAGGGCGCTCTGACCCACAACACATGGACGTTATATAAAAAAGAAGCCCGTATCGAGCACAAAAAGAAAAAAAGAAAAAAAAACAACACACACACAGAACGAACGTAATATCGTATACTGAGTAATAAAAACGGAAAAAAAATAATAACAACAATAATAATGAAAACACGTTTGTACGGATGTAATATAAAAAACTGACATCTTTGCGCATTTCGTGTGCGCTGCCGCCTGCCCCCCACTCACGCACACCTCACCACGAGTGAACCAACAACAACAATAACAACAATGAAAAATTCTTATTTAGAGATATAAAGAAAAAAATTGCAACAGTGAAACTCGACGTGTCATCCCCTTGAGAATGGTTCTTAAAATGATTTTTCTTTTTCTTTTTTTTTTTTTTCACTCTTTGCTGATCAATTGAAGTACTTCTTTTTCTTTTTTCTCGTTTGAATCGTTTCTCGATACGATCTCGCAATCCACCAATCGCTTTGCGCTCAACGCATCCATGTGCTACAGGTCAGTACAGGCTAGTACTATATACAGCTATCAGATTTCACTCTTATTTTCCTTTCGTGTTTCAGAGGGCGACTTTTTTTTTTACCGTTCTACGAGAGAAGATATTACGTACTTGGAACGAATTTTAAAAACGAAAGAAAGAAAAAAAAAAAAAAACAAAAAAGAAAAGAAAGAAACGAAAAGAAATTGAACATTGTTTCATCGGGAATTCAGGAAACCGTTAAGTATATCACAAACATTGTGTTCCACAATATACAGTGTAGCATTCGTTTTTTTTTTTTTTGTTTTTTTTATATATTAGAAACACGAAAAAGTAGGTCGAAATTGCAATTATCATGTTATTATGCAATATATGCATTCGTGTTAGTTTCTCAGTTTGTCGTTTCTTTTTTTTTTTAAATTGTGCGCGTGTGCGCGCGCGCGCGCGCGCGCGTGTGTGTGTGTGTGTGTCGTCAGTGTCATTGGTGTTAATATTAGCAACTTGTACAGTAATGAAGTGTTAAAGCGACGTTAAAGACAGACGTTTCAGTTGCATACATACACTTGCCGTGAAAGCAACGAAATGTAAACATTTCCTGTTTGTATGTTAAAGTGAATATATATATCGCACAAATTATGATGGCACAAAAAAGAAGAAAAAAAAAAGGACGAAAACTACTCAGCTGTTTCCGAGTACAAATTAGTCTAGGGTGAGTTGAACAGTTAAACACGTGAAAACATCAGGACATTCATCGACGTATAATGCAATGTGAAACACAAGTGGCATGTGACATATTACTGTGTCAGGCCAAAAAGAAAAAAAAAAAGAACAAAAAAAAAAAAAAAAAAAAAAAAAAACAAAGATCGATCACGTGAAGATACAGATTTAAAAAAAAAAAAAAACAAAAACAAAGACAAAGTGTATATATGAAAACAGATAGTCATATATATAATGTCTAGTAGCCAGCACCCTGCGGATTTGAACGCAAATAAAAAAGAAAAACGCAATATTCTCAGTGTAACAGGTTTACATTTATTGTCTCGATCTCCCCTAGTTTAGGCATATATTAATAAATGTAATTATCCATTTTGCCATTCATTTACGTGGCTTACAACGTGGGGCTGTATTAAAAGTAAATCGACGATTTTCTTTTAAAAGTACCATTATATACACCGCGCATAGTACACCGATATATATGTATACGCCCTGTGCGTCTCTATACACCTATAATGCGTGTGTACTACGCATATGTATGTGTATATATACATATATGTGTGTATATATATATATATATATATATATATATATATATTCATTCGAAGCACGCTTTTTCTTCGAAATTTGAGTCGTGTTACAAGCAACGAAAGGGCTACTACAATTCCACAGTTTTACTCGAGATCTCGTTTTGGCCTTGTATCTTCGAACCCTGACCAACTTCTCAACAGACAAATTATAAACGAAACGTATTTCCTTTCGTATATGCATTGTTGTACTTTGTGAAACTTCGCAGCCGATGAAAAACGTATGCATTTAAAAAAGTTGGTACAAGCGGATGGGTCTAGCAATCTTTCGTTGTATTACTTTTATATATACATATGTATATATATATATACATACACATATATATATACATATATATGTATGTGTGTGTGCACTTTCTTCTTTTCTCTCCTAATTTAAAAGTACGCATCAATTTCATTGTCACAGTGAATACTCCGGAACAACGGCAAGCAGGCAGTCATATATTCAGTAACTTTTCACAAAACATCGAAGTGTTAAAGATACGATGCAATGACAGTCTTCTTCTACCACGAAGTCTCAGCTCTTTTTTTTTTTTTCTTTTCTTTTCTTTCTTTCCCTCCCGTTCTTACCGCATTCTCGACTCGGCAAAACAAACAGCAGGGCATCACACGCAATGTATATGTATGTAGCGTATACGGTCCGACTAGCGTTCACCGACTGTTTTCGTGTCGCGGAAAAAAAAAGAAAAAGAAATACAGAACAACGAAATATGCCGGAACTATTTGCACCCGATGATGTGTCGCTATTTCTTTCGTTCCTATTGTCACTATTCTTTTCATCGTCTTAAAGTATAGTGTCATAAATATCGAAATTGCATATTTCTAAAAATATTGTATAAATATATATTATATATATGTATAAGTATGTATGTATGTATGTATGTATGTATGTATGTATGTAAATATAAAAGAGAGAAAATATATGAGACTAAATAGTAATAAAAAGCATGGCGTGTATCAAAGAAAAGAGAAAATAAAAATAAGAATAATAATAATAGTAATAGTAATAATAATAATTATAACAATAAAGAAATTTCTTCGAGAAATCACAATGATTATATACGTATATATATATATATATATATATATATATATATATATATATACATATATGTATATGTATATATATGTATATATATTAAAAAAGACTTGCGTTTGATCATCCTCGAGACCATATAATCGATCTTGCCGGTGCTCAGAGCATACACTTGCAATATTGTCGCTCACTCTCCCTCCCTCTCTCTCCCTCTCTCTCGCTCTCTCTCTTTCTCTCCTCTTTCCTCGTTTTACATAATTCGAAAAAATTATCACACACAACACCTTTTGCCTTTTTTCTTTTTCTTTTTTTTTCTCTTTTTTCTCTTTCTTCAATAGTTAATTTAAAAAAAACACAACTAACAGCAGCACAGCATAGTCCGGTACTGACCTATAACCATTACGGACGGATGGATTCCGGAAGGTTCGCACGATATATATATATATTTTTCTCTTCGTTATCGGGCCCTTAGTATTATCTTTTCTTTTTTTTTCTGCTCTCTTTCTTTGCATCTTTCATGTTTACAGTCGTTTCATGTTAGGTTCAGTACTTATATAATCGTCTATGATTCTTTACTCCATACAAAAATAATTAATTATATATATATCGCCCTAATATATTGCCATGCGTACGTTATATATATATATATATATATATATATATATATATATATATATATAACATTCTCCTTTATACTTCTTTTTTTCTTTTCACTCTCAAGTACTTTTTCTCGTTAAGTCAATCGCAAACACCATTCGCTTCGCAATACTCGCTGCAATACCGTTAGGAAAAGGAAGTCAATGGCGAGGAACTTACTACGAAACGCCGTTTTCGATGTCACTTCGATGTTTGAAATTAATTCCTAATAGGAACTCGATCGCGAAACAAGTGTGTGCGTGTACGTGTACGTGTGTGTGTGCGGAATTGCAGAATATTCGAACCGTGTCGAAGGAAACATTATTCGACGGAGCAAATGATGAAGAAGAAAAAATGAAATGCACCGGGTTACGCCCCCGTGTGTCCGCATTAAGTAAACAAAACAAAGAACCGCCATTTTCGAAACACGGACCGGTCCGTGATTGGCGTGACTAGATTTGTACGCGTTTTATTAAGCTTTCTGCTCCACCAAGGACAGGTTAACACATTAAAATACACAATGGTATCTACATTCGTTTTCCAAACAAGGCACTAGCGGAAATGATCCATTAATTCTAATTAGTTGCGTGGTACGTACTCGCGCGAGGTATTGCGACGCCAATGGCCTGCGATACAAGATGGTGCAAGCAAACTTTGCTTCTCTATCGATATATATATATATAGTGAATTCTGAGCAAACAGTGGAGGGATTCGGTCTGTGAGCTCGGCTAATTTAATCACCTCATTACAGAGTTTCGTCGTTTCAATAAAAAAAAAAAAAAAAAAAAAAAAAAAAAAAAAAAATAAAAGAAATGAATCTGATTCGATTCTTCAGAGAAATAATAGACAACTGTGTGTCTACATTATGTCCGTTGTCGCATGACAACGATCGTCCGAATAAATAAACAAAAACTCGTGGCTCGACACCGTTGTGAAAATTTTAAAAAACGAAATTCGTTCGAATTCGTCAGTCGCGTATTTCGCAAAAAAGTGAGGTTAAAAAAGAAAAAGTTCTTTCTCTCTTTTCGTTCGACGACTGTCACGTCTTACCTGTTATGAAACTTAAAGTACAAGTGTATAGCATTATTTTCTAACCTAATACTGCTTAGAAATCCAAACTCTATAATAGGATGAAAAATAAGCCAGTTTAGCTAGCGACGAGCTAGCGATGCAATTAAAGAAGGAAGAGAGAGACACTAGCTGAAATAAGAATTTAAAAAAAAAAAAAGAGANAAAAAAAAAAAAACAAAAAAAAAAAAAAAAGAAAAAAAAAAGGATATCGATATATTGTCGACAGTAAAACGTATAGAAATAAATCGTATTTAAAAAATAAAAATAAAAAAAAAAAAAAAAACCTAGTCTGCAACCTCGTGAGTATTTAGCAAAGAGAGAAGCATATACATGTATACCAACATGTATATATACATATATATACTTCCAAATATTTATATATAGTGTATTTTGCGCGCGCGCGCATGTTATAAATGATTCAAGTATCATAGTCGTAGTAATAGCGTAATGAGCACTTAAATGCTAACCTAACTGATTAGGAGCGTTTAACGAACGCAAGTTGAGATACGTCGACGCGAATGTATGTATTTTTTTTCTTTTTTTTTTTTTCATTTTTTTTTCTCCGTTTCCGTTTTTCTTTTCCGTTCTCTATCTGGTCACGAGCGAATAATTGTGGCTTGACCCATTGACGAAAACCGTTACGAACCGCGTTACCACGTGACGATTGTACGTGATATATATGTATATATAAAACTCAGGGTTTTGCGTATGATCCTTTTCCACATTGCATGATTAACCGGGAAATCTACGGCATCTACGAACTCGGGGCTGGATCCAAGGCGACTTGATTTTTTAAAAAAACTGTCGGGAATACAGAAGGCGCACGTGCAAGATTACTTGATTATCTTTTCAATTCAGAATCCTACTCGCAATCGCGATATAACAACGCAAGGTTAAAAAAAAAAGAAGAAAAAAAAAATACCGTCTGTGCGCGCTCGTTAAAGAAATCGATTATTTTGTATTATACATATGACACATCCCGCAAGGCGTATCGTATTTGAAAAACATTTATAATAAATAATTACTATATATTACACCTCCGAAATATTTACTATAACAAAGAACTATCACAGAATTATAAAATAGGAATATATATACACATTTCTTTTGACATTTGTCGTGATGTATTCTTATGAACTCAAGTTTTATATTTTCTTAAATGTGATTGAAAATTTTGTACAAAGAAGAGTTAACACGCGGACAAATGAATATTGACAAATGATGTAACAAATTTGCTAATGGAAGTTGAGTCTGTTTTCATTACTAAACTTAACCGAAGGTAAAGAAATATTGAATTTCGCTTAAATTTCTCTACTATGGTATACGATACACCTTATGGAAAATATTCTATATATTATTGTATGAAAGTTGATTCATACTCTTTTGTAGATGTAAAGTGGGTAGAAAATGTTTTGACGCATTCTATTGCAACAGACACCAGAGCATGATCTTCCTAACATTACACATTGTCTTTAATAAAACAATCTGTAACTTATAGAATTCTTATGGAATTTTATTATCAATGTTTGATCGTTTTAGATAATAGACATTTCGTTTCATCAAATTGAAAGTCTCAATTCAGTAAATAAAAAAAGTTTCTTAAATGCTTCACGATTTTTATACCCACTTTAGGTTTGCATCATTAGTCATACTGTTAGTATGATTATAGTTAGACACAATCTGAGCCAAACAGTTATAACATTAGATGCAAATGGGTAGTTTAAATTAAATTTCCCAAGAAGCCTAAATGATTAAACAAGGACACTTCGAATATTTGTCAAATATTGACTTTTTAGATTAAGCATTAACTAGGTGGTTGGAGTAAGCTTGAGGATAAGCCCTCTAAATTTAATAAGACCCAAATTACTTTAATAGAATAATTAACTAATTGACGCATTGATGAAAGCACCTGAATCTGTTAATTGCTGAATAATTAGAAGAAAAATCCAGTTATAACATGGACTTATATCTCCAACCAAGAATATCAAGAGTGAAAATTAACGCAAGTTTCTCTTTTAATTAATATCTTTTCGAAAGTATCTGTCAATATAAGTTCAATCATTTATACAGAGAAGGAAACGATAGCATATAAGTCCATATTAACACGTCGAGTGACTGTCATAGGGAGTTGTTACGAAAAACTTACTAATACTTACATTTTCTCCAGGTCCTCCGAAACCACCCAAATTATAATCTCCCATTCCACTTCCACTATCTTCCCGTGGTGTTCCCGGACCGCCATTAGCTGGACTGTTTTTCATTCCATCGAGGCCATCACCATTCAGCACGGGACCCATCGTATTCGGTCCCATAGGACCCATCGGACCACCTTCTGGCCCACCGCTCATTGGAAAGTCCTGATATATTCGAACAAATTATTGTTATCATATCTCTGTTACAAATGCTATTACTTGTCTAAATCTAAATATTATTCTAAATGAGTCTGATTTGATATCACTGAACGTTATTCCCATTATTCTCAAAAGTAGCAAATATATGATTACTTACACCAGGCATATTTCCTCCAGGTACAGGTTTCATCATGGTATACATGTTTTCGCCACCACTATTACTACTATCTTGCGGGCTGGGCATAATTGGTGTACCTGGGCCTGGAGGACCTGTTGAACCAGGTGGTCCCCCATAATTACCCGGTGACGATGATGAATAATTCATCGGCTAAAATAAAAATCCATTTTCGCATTATAATTTAAACATCCGACTAATTCTATCATCGGCAATATATGTATATATAAAGACATGTGTAAAAGATAAAAGTGTACGCAATAATGTTGTGTCACTGCACATTTTATAATTGAAATGGACATGGATTTTTTTCAACGTGAAACATGGATCATGATCGTACCGTTGACGTATTAGGTTGCCACTGTTGTCTACCACTTGGTCCAGCCATACTCATTGGAGGCATGCCGGGACCTCCTGGACCTCCTGGACCCAAACTACTGTTAGGAGGTGGTCCTCTCATTCCAGGCCCGTAACTTCCAGGTCCCATTGGGCCCATCCCTGGTCCTCGTGGAGGATTCATCCTTGGGTTCATGGGATTCATGCCTGGAGGAGCTAGCAATAAAAATAATTTTTGATGCATTTTTCTAGAGACACAGGTATTAATATTGTTTTATGTTAATACTCTAAACGCTAATCGTGAATCTCTAGATCAACGGCAAATCATGTGGCTGTTCAAATATTTCAATGACAATGTGAGAAAGACTTTCAATTTATAGTTTTATTCTTTCATTTATTTGGTTTTTTAATACAGAATATTAAAAAACTCGAATCATGCTTTGCCGAAGTCAAGTGTAATACTTAAGCAAGTGGACGGCATGCTAAATTGGTAATTTGCATCTACACAAATTAATAAAGTAACAAAGCTCATGCGAAGGATGAAAAAACAGCACTACTAAATAATTTTTACAAACGTTTGAGCTCTTAATTTAACAACGAAAAGATAAAACAATGCTATATATGCCAGATACATGACAAACAAGACAATCATTCAAATGATGCCTAATAAAAAGGATTGTGATATCATACAGCAATAATTTTAATGAATGAATTCTTTTCATATTTTTCTTTTCTGAAGTCGCATGAAACTTTCTTTTTTAAATGTTTTGAATGGGAGAAAGTAACTACGTTGCAGTGCATTAATATTGTATGTTAAGTTTATGCTACAATGATTGACAATGACAATAAACAGACAAATTTTGTTAGCCACAAAATCATTGCACATAAATGCAATGAAAACGGATAAACTATATGTTAAAATGATGTTAAAACTTGCAACTATCTATATCTCTGTTAATGTCTCACGTATAAAAATGTAGAATCTTTCCAAGTATGAACATTTTTTATAAATACAGAAAACTGTTCTCACAGCAAAGTTGAATACATTGTTTTTAATATATATAATAAATTACCATTGACATGTTTAATGCAAGATCGGGTGAGCAAGTGTCGCACAAAAGAAACGAAGCTAGTGCGTTTATTTGTAAAATGTGAGAACAGAAACTTCAAAACGAGCAGGAGAAAAAAATAAAAGTTAGGCTTGACTAAGTCATGTGAGTGTGATTTGGTTGCTGGGTTGCTTCCTACCTTGCCACCCTACAAATTCTCCAGCTTCGCCTGAGGAACACAAGAGCACACATTAGTACGGCAGGTAGGTAAGGTCAGGTTGATGGCGGTAAGGTCTAGTTACTTTGCAGTCGCATAGTGAATGAAATTGTAAATATTACTTCAATGCTCTCATGAAAATACATCGTTACAGCCGATAAACTGGATTATGTACTGAGATATTAATTCGACAAAAATTATTTTTAAATTCTTAGAATTAAATAATAGTTCTGTTGGACTTTATTACTAGTATGCTTACTTGTGTGATGCGATAAGAGTATCGAAAATCATTTAGAAAAATATTTCCATTCAATATTTTATTCTGAATTATATATTCAGAGAAAAATGCAGAAAAAAGGAATATCTTATTTACGATATCTTCGAACTAAAAACTGTTTAAATAAACATAATAACTATGGGGAATTATATGTAAAACGTCACATTATTGTTAAAATAATCTAATCGTCGTTCAAAACATCAAATTTATACCTTTATCTTGAATGCAAAAGAAGAATGCAAAAGCATTTTACTTATACACAGACTTATAAATATAAATATATAATGCTAACTATAATGGTTTAAATTGAAAACTACACCACTGCACGTAACTAGACAATTCAAAAACCAATCCACTCCACATCACAGCAATCCAATCCACTTTTAATAATTACTGATTTATTTATTGCTGTGTGGTTTTTGGTATGCATGCGTCTATGCCATTCTCCTCTCGCAATTATTGTCAATGCCAGAAAAAAAAAAATCAATGTGAATCTAGCATATAATTGAGCCCTTACCTTGCCTAGTTGGATCCATACTATTTGGCATCATTGGTTGTCCAGGTGGCTGAATAAAAACATCACAGTCATAATGTCAATAAGTGTCTCAAATCGTAGTTTATTTGTACATTTAATAGCTTGATCTATCAATAAAATAATAATACATACCCCGTTAAAGTCATTTCCCATTTGTGGCATACGTACTCCGGGTCTTGGTCCAGCGGGATACCGAGGACCCATAAACTGTAACAAGTCAAAAATTTACATATTAAGCAAGTGACAGTTTCCAGAGTTTTTTCTTTTTTCTTTTTCTTTTTAAATCCCCGGATATGTTATAACAATCGTATATCACAAAACCGACACACCAGGCAGCCGCAACAAGCAATTGGTCACATATTAGGCCATATAACTTATGCACTCTGATGGAAATCATCATAGTGCACTTGACAAATGTGTTATATTAATGTGCAAATAGGATTGCAAACAATAGGAGTTTATATTCAACAAAGAACAGATTAAAGTAAATCGAAGTGTGATGTGCATTTAACACAATTCTTACCTTAAAATAAGTCCATTATAAACAGAAATAATAACCGACACACTTTTTCTTTTTTTACACTATACAACACTAAAAAAAAAAAAAAAACCTTTTCCCTTACCTTAGACGCATCTCTGCTGTTACACACATTCAATAAAACTATTTTGTTTCTCTCTTAAGTATAATATTGTGAAATCATGTATCAATCGTCAAATGTATTTAAGTGTAGGAAAAAAAGAAGACAGACAATTTGTGCTTGCAGCACAAATTGTAATTCGTGACCATTTCAATGAATCCTGTTTGTATGTTCTATATAATATTGTACTTGAAGAACGGTGGGCTGAAGATTGTACAGTAGAAATAACTTTGGTAGGAAAAGAAGCGATTTCGAGCAAACAGTCATAGGTACACGATGATATGGTAATGAGAGTGGATTGAGTGATTCTCCATGAGTGACAGTGTATGTGTGTCGAATGAGGCTTACCTGAGTGGACATCATCTGCGAGTGTGGAGGCGGGGGTGGCTGGGGGTGCTGGGGGGATGGCTGTGATGAGGGGTGTGTGGGCGGAGATGGTCGCATTGTAGAGTTGTTCTGCAACAAGCAACGCAAACGACAGACATGTAGCAACACTGCGATCCAGGCAACAGCTAGACTAGAAGGCTTGGGTATGATATTGTGTTAATACTATGTTGGTCAGCACCTTAAAAATCTAGAAGTTATAATTACGAAAATATACGATTATGAATAAACATTATTTCGTAATTACGACTTTATACGCGAAGTAAAATTTAATACTGAATACCTGAGGGCATCTTCCCTTCCCCCCTCCCCCCTTCCCTTGCGTTTTACTTTGAAACAAAATTTTTATAATAATAAAAAAAAAAAGATAATACATTTTTCAAGGATATATACAGATATATCAAAATGAAATCACAATGTTTCTATCTGAACTTGTAGATCGTTATCCTAAAATGATTCAGAGGACAGTAAATGTTCGGACAAGCAAAATATATGCATAACTAGAGACTCTTCTTCACCTACTTATATATTGTTGTTCAGATGGAATAGTAAGCGGTCAACGAGAACATATTCTTCTCATAAAACGATTTAGCTATTCGTTTGTACAAAGTACTGTGTTTTTAGTTCCTAAGGACATACTTATCATATTACATGAAACATGTGTATGATACACAGAGATATAAAACAAATCTTTGTCATAATATAAAAGACGGTCGTATGTTGTATTTTCATTAAATTCGTAGACCGCTTGTACTGAATGCTAGACTACTATCTAAGCAGGCTTTTATGTTAGATATTGAAAATCCTAAAAAGTGCGACCCCAGCTGACATTCTTTTACCTTTTATGTAAGTGCGTTGTAGTATTAAGAATTATAAGAAATATACCTGTCTTAGAATATTACTCTATGAGTAAGTACATGCTTTCATTTATAGAGCTCGGATTAAAAATTGTGACACTAAGATATCAAGGTAAATGAGAGAAGTAAATAATAAATTGAGTAAAAGAACAAACTGTAATTCGATAAATGTTGCTAATAATCTATTATTACGAAACAATTGCGATGTTTTTGCACAGAACCAGAGTCAGCACAAGGTGGAACACTGTCAATGATAGATTTGCTATATAAAATTATTGAAACTAAGGCTATTCTCTAACATCTATACAAAACTTTTCCTGGTAAATTTCTGAAATCTGCTTTATGCAGAAAGGAGATCAGAAAGTGAAAATGATAGAGGAACGCACATACAAGTGTTAGATACATAGCAGAGAGAAAATAAGTACATAGATACAGTATAGACAAGCATGGCATAAGAATCTTATTGAAATGTACACTTGTTTCAAAACCAATGTATGTTTCAACTGTGTACATTTACAGTAATCAGATGAACGAACTTCTACAGGATTGTGGCATTATGTGTAAAAGATACTAATGTCTGATTATATACACATATTGACTAGGATATAACAGATTTTCTACATGTAACATATAAATTACTATCATAGAATTATTTTAGTCAATAAAATCATATTTATATATCATAAATAATTAATTACGCATTATTATTTCATATTCATGTATTACTAGGCTGTATTTACTAACAGTGTAAAGTTATTAACAATTTAATCAAAGATTACTAGAATGAAATAACATCAGTGAATCATTTAAATTAATAACAGTCAGTAACAATATTTATAATGTTGTTTTACTTACTAACGTTTGTCATACTTAGTACATTTAATAAAATATTAGGAGCTTTGAATCAAGTGTAAAATTATAATGCATGAGAATTGTAACTAGGCATAACAATGATAACAGATATTCATATATTTATGTATGTATATACATATAAATATTGTGATATGTGTTTATATACAGTTAACATGTTTGATTTCTCTATAACAAAAATTGGAAAGATCAGAATATTTTTGTTCCTTTCAGAAAAACTAAGTTTAAAAACTTTTAATAGTGTATTTCAATTTACGTTATACGTAAGTGTAGTAGTAAAGTTGTGTGTAGTAAAAACATTTTTTTTTTGTTTATTCACCCGTCTCTTCTCTCTTGAAAGGCATATACACACAATGCATGTGTATATGTACATTTAGACATAGAAGGCATGTTTAACTTATTAATTGTAATATAAATTATAGAAGAATTTGGAAATTCATAGTTACTTTTTTTTTAAAACATGAGAAGATTGTTAATAAACGTTATCTATTACAAAAAATAATTTTTTATTTGCACTTAAACAAGAGAATATAAAAGTAATAATTCATTAACAAAACGTATAAACATATAAACATATAAACAAATAAACATATAGACAAAACAAAACATATAAACAAAATAATTCGAAATCATTTGAATATTCTTTAATTTTTTCAATTCTCAAGATGAAATTAAGTAAAATAAGATTGTTATCAGTATAAAGATGTAAAACAAACTTACTGGAAAAAAAGCTGGAGGCATTGGACCACCGGGCATACCATCATTGGGTGGCATTTGTCCTATGGGAGAAGGCGCTGGACCAGCATTCTGTAATCATCTGATAATTATCTAACAGTCAAATTTTAACATCTAATAATTAATTAACCAGTTTAATACAAATTTCACATGCAAAGTCTAGTAAAAATCTTTGTTATATACATATGAAATTAAATTGTAATGCATGATAAAATACTATAAATGATTTATAAGTATCAAAATACAATTCAACTTACATGAGCAATGCCATTAACACCATAACCACTGTTCACAAAACCCTGATAACAAAAAAGTAATTTTTTATACCAAACTGACAGACAAATTGTCCACAAACATGTGTTTAGTAGCAATGTGATAAGTATTAATCCTCCATTGTCATGAAAAATAAGAAACATGTCTGTGGACAAATGACAAATGAAATACGTAAATGAACAATATTCTTCATTCTTTACATTGCAGTTTTTATGCAATAAACATGTTATATTTGTGTATTGTATTAATTATATTTTTTATCTTCTTTTATTTCCATTATTATATTTTCTTTCATTCGATTATTATATTGTATTCCATTATATCTCTGTATATTATGTTATAGCTCTTATGTACTCTATTTCTTGCAAATAAGAAAACGTAAAGCATCCAGATCAAATCAGATATCTATACAAATTTTTCTATCTCTAATCTAGAATCTTTTAGACTTAATTCTCATATTGATATCTGATTAAAAATCTAGTCTCCACAATCATATATTAACCTTTTGTTTTCTTTTTCACAAATTTAAGAATAATATATGCTCTAGAAACCATGATAGCAATCTGACTCAATGAAATGATTGGGAACAATTAGATACATGACATTGTCTATAGACAACATACATTGTCTGGTAATATCATTGGATTATCTACAGGCAATGCCAAGTTTTTTTATACATTTATATCATGTAACTTATAGTTTCATCATATCTAGTAATAATAAAACTATACTAACATAATCATGGAAAGCTTTGGCTTCACTGCTATGTTCACAGGAGTCCCTTCGTTCTGGTGCCGCTGAATATAAGTCCCAAAATACACTAAAATGTTTGAAATTGATTATTTTCTATGCATATGAACGTGAAGAATATACATTGAATTGCGATATTCTCCAATAAAAATATTACCTTGTTACTTTTTGTAGTAGAAAAATAAAATAATAAGTAAATAGTGCTTACCACCACCAAGAATGCAAAAATCCAGGTGGTTCGCCAAGAGTAATATTTTTTTCCCACCGTATCTATGCAACAGAGTAAGATATAATTAAAGCAACAATATACATACACAATTATCCTTTTCGCAGGTTTTGTCATTGAATTATTAAAAATTGAAAATTATTACCTCTGACAGAAATGTCTGTGCTGCCTTTTGTGCGCCAACATGCAGTAGGTATTCGTACACATAGAGGGCTAACCTAAAACATCATAAATAATCCTCAAATAAATGAAGAATCTAAGTTAAGTTTGTAATTTACTGCGCAACAACATTTTTATGTAATGAAAATAGCTTATATAATTTTGTACTCGTGGTGATAAATTTTATTCAAAAACAGTCATACTGAAATATGTTACAATTCATATTTCAATAGAGCGTAGCATAAATAACGTGCAAGTAGGTAATAGTAATGTAAAAATCTATCAGTATACGTAATAAATAAAAACTGAGAAAGTTACAGAAGTTTTTTTGACGCAACAGATTTAAAAAATCCGGCTCGCAGAATGATATTTTCGAACTTGGGTAAATAAAAATTTTAAATTATTCTTGAGCATTGAAAAAGATTGTACTTTCGATTTGTGGCAACGTACGAAACGAAAAAAAGTATTTTGCAAGATGTTGTCATACATATTTTTTTCGTGAACTACCTCTTGGTAGCAAACGATAAAAACATGGCGCCGAATCGGCCTGCTTTGCCAGACAACTAACTCTAGTGAGTCATAGCCATGCACACTTGAATTGAATTTGCGATAAACCAGGTTGCAAAGAGACACTGCCGGGCAAACAGTTCAATTCGCAAAACTTCGAGATCGAATCGATTCGAGAAGTTAATCAAAGCTGAAAGAGTTAATTATAAATAAATTTTACAGAAACGTGTGAAATTTATTAAATATTTTCATCAAGTTGGCATTGTAAACAGTATAAATTTTGGTTAATTATAACCATAAAATTCATGTCGAAGAAACGAGAAAAAAACGAGAGATAAATAAGGGTCTTTATCCACGTATGTTTATAAATTTACAAAACCATCGTTCGAATTACAAGAAGCAAGTGGTAAAGAACCTTTGTCGATGAAAGATTAGAAATTGACGATTTCGATCAGTCCAGCAAATCCAGTTAAGTAAGCCGGAGTTACTCGACGAATCCGATCGCCCGGTTTCGAGACCGACTACTGCTTGCATATATACACACGCTTGGTATAGAGATGGAGAGAGAGAAAGAGAAAAAAGAAAATGGAGTCACTAGTCGATCAATCGACAAATTTCCCTTCTCCTTCTCGTCTCTTTCGACAGAGGCACAACGAACGCGACAATAGATTCTATTAAAGAAAGTAATACGTACTTTTCTCTCGCTTGAGAGTCCGAGGGCACCGTAGTCCCCTTTCCCTTTGCGTACATTCTCGAAAACTGTCAATTTTTCCAGTGTAAACAGAACCACCGTTTTTCGTTTAACAGACAGACGTTATCCTGACACTGTTCCCGCAAGTAAGTCCTGCACCAGCTTCTATTTACGTAGCTCGCGGTAATATACAGTTTTCTCGGATCCTAAGGACTTTTCGCTGCTCGCCTTAATGGAAGAAACGTTGTAATCAGCGCCGAGACCACCGGAAATAATATATTCACTGTCTTCTGTATCGAATCACACGCACATTACGAACATGTCGTACCACCGCCGTGGCCAGCAGCCTATACTAGATAGAGTACCTCGCATCATGGCTCGGCGAATTGTGGACGCATGACCGTGGAACGAACGAGCGTCGTCATCGTTCGCAGACCAGCCACTTGTATTCTTTGTCTCTGTCCTCTTCGTAACTGAAGTTCACTTTAAGTTCTCCAACCTCCAAGCCTTCCTTCCTTCCTTCCTTCCTTCCTTCCTTCCTTCTTCCCTCGTCGTTCTTTTTTTTGCCCTCTGACACTCGTTTTTTTTTTCTCCCTTCACTGATTATTCAGAGTTATCCCCTCGAGAGGAAGAGAGAGAGAAACAAAAAAAAAAGAAACGTACATACACGATATCGTAGAGCTCCTGAGGGCCGCGTCTTGCGAACCGAACGTAAACGACAGTGTGTGTGCGTCCTCTCACCGCGATGCTCAAGCAGCGCTCGGTCACTTCACTCTCTTTACTCACTTTAGCTTTGGCTAGCCTGCTCACCTTACCTCACCTCACCGCGCCTGAAACCAAGCCTCACCTCGTCCCGCCTCACCTCATTAAACGAAACATACAGACGGACAGACGGAGACAGAGACAGGCGTACACACTTGCATCTCACGCTCGTTCAAATGCAAACGCTCTACGCGTCAGCGACACACGCCGATTTTACGCCGATCTTCGATGCCGTGGTACTGTACGTCGTATAATCTTGCGCGCAGAACAACGAAAAGCCAACAACGACGAGTCTGTTTTTATTTTGTCTCTTATTCCATGACACCTACCTAGGCAGGTAGCAAACCGAAGCACAGTGTCACTTCCACGTACACAATCACGGAGGCGAATTTTATTTTTGTATAAACACGCACAGGATCGGGAGTAGTGTGTTTCGTACACGTAGTACGCGCAGTCCTGGCACGTACACACACGTACACGGGGATACGGGACGCAGCTCCGTCTCTCTCGCTCTTGTTCTCACTGTGCTGTTCGTGTCGCGCGTCTCTGGCTCATAAAAGCTGCGCGCGCAGCCATCGGTTTTCACGTCAGGTACGTAACGGTACATCATTCCCTTTTGTTACCTGGCGCTTTGAACGTTACAATTGCCAGAATGGTTAGAACGGCTAATTCGTGAGAGAAATTCATTTTAGTTTAGGTCTGTACTTTTGGGGGATTTGGACGATCCCTTTCGCAAAATACATTTGGTTAAAATCCTGGATCGCCTTTTTGAGCTTTGCTTCGTGTTGATATACCTGTTGTCACAGGAATTTATAAATTGCAAATTGAACAATCGAAATTTCATTTGTGTATCGTTCTATAATACCGATGTATACAAAACTAAAAGTTTTCACGAAGTTTGCGGAATTTTTGCTGATAATGTAAAAATAAAAAATGCAGAATTGAAGGTTAGATGTATCGTTTTGTAAAATATTTGTAGAGGATACGCTGCGTAAATTGACATGAGAGAAATAGACACGTATGCGCGATAACGCCCATTGTTGCTACGTCCCTGTTCGCAACTCTACGTGCTATTGGATGCTGATCGTTGCATGCAAGGTATACCTGTATACACACCGCACGCGTACACTGTACAAGCTATCGGCGCATGTTACCGATAGCGGGGATAACCGAACACGCCCGAACACCAGCGAACATTGCCGATGCAAAATAGCCGACAATTGACTGAGCGTCGAGGGGTCGGACAGAAAAGAGACAAGCCATTCCTTCGGGTGTACAGCTTCCCCTTTCTCAACTTTATCACAGAATTAATATATGTATCATTGATTTTTACGAACTACGAACAACTATTTCACCAAGTTTATCTTTACGAGAGAACGATGTAATCGACGATGATTAAATGTCTTCGTTCTAACGCTAATTTGCCTCAAATCTAATCTAATGTTAATTAATAAACACGATTTAAAATGAGATGTTTCGAAAGAAAGTAGATCTTTTGTTTTTAGTCTTATCAGTACTTTTCGAACGCAGTTGTATAATTTTATCGTTGGAGGAAAATACAAAAGAGTTATTTCGTTTCAGGAAGAAAAGTACGAAAGAATTGTTGACACAAGCGAGATATCTTGTTGCAATTTTATACTAAAAGTTTTTCTTAAATTAACGGATGTCTTTCCTCTTCAAACATGATTGAAACAAATTTGGGAAATTAGTAAATAAGCAGCGTAATTAGTAAATAAATAAATATACATCCATACATCTTCTACAATATACAATGTAGTATATTATGGATGTAATTAAGGCGGATGTAATCTATGAGGCTAAAATGTACAGGCTGAACTGAATGCATAGTGTATTACTAGACTATGGATTTTCATACACTTATGGCAAATTAAAAATACAAAGTTGCATAGAATGCATGCAATACAAGGAAATATAGTGCTCTTTGTAATATTTGGCACGAGAAATTTTCTATTCAGGCTCAACTTATGATTTTGCACGAAAATCCACAGCCCGCGTATTACGTGTAATAACATTTTTACGAATTTTTCATGCTTGTCGTCAGGGCTGTAGTTCCTCGAAAAAGCACCACACACTCGCAGCAAATATAAAAGCCAGTTATTATCACATCCGACAGATGTCAATGGACGGTCCAGGTACAATTACGTGGGACGAGTTCCTCGAAAATGCCGAAAGATTCGTCGAGATGTCGTGTCAAATTTCTGACGGATGGGAACTTCGAGGTGACAAGGTGGTTGTTATCTTTGACTTTTTTTCAGAAAATAGAAAAAAAAAAAAGAAATTTAGATGCCTCAAAATAGAATGAGGAAATTTCCTTCGAATAACAAATATCTGCACACGACTCGCAGAAGGTGCCAGGAGAGGCGTATGTTGCCCGTAAACAGAAACAATACATACGTAGCAGCGGTAACAACATAAACGATCGCCCGACACCGAGATACAGCGACGACCCTGCCGATGATTTCGACTTTGTATTGAAACAAGATCCATTCGAGGCCACCTGCCCTATCGAGTGGCCATTAGTTACGGAGCATCATGTATTATGGTCCATGAGCTACAGCGTCCCAATTCTTTATTTCAACGGATGGAAATCAGGTGAACGCGCCATGTTCGTTTTAGAATTCTAAAGAGATCCTACTACAACGAGAGAAAGACGATCTTTGCCGAGTCATTTTCAACGGTGTCGTGTGAATGTCGTTAATTTTATAACGTCTATTCATCAAAAATACGAAACATCTATCGCAATCTTCTTCTGATCGCCACTAGACCTTAATCTGATATGTACAGCCTGTTGAAAGTGGCAGGCGACATAATGCTGATTGTTCCTTCGATTGTAGCTTATCTCGAACTAGGCTAAGAAGTCGGCAAAGAGATCAAGAGCGACGCTGAAGGAGAGAGAGACAAAGGAAATCTATATTGCATGCATGAATTCGGGAATAAATTTTTAATATTTTGTATTTTCAGACGAGTTCGTCATCTGTGTGCAAAAATTATTTGTGAATTTTTTTTCGTTGTATTTTTTTCATATACGTCCTTTAATAATCATTCTTTTGTAGATTTCCCGGGTGTCAATCCAATATCCATGGAAGAAGCACAGTCTCTTGTTCGTAACGGTGAATTGAAATACAAGGATTTATCTCAAGCGATACACCCTATACTAGGTACGCCGTTTTTACATTTACATCCTTGTATGTCTCACGAATTGTTACAGATTACAAGCAACAGGTAAGGAAGAATTTGCAAATACTTACAATCAGTAAGTTCGAAACAAATAAATTATTGTTTCCTTTCTAGTAAAAATAAACTAGTCAGCTGGTTGAGTACTGTTGCTCCTGCCGCACTTAATCTCAAATTACGTTGCGAATATTGTCAATTGACCATCTAATTGTACCTGTATTTTTGTTTTAAGAAAGCGCACGTATCACATATGTATCAAATAAAAGTGAATTGCAAAGGTTTTCTTCTTTACTTTTAATACGAAATGATCTTCGCTGTACTTTACATAAACTATTTATCAATTTTAATTTCATTTCTAACAGTCGTGATCAGCGATGCAATTCATATTAGGATAAAATCGCTCGTAGTTTGCCGCCTCTGCGCAAAGGACGTGCGCCGATTGGTCGAAACTCCGAGTCAGGCATGTGAACGCGATTGGTCCAGCCAGCAACTGAAAGTTACTCGAGCGCCAATCGCATCACGCGGCTCATAGAAATTGCTCCTTTCTCCCCCGCCTTCCAACTTCCCCACCACCCGCGCGCTTTTCGAACATTTGACTTTAATAACATGCGTCTAGTTGTAGCACAGTCCCGCGACTGTCATCGCAGGGTATACACGAAAACGCGATATAACTAGTGAATCGCATCGTGTTAGCACAGTCCTTTACTCTTTCCATTAAACTCGAGTCGAAACGAGCCTGTTACAGTTTCTCCAGCAGCAAACAACTGTTTTCGTGAACGCGTTTTACTAGCAACTCGGGATCGGTATATTTAATGTGCACGCGAAGTGTTTTGTTTCAAAATACAGAAATCGAGAAAAGTTATCGACGCAGTTGCCACAGGTAAGAAACTTAATCATACTGTTTGGTCGTGCGGTTTGTTTTATTGGCTCTAACCTTTCGCGATTTACAATTAAATGTACAAATTGTAATCGATCCTGGAACAGTTTAACATTCTGTTTGTTAAAAAGTTGGAAAATTATACTTTGACTCGGGGAAATACTAGAGTCAAATCCTAGGATTTGAAAATTTGAAAGAAATATGTTATGCATATGTCAATGATAAAGTATCGATCATGTAAATATAGATGTGAGTATCAATCGAAAAATAATTGTGGAAGACACGCTTAAATATGGTTTTGATATATTTTTGATCTTTACCGATTGAATAGACAATGTTGCAAAATTTAATTTCCAATTGAAACTTTCTCGTTGTGTAAAGAAACATATTTTTTTTTTTTAAGGTCTTTCATTAGTCTTTCACTAAATGTACTTTTAAAATATAACCTATATTTAATTGTGTACATCTGAAAATTTCTGTACAATCGTAGGCGTAATGCCAAGCATTGTGCTATTTAAACCGGATCAACATGAAATCGTATTCATATCTGTTATAAAAGACATGCGAGTCTACTGTTACTTCTCGTATCTTTTAAACAATCAATGAAAAGTTTGAAGCAACTTTAACAACAAAAATAAATCTTACGTTCTTGGCTTACCTAATGTGGAATGAAATGAAAATACATATGTAAATAAAATTATCGAGTTCACTGTAAAACATTGTAGAAATAATTCTAGATTTTTTCATTTTAAGTTTGAAAACTCTTTAGAGTTCAGAGATTAGAAAATGTAAATTTGAGATTGGTGGACAGAGACATAAATTATCGACGATCGAAATTGTAGAAATTGCATTGATTAAAACTTCTACATATCTAACGATTTACCTAATAATAGACTGTGTTGAATTTTGTCAGTCTCACATTATTCATAAATGTTTTGCAACACAATGATACAGAATTGCATTATGAAATGGACAAGAAACATACTGTCCATATTTTGGGTTATATCTTGAAAAGTACAGGAGCACCTTGCAATGTCTCTCCAATACTTGTTTTAATTGTGTCTGATGATTTTCAACAAATAGTTATTTGTCAGCAAAGTCAAAGACTACTGCCTGTGCTTAAACATGTCACCCATGGACAGATTCTTCTCTATTCCTTTCTATTCTGTTCTTCCAGTGGACATATTCTTACCGCGTATTAATTTTGTTATTGAGCGGAGACAAGTGGTTCTTCTATAAATCTTTTCAGGCTTCATTGCTGGTATGTTTACATTCAAGAATAATACAGGGTGCAATTATGACCCACTAGAATATACCGCCGTGGAACGTTAGCATCGTTTCTAACAAAACGGTACGTTTTTAACAATCAAGTCACTTCCAGTCAAATTGCTCTTATTTCTCTTTTGAGAAACGTTGCCAATAACTAGGTCTTCTTCTTTCTTTTATACATCTGAAAAAGCTCTCCTTCTCTTTCTAGAAATTAGGAAATTCTACTGCGGCTCTCTGTTTACTCTAAATTCTTTTTTATCTATTCTTCTTTCCAACTCGAGTTGCACGTGCGAGTAGAAACGGGACTGTAGCTTGTTCAATCTTCAAATTTAAAGAAGCAGATTCGAGTCTCGGATCATATCGCATCGTCAACGAGAGACGGAGCTATTAATCAAAATCAGTCGAAAATAGATTAATTGCTGCTTCATCGAAAATACACGACATTCACTTTTTTTCGAACTCGTTGAAAATTGGTCGTTTGTTATTTGCATCTTGCCTCTGATTTTCTTTGTAACATCGTTCACCGGTTACGTAACATCGTTGACACTGGGCACTCGTTGCAACACCTGTTTAAAAAAAAAACAGAGAATTAACAAGGAGGAAAAGATTTTGGGATACTTGAACGATCGAGTTTCAATGTTGTGGTCGGTGGAGAGTCGAGCTTGTTATTGTTCCTTCCTCGTCCAAAGCGTGCAAACAAAAACGCACAGTGGGCATCATTTACGGTCTCAGTTACGTAAGAATGTGATTGCGTTTCTGAATGACGATTAACCGTATTTATTGATATGCACGCTGATATCCTGCTTGAGAATCACGCGAATCAGATGATACAGTTGATACAGTTTATGTTGAAACACGATCCTCCAGACTTACGGAAAATTGATTCTCTTTGAACAGAAAAAAGGAAAAAAGAAAAGAAGAGGAAACAATTAGAATATTTCGCAATTTTTAAACTACGTATCTTAAAATTACTAACCAATACAAGCAGCTTGATAATAATTGTTGCTCGTTTGAGAGTATTTCCTAGGTCACATGGTTATTGGAGATCAAGGTTATTGTTTCTGGAACAATATCAAGAAAAGTCGTTTCTGAGATCTGTGAAAAACAGTTCTTTTATCTGTATGCTCTTGCGTGGCGTCGGAGAGGAGGGGGGATATTCGCACGATATATTCGTCATCTGAGAAAATATAATGCCTGGTTAATAATATCCGTGCAAAATTGAAAATTATAGCGATCCTTGCAATTCAGGCTAAATTGGTTGATTCGAGGCTCGTAACAAAAAAGAAAAAAAATGATGTAACAGTCTCGCGACTGCAGTCGCGAAGTTTGAAAGTTTGAGGGTTATCCAGGGAAATTCAAGACGGGAAGTCAACTGCGCATGCGTCGAAGAACAAATCTGCGTGGTCACAAAACGCGCGAAATTTGATTTTCCTCAAAAAGTAATTTCTTCACCCCGTTAGTTTCTAACAGGAATAAGTCGTAACATAATACAAAGATACTGGAAAGTGTTTTTAGATAAAATTTTAGTTTATATAAAATTATCCATTTACATTAAACAGAATTAAATTTGATTTTAAAATACAAGTTTAAATAAATTTTGTATATATATATATATATATATATGTAATTTATAATTAAATAAAGTTTTATAATAAAAATGATACTATAGTAATAATTTAAAATTAATAAAATTAATAAAATTATTTATAGTTAGGTGTTACTTATGGTTAAGCACATGCTTGACATAATAATGAAAATACTCTTCCCATTTAACAGTACACAATGATCGGTCTATAACGATCTATTTGACTAAATCATACTACTACTGCGTGTGAAAAAAAAACCAAAAAAAAAAAAAAAAAAATTGAAGAGCATGAAATTTTACTTTCGATACATTCCAATTATCCATTTCTTCCTATCGTTTGATTTCAATTACACACGTTTAGAATATAGCAGCATATTTTTGACATACTGCACGCGCTGTTGTTGACCAGTTTGATAAATTAAAGACGCGATCTGACGCGACCGAGCGCGCACTCGCATCGAAACGAAGAAGCGTCCACCAAAGAACAACCGAAGTTTCCGCCTACGTTTTGATCCCATAGCTACTTGTATATCATCAGCTGATTGCGTCACGGTCTGGTTTTATAATAGTTCATTAAATTGCCGGTAATTCGTGGTTGTGGGGCTATTTTATGTAGTATAAATGAATGAACATTATCGTGCAACACTTTGAAGTAAGTTCCACGTTAATTCACGTGTCCGTTAATCATACTGATTTTCCGTCAGTTTTCCATTTTTTACTTTTCCTTTTTAAAAAGGTTAATAACAAGATACATATTTATATATGTATTTTTTTATCAGATACATATATTTATTTTATATTATACAATATATATATATAAAATATATAAAAAGATACATATATCTATTTTATATTATACAATATATATATATATATGTATATATATGTATATATATATATGTTGTTAATATAAATATACAATTTATATATAAAATATATAAAAAATATATATGTGTCTTTTTATATATATTATAAAAAAAAACAAATACATAAATATGTACAAAAATTTGCAAGCACAGAAACTTGTCTAACATTTGCCAGTTTATCTTGAACTTCGAGAAACCATGCCTCTGCAGTTGGACATGATAATCAATGGTTTTTTTTCTCTTCAGCTTCCCTCTTGTGTACTAAATTATGCAGACTCACGATCACGTAACACGCGCATTACGATCGCACAATGAACACACGCCGATGACTAATAGCGAATCGCGCGAACGTAATATGATTTATAGTTCGATTTATTTGTGCGAGTTTACGGACGAATATACAATGGTCGGAGAATCATCATTTTTCTTTTTCTCTGTCTTTTCATTCGTCGTCGCTAGTACGAGGTAAGAATCGATTCTTATCGAGATTCTCGAGCACAGTCAGAATATGTGTATTTGTGTCGATGAGATTTGGCAAAATCTGAGGGGGGGGGGGGGAGAGGAGGAAAGGATACGACACTTGATAGCGCGCATTTTGCAAATGGGGCGCGCGTTGCTTCTGGACTCCCCCAGAAACGCTCTAATGGCCTAAATAACGGCCACGCGAAAAGTATTGTATTCGCGTTAAAATCTTTCTTCCTCTCGACTCGAGTGAAACGACAAAAGTGACCTATTTGCTAAGCTTTGCTCTCTCTCTCTCTCTCTCTCTCTCGCGTGAACATTCTCGTACGCGAAAGGATTTTGCGATTTAGGACTTTAACCTTTTGCGCTGGAATGACGTGCCACGCACGTCAAGAATTTTTTGTCCCAAAATTGCAATATTTTCTCAGTTTTAAATATATTTAAGTATAATCCAGGCAAAACAAATAATAAATTTATTACTTCTCAATAATTTCTATCCAGTGATATCATACCGACGAGTTCAAATTATTGTATACGGTTTGGTCACTCGTTATGGTCCGCAATCAGTTGCCAGCGCAACGTGGTTAACCTCTTGTGCTAGAATGACGTGCCACACACGTCGAGAATTTTTTATCCAAAGTTGCAATATTCTCTCAGTTTTAAGTATACTTAAGTATAACTCAGGCAAAACAAATAATAAATTTATTATTTCTTAGTACTTTCTATCCAGTGACATACCGACGAGTTCAAAAAGAAAGCGACGAATTATTGTATACGGTGTGGTCACTCGTTATGGTCCGCAATCAGTTGCCAGTGCAACGTGGTTAACCTCTTGTGCTAGAATGACGTGCCACACACGTCGAGAATTTTTTATCCAAAAGTTGCAATATTCTCTCAGTTTTAAGTATACTTAAGTATAACTCAGGCAAAACAAATAATAAATTTATTATTTCTTAGTAATTTCTATCCAGTGACATACCGACGAGTTCAAAAAGAAAGCGACGAATTATTGTATACGGTTTGGTCACTCGTTATGGTCCGCAATCAGTTGCCAGCGCAAGTGGTTAAAAACGCGAGCTTCGTGAGACTTACGGTTGGCCGTTCCTCGTTTGATTCGGCGCACGACCCGGGCGAAATCAATTATAAACTTGACCCATCTCGACCCTTCCTGTCAACGAGAAACGCATTACGACTTCCTTCCTCTTTTCGGGCGGCTGCCTATCGAAAAGAAGTTGCCATTTTTTTTTTTTTTTTTTCGAGTTTTAACCGAGGAGAAGATTTTACCTTTACTACCATTTTTTTCTGTTTTCGTTCGCTTTTTTTGTCAATGGAATTTTAACACTAGAACCACCAAAATGATCAAAATGACCAGTTTATAACATTCGTTGGACATTCTACAGACGTATTTTTAAAGATTTAAATAATTTTTCGCAAAATATACGAGAAAAAGCTCGTACACTCTATTATGTTACAAAGTTCCTCTACACATTTTCTTTTTTTAATCTTCAGTATTATTTTCTGACAAAAGTTTCACGCATTAATCGTCGATAACATTAATCCTAGCGTCAAGGTAAAACAAGGTAAAGGCAAAACGTGTTTTACTTATATTACTCACGCACTTACGAACTCGCGAATTTACGACAAACCACGAATCTTTTCCACACACTGGAAAGAAATTTGATGGAAAAATTGGGGTCAGCGTTGCGTGCATGGAAACTAGATTAAAAAAAAAAAAAAAAAACGCCTGAAATTGAAAGAGACTAATCGACCTGTTCTCCTTCAACAGATCGAGAGACCATTATCGATCTCAAGAAACTTTCCACCACAACGGCGTGGAATCGCTCATCGATCGGGGATCCTCCGCCAGCGTCATTATCATCGACATCGTCATTATCATCATTATTATCGTCATCATCGTCGATTCAATCCCGTTAGGAAAAAAAGAGAAGAGCCGGAGGAAGAGGAGCTTCATTGTGGAAGTCGGAAGGAAGGGATCGGTGTGTGTGCCACCGATCGGAGGAAGGTGATTCGAGAAGAGAGAGAGAGAGGCCAGGGAGAGCCAGAACAGGCGACAAACAATAGACGGGTAACCCGGTGCTCCCGATGGGGTCGTAGTTGCGCGTATTTGTAATGTATCTGACGATGATAGGCCAGCACGGCAGGAAGAGATCGTCGTAGGGGGATCGCCATAGCTAATCGTACCACCCAAGGTGGCACAGATTGAGAGCTCTATCAGCACACATCCTCTCCTGGCCCGAGAGAGTACGAGCACCCATCGACGATCAAACCCGGTACGCGAGCACCTACATAACTACGTACGCAACGTACGAACGTATGTACGTTTTCATTGAAACGCTCGATCTTCCCTTCTTTGGGGGCAAGTGTTCGCGCCTATCTCCCCCTTCCATCCCCAAAAGGTTTGCAACATTCTCGTTCTGTTTTTGGAGAACGACCCACCACGATTCCTCAACGTCTGTCAGTCACTTCCGGATTATGCGACTTATACTCGTCTCTTTCGATTCGGCTCGCGTTTGCAATATTTCGAAAATTATTAATTATAATTGTATATTCGAAATTATAATTATTATACAATTAAAATTATAATTTTCTAAACTTTCGTGTGACAATTGAATATAGATACAAAATTCCAGATGTTAATCAGAGTCCTCGAACTGTCGCGGTATTTTTCATTCTCAGTTTTGCCGCCTTGGTAACACTATTTTTGCTACCCTTGGGAACTTCAGCCCAGTGTGTAAACGTTAACTCTCGGCGTGTAACAGAAACTTTGTAACTTTGAAACTTCACGTAAAGGATACTCTATAACGAAAGGGAAATGTAATAACAAAAAGAGTTTCGACGCTCAACGCTCTGAATGAGGATCGTCACTCTGTGATGGAAAAGTGGCACGACTATTTCCAAAAGTGATGCGAGTGTCTCCAAAAGTGGCACGAGTATTTCCAAAAGTGGTACATTTCTATATAATATGATATATATATATACAATATAGTAAATAATATATATATTATATACACAATGTGGCTTATATTTAATATTATTATTAAATACTTATATTTTATATTACAATTAAATATTACATTTAATATTTAATATTAATACATATATATATATATATATATATATATATATATATATATATATATATATATATATATATGCTATAGCAATACAATAGTATGGTATAGTAAAAGCTTCTGCAAACTCCTACACGTACATATATTTTAACATTTATATACTTTTCTCACCCTCGTCGAAGCCAAAGAAAAAAAAAAAAAAAATAGAAGAAGAAGAAAAGATACCATCGCGTGATTCGTACGTTCGCAGAAATAAGTTCCACGCAGGCCATCATCAATTGTGCGTGCTAACAAACTAAGTAACTCGATCTTCTTTCTTCCCTCGGTTCTCTACTGGTTGCGGTGGCAACAACGGTCGCAGCGGTCCAAGAAGTCAGAAGCCGAGGCCAATACCATCGTCGGCGATCAACGGATCAACGGATCGGATATCGTCGATCCCTTTTTCGAGCCTCTCGACCTCTCCCGCCGCCGCCGCCGCCTTCCCTTCCCCATCGGGGCGCGACGACACACGCAGCAGCCGCTTCCGGCTAACCGGAAGTGACGCTCTATGCGAACGGGTGACCACCGTCTTTCGTCGGGACACCAACACCACGCAAACGTAGGCCAGCACTACAGACGGGCATCATGGAAGTCGCCACTGAACTGTACGTATCCACCGTTCTCTTTCCTCTTCTCGCTTCGTTTCTTTCTGCCACGTCTCTTCTTGCCTTTGGCACTCCGCCTTTGACATTTTGACAATCGTATACTATGCTCCCCAACGTCGCGAAGTCGCCTTTCACTTTTTCCATTCGTTCGAAGCGGTCGAACATCCGTTTACAGATGGTTTAACCCTTTGAGTTTTGCTTAGTTCCCTTCATCATTGCTAATTGTATTTCTTGCTTTTTTTTTTTTTTTTTATTCGTGGAAGCTCGGACCTTCAATTTCGTCCTTTGAGTTTCGCTTGTCTGTCATTGTCTAGTCGTCGCAAGATCGCGGTCGTTTTTTCCTTCATCGTGAAGCGTCGAACTCATCCGAAAATCATCCGTTTTGTCCTCTGAATTTTGCCTGTCCCCTCATTAATCATAGGACAATCGCGTTTTTTTTTTCTTTTTTTTTCGTTACAGAGCCTAGAACCTCCGTGTTGCTTGTCCCTGATCGCCGTTAACTCCATAAGCTAGCGTCGAGAATTTTTTGTTCCAAATTGCAACATTTTCTCAGTTTTAATATTATATTTAAATGTAACCCATGTAAGCAAAACAAATGATAAATTTATTACTTCTTAATCATTTCTATACAGTGATATCATACCGAGTTCAAAAGAAAAAGAAAGCGACTAATTATTGTGTACAGTTCGGTCACTCGTTATGGTCCGCAATCAGTTACCAGTACAAGTGGTTAACCTCTTGCCACGCATGTCGGGAATTTATCCCAAAATTGCAATATTTTCTCAGTTTTAAACATATTGAAATATAACACAGGCAAAATAAATAATAAATTTATTACTTCTTAGTAATTTCTATCCAGTGACATACCGACGAGTTCAAAAAGAAAGCGACAATTTATTGCGTACGGTTCGGTCACTCGTTATGGTCCGCAATCAGTTGCCAGCGCAAGTGGTTAACCTTTTGACGTGCCAAGCACGTCGAGAATTTTTTTTTTCCTAAAATTGCAATATTTTCTTAATATATTAAATATAACCGAAACAAAACAAATAATAAGTTTATTACTTGTCAGTAATTTCTATCCAGTAATATACCGACGAGTTCAAAAGAATATGAAAGCGACAGATTATTGTGTACGGTTCGGTCACTCGTTATGGTCCGCAAACCAGTTGCCAGCGCAAGGGGTTAAGCCGACATTGACAGGCAGATGAAGTTTCTCCGTCGCGCAACTCATCGGTTGCATCACCGGTTCGGCTAATAAATTCGCGTAAAAGGACACATTTGCGACAACTGAACAGCGTTTTGCTCGAGGCTATTAAATTTCTCGAATCGCGTTATTCACATTGGCAAGAATGAAAAAAAATTTCTATTTGTTCTTCGTTCGTCGTCCTTTTCCAGCGTTTTCTCGAACGAGCTCACGTATACCAAGGATACCAGAAACACCGCAGCCACCGATTCAGAATTTCCGCCACAGTGATGTCAATCAACAACTGTGTGTCAATTGCTCCTGAAGTACGCGCCGTGAAAGTACAATTTGATAATTGCCGGGCCAGTTAAGATTAATCTCGGGACAGCGTCGATGCCAGTTTGTCGAAATGCTTCGACGATAGCGCGACCTTGTCGGCAAGGAAGAACTCTCGCTCGAAAATGATACATACCCGGATGATTCACGTAACGTGCACGAGTGAAATAATCTTTAACCTCTTGGAATGAAGCACGTCAAGAATTTCTTGTCCCAAAACTGCAATAATATTTGCTCAGTTTTAAGTATATTTAAGTATAACTCAGCCAAAACAAATAATAAATTTATTACTTTTCAATAATTTCTATCCAATGATATCATACCGACGGGTTCAAAAAGAAAGCGACGTGTTGTTGTATACAGTTTGGTCACTCGTTATGGTCCGCAATCAGTTGCCAGTGTCACGCGACTAAGATAATATTATCGACGTCTCAATAAGAAACAGTGATCGTTAGTTGCGTAGAATTAGTAAGGTAACGTCACAGGTATTTAATCTTATCCTTGCAAATGAAAGCCGTAGTATTCAAATGCTAAGGTTTCAATGAAACGATATGAATTGTATACGAGACAGAATAACAAGTCAAAATCTACCGTAGTAAAGGTATATGCGAATTGAATCTCTCGGGAGAGGTTTCGACAGAAAAACGATATGCACTAATTAGGGTACAACACCGATCTGCCTTTATTCAAGAGTGACGGGTATTTATACAGTGTTTGGTACCGATGTGGGGGGACCAATGGTCGCATTCCATTTATTGTTATCTGGTTGCTGGATCTTATTACAATCAACATTGGTCATATTTCTAGCTGGTGAGTTATTGTTATCCTGTCCCTAACCAGAAATGGAAATGATAAGGGCCTTATCACACCAGCGCAAGTGGTTAACCTCTCGCCTCTAGCCACGCACGTCGAGAATTTTTTCCCCCCAAAATTGCAATATTTTCTCAATAAGAAGGAGTTGATTTTTTTGAAAGTGGAATAAATTTTTTTAATTTCATCGAGAGATAAAGAGAGATCTACGAAAATGAACACGAGAGTAAGAATAGTAGTTTCCACTACGAAATATGTGTGGAATGTGAACCCGCGAGGATCAAGCGGTTGATTGGATCAGTCTCTACGAAGACTCAAACCGTTCTGCACGTTTCAATATAGAGGAGACTCGAGTATTCGTCGTTTGAAAATTTCGTAACAACGCCGGGACAGCGAGCGGTTCAAGATACGAGGCCGAAGGGGCGACGTATGTATGTATCTCCTACACAAGGTCATCGGCAACGAGCGAGCGAGCAAGACTTTCAAGATTGATCGGCTTGTAGGCTCTCCTTAAGGCCTACTTAACACGAGGTCGCTCGTAAGAGACTCAATCGAATCAGAACGAAGACTACTGACCCCCTGGGTTCAAACGGACGTTATCGGGCGACATTTGCTTTGTTCTCTCGATTTGTCAAACGCGCGAGCGGAAACGTTGATCGTGGGGGGGACGCGATCGCGAAAAACGACTCGCGGAAATCTGACACTCTTTCGGATTATAAAAATAAAAGATGACGGGCGTCTGAAACTTGACGACGAAGGAGATTGCGCAAGTATATTTCAAACGGACATATCAGATGGATGACAAATTTGAAATACGGATAAACGATCCACGTGTCGTATTAGAAACTTTGAAAGATTGAACAGTTCCAGGGATACAAAGAATTAGATGAACTTAACCTCTTGCGGTGGCAACTGATTGCGGACCGTAACGAGTGACCGAATCGTATACAATAACTCGTCGCTTTCTTTTTTCTTTTGAACTGGTCGGTATGACATCACTGGATAGAAATTATTGAAAAGTAACAAATTTATTATTTGTTTCGCCTGGATTATACTTGAATATACTTAAAACTGAGAATACTATATTGCAATTTTGGGACAAAAAATTCTCGATGTGCGTGACGTACGTCAAGAGGTTAACCACTTGGGCTGGCAACTGATTGCGGACCATAACGAGTGACCGAGTCGTATACAATAATTCGTCGCTTTCTTTTTCTTTTGAATTCATCGGTATGATATCGTTGGATAGAAATTATTGAGAAGTAATAAATTTATTATTTGTCTTGCCTGGGTTATATTTAAATATACTTAATACTGAGAATACTATATTGCAATTTTGGGACAAAAAATTCTCATGCGTGGCACGTCAGTCCAGCGCAAGAGGTTAAGTCACTCGAAAGGCAAAGATTTGTTACTTTTCTATTGGAAACTTCGAAGTATCGAGTATTTCGAGAAACTCACGGAGAGAACTGACAAGTTTAAGTCACTCGAGAGGCAAACTTTGTTATTTTTATTCTTCGTTGAATATTCCGAGGGACGAAGAAACTTGCAGAGTGAGTTAGATAAATTTCAGTCACTTGAAGGGCAAAATTTGCTGTTTTTATTCTTCGTTGAACAGAGAAAGAAGTATTTCGTTGATAGTAGGGCGAAAAATTAAATTTCCTCTCACCTATTTTTTTTTTTTTCTTAAAAAAATATCAAAATACAAGAAACTTTACTAATTTTATTAATCTTATTAATTTAACTAATTTTATTTTAAATTTACAATAACAAATTTCATAAATAACATCAAAATACAAGAAGTTTTACTAATTTTATTAACCTTATTAATTTTATTGACTCGGCTAATTTTATTTTAAATTTAATTTTTCAATTTTTTTAATTAGCTAATTTTCATTTTAAATTAAATCCAAGTTCGAACATGATTTTTTTCTATTACGTTTTAAAAATTATTTCTTTCAAATGTCGACCGCCATCGCAAATTTCTGCTCTTTTTTTTTTGTTAGTAGGAAGTGACTTTCGGCCCACCCTGTATCTACACGGTCAAATGCCAACATAACGCATAATCGATATCGTATCTAATCGTTTAAGCGATTATGTGAAATTTATTATGCGACATGCTCATCTCCATAAATAGTACGCATACGCGTCTTTTTTACTTATCAATGAAACGTTTCATTCAAGGCCTTCAACCTTTCACACCGTCGCTCACTGAAATAACACTCCATAAAAAGTTTATTGCTATTCGCGTGCATTACGTAAATGATGCTCAGCGATGAAAAGTAGCGTCTCTATTCCCTCGAGTGCGCGGAGGAGGGTATATATTTATGGTGCTTGCCAAAGTAAGCTCGAGTCAAAAATGCAAAGATCAGGAAAGTTGTCCATTTGACGCAATTATACAAATCTTAACTCGTTGCATCACTAGCAACACGGGTGAACAACTTTTCAATCGTCTTTTCTTTTTTTCCTCTCCATCGAAACTGTATACTGAATAAAACAAATAAAACATGCGAGTTACAATCAGTCAATTAAAAGTAAAGCACTCTGTCTTACATTTTTCGTTACTGCAAGGAAAAGATTCGTTTCTATTTTTTTATTGTTTCACTACTTCTTTTTCCTTCCTTTTTGTATTTTCGTTTTCTTTTAATACGCTTAAAAGGACAAATATATATATACTTTACACACACACACACGTATATGAATTTATATTTTTACACAACACACACACATATGGTTGTTGAGTATATATAATGGCTATATATGAACAATTATATGTATATAATTCGTCAGTCGAACGCGCAAAAATTCTCAACTCTTTTCAGATCTCGTGATATGATGTGAGTTTCCCGATCGTTCGCAGACGAACGAACAGATATAAAATTTATCGAAGATGCTGTTCGTGACCACGCGTGGTCAATGCCAACGCCTATGCAAATGGGCAAATAATGACACATCATGCAAAAAAGAAAAAAAAAATTAAAGAAAAAGAAATAAAACTGCATTCGTTTATGTAGTCATGGAAATTCACAGCTGCTACGTAAAAATGATCAAATGAATATACACAGAACTCGGAGAAAACAACATGATTTACAATCTTTCCAGAATTTCTTGCCCCGTTTTCTTTTTCTGATAACCATGTTATTTAGTCAGTTAATACTTCGCCGTCGATTTATCAAACTGACCAAGTGACCAGGCTCGTTGACATTATTGAGGGATTAACTCTCGCAATTAATCCCATGGACACAACAAATTGCCTCTTTTTCAAAGTTTCGTTACTCCACTTCCGCAAAATTTCCTTCCCGAGGGACGACGATCTGCGTTGGCGAACTGGAAACGAGATACAACACGCCGAAGGCTGCGCGTGTACGACGATCGAATTATTTACGATTCCTTTGCGAACGCTTTCGTGACGTAATCTTGTTCTATTCCGCCATAACTCAATGTAGATTGAACGGTGTCATTGTTTCTTTTTTTTTCTTTTTATCTTGTGAAATTCTGCAGAGACTGTCGTTTTAAAATTAAGATTCTTAAATTCTTGGATCCATAATTTTCTAAATTCAAGAATTCGATCTTCTTAAATTCTGAAAGTCACAATTCACAATTTCTGAAATTCACAATTTAACCACTTGCGCTGACAGCTAATTGCGGACCATAACGAGTGACCAAATCATATACAATAATTCGTCGCTTTCTTTGTGAACTCGTCGGTATGATATCGCTGGTTAGAAATTATTGAGAAGTATACATTTATTATTTTATTATTTGTTTTGCTTGGGTTCTATTATTATTAACTGAGAAAGTATTGCAATTTTGAGACATCAAATTCTCGACGCACGTCATTCCAGCGCAAGAGGTTAAGAATTTGTGATTCTTAAATTCTGAAATTTACGGTTCACAATTTTTGAAATTCACAATTAAAGAATTTGCGATGTCTTAAATTCCGAAAATTACGGTTCACAATTGAAGAATTTAGGATTCTTGAATTTTGAAATTCACCCAACGCCCTGAACGGCCCTCTGTTTCAGATCGCCGTTGTCGGGATCGGATACGCAGCGCAAGATCGTCGAACGTACTTCGTACTACCCCCAAGAGCCGAGCAAGAGGCCAAAGACCAGACAGGAGAAGATTCGATCATGTCTCAGGCACAATTCTCTAACCATGTTAACGGTCGCCGGTGTGTTCGGGGGCGTGGTCCTCGGTATTATCCTGAGGAACATGCGGAGCCAAGGATGGACGCCCCGCGAGATCATGTACATCAACTACATAGGAGATCTGTTCCTGAGGATGCTGAAGAGCTTGATCTTGCCGCTGATTATATCCAGCTTGGTCTCGGCCATTGGATCTCTCGATCTGTCATTGAGCGGCAAAATTGGCATGCGCGCTATAGTGTATTACATGGTAACCACTATTAGCGCTGTTATACTAGGTCAGTGAGAGAGGCTAAGTAACGAGAGATTTCTGGCTACTTCGTAGTTACGTAATCGAGAGTAGTAGCGCGGCAGTTTACCGGGTGGGATATCGCAGGTGAAGGATAACGTCGTGACACTGTAACAGTAGTGTACCGACTGAGCAACAGCAGGTATATGAATATACATACCTCGTCTGTGGCAGAAGTAACAAAAGTTGTGGAACGAGACTTGGAAATTTATTTTGAATAACAATTTGTCAATAAATTTTTGAAATAATAGATTTCAATTATAATTAATAAGGAATTTGAAGCTGTGCAAATAATACTGTGGAAAAATAATAAATTGGAGAGCTCTGATTATTTGGGAAAGTAAATTTATTTGACAATTGAAAATTCGTCTTTAAATTATCATTCAGAATAAATTATTCAATTAGAAATTAATTAATTTAATTTTTTATATGAAATACTTAATAATATAATTTCGTTATTTTACAAATAGATGATTTCTGAAATAATATTACTTTGAAAAGTAATTTGAAAAATTTTTCGACACGATAGCAGCTTCAATAATAATGAACTGTTCCTCTCTTCTTCCTTCAGGTATCATTTTAGTAATCACCATACAACCGGGCGTAGGGAACAATCCGGAGATCAAGACGAAAGAACGATCTCAGAATGTTTCGACTGTCGACACGCTGATGGACTTACTTCGGAACATGTTCCCCCCAAACCTGGTAGAGGCGTGTATCTCTCAACACAGGACCGAAATGCAGAAACCAGAGAACAGCACAACAGGTTGAAACTGTAGATTCTTTCTATACATTTGTCCAAAGATTTAACAAGTCACAAATCATTCAACAATGAATTTAAATTAACGCGTCAATATATTGTTTGCTGGAACAGATAACATAGATTATTGGGAACCAGTGCAAAAAAGCGTGTCGGGGACAAACATCATGGGCTTGGTCGTGTTCGCCACGGTGCTGGGCATAACACTGGGAAAAATGGAGGAACAGGGCAAGCCGCTGCTCATGTTCTTCGAGTCCTTGTCTAGCGCCATGATGTTGATTACTCACTGGGTGATTTGGTAAATTCACATTTGACGAAACACTATCTTGTAGTCAAAGTACAGTAGCCCTCACGTAACTGACCACACTTTGGATCCTGTAACTGACCAGTGGTTACCCCCACCAATTCTTGGAATTGGGACTATATCCCCCCACTCTTCGCTATTTAACGTGAAACATAACACTTGCACAAAACAAGCGATATATGATGCCAACTGGTAGACTACACCTCCTCGTTTAAGTGTCCATAGTCGGGGCAGAAGGGAGCTACTGTATTTCGTACAAAATTATATCATTAAACACTTTTATAAAGCGTTGTTGCTGTAAAACATTATGTTGTTATTATAAAACGTTACGTTTTACGGCAAAATTTAACTGTTACGCTCCCTCATCCGGCGAAGTGGTGGCAGTTGTCCCGTTGTCATTGACAGCATATTCACAATGGCCAAAGATGAAGGGTTAATTACGTGATGGTAAATTGTTTTTCAATTTTTTTATAAAACGTGGAATATTTTATTCTCCAGGTTGTCGCCGGTGGGCGTTCTCTTCCTGGTGGCCGCCAAAATCACCGAGATGCAATCGCTGGACGAGGTGGTCGCTCAGCTAGGAATGTACTTCCTCACTGTTCTGATCGGCCTCTTCATACACGGGTTCATAGTCCTCCCCTTGCTGTACTTTATAATAACGAAGAGGAACCCGTACGTATACATATCGAACCTGGCCCAGGCGTTGGTCACCGCGTTCGGCACGTCCTCGAGCTCAGCGACGCTCCCGATCGCGATCAACTGCCTGGAAGAGGGGAACAACGTCGATCCACGAATCACCAGGTTCGTACTGCCGATCGGTGCCACCATCAACATGGACGGCACAGCGTTATACGAGGCGGTGGCTGCGATCTTCATCGCGCAAGTGCGTCAAGTCAGCCTCAGTTTCGGCCAGCTGGTAGCAGTCAGGTAACCACGATCTTTAGGGCATAGTTTGCGTTCTTCCTCTGTAACGCTGGAACTGCCACCCAACTGTATTTTTAACCATTTTTGCGCTGCAACTTTTTCTCAAATATATCTCACAACAACTCCGACTTTTTTTATCCGGCTTCTTATGTAACGTCTAGTAAACTTATTTGTTTGAGAGTGAAAATTATAAGTAAGAGTTCGCGAACGAAATGTTGAGTTATTGTTTATAATGTGAGTGTATTGTCAGTTGTTTAAAAGTAAATTTTGAAGCAACTGGCAGGATGTATATCATACGACAAAGTTATTTCATTTGCATGAAATAAACAAAAGTGTTCAATGAGCTCGGTTGAATTAGAGCTGGTTGATTGGCGGTCCACGAGCCCTTACCCCCACTTTTCTGATCGCTAGCGCTACCCCCTCCACTGCGTCAATCTCTCCGCCATATGACCCCCACGAGAAAATTTCAATACAGTGGCGGGGATAGCGCTAGCGATCAGGAAAGTAGGAGTAGCGGCCGCCAGTTAATCGAATCCATTGAATACTTTTTTACATGTATTTCCAATTCAAATCGAAGGTGTAAAATTCATCTATGATAGCCACGGACGAACTTTTCTTTCTACCCTGTATAATGCGCTTGGTTTGGTGATTATAGCGCATTATAGTAGGGTAGTTAGTCACATTGCTTCCTATCCTAATTAAACCTAGACCACGTGCATAAATAGGCAATTTTTACTTTAATTTTACTCTTATTGCGTTGCCTGGCGTTTCTCGCAGTTACGTCGAGGAAGCGCTATCGCGCCGCATGGCACCATCCAACACGGTTAAAAAAATATTTTAGCAGTTAATACTGAGATTTCTTTAGTATCACGGCGACTGCCGCAAGCATCGGTGCAGCTGGTATTCCGCAAGCTGGCCTCGTGACGATGGTGATGGTGCTGGATACTGTCCGTCTTCCGGCTGACGACGTCTTCCTAGTCATCGCCGTCGATTGGCTGCTGTAAGTTTCTTTCGTTTCAAATTTGTTCAATCTCTGCATCAAGCCAATTTTCACGAAACGTTGATTCTTGATTTTCGTTCATCTTTCATCAATTCGTTCAAAATTCATTTAAGTTCAAGTTTAGTTTAGGTTTATTTAGGTTAGTTTCTCCTTCAAGCGAATTTTCACGAAACGTTGGTCCTTGATTTTCGTTCATCTTTCATCAGTTCGTTCAAAATTTATTTAAGTTCAAGTTTAGTTTAGGTTTAGGTTTAGGTTTATTTAGGTTAGTTTCTCCTTCAAGCGAATTTTCACGAAACGTTGATTCTTGATTTTCGTACATCTTTCATCAATTCGTTCAAAATTCATTTATGTTCAAGTTTAGTTTAGGTTTAGATTTAGGTTTATTTAGGTTAGTTTCTCCTTCATGCGAATTTTTACGAAACGTTCGCCTTTGAATCCGCAGGGATCGCTGCAGAACGACGGTGAACGTGGTGGGGGATTCCCTCGGAGCCGGGATCGTGAACTATTTGAGCAGAAACGAGCTGGCTTCGTTGCCGCACAACGCACAGGCCCAGAACGGGGCGGACCATCACACCACCACCTCCATATGAAACCGAGATCGACAGAATTCGATCGGCTGAACTCGTGAATTGTCGACAGGGACGACGAGCAACGTTCCCTTCCTTCTCAACACTGCTCGTTAAATCGTCGCACAAATCCCCTTCCTCCCACCTACCCCCACCGAACTTTCAATATTTCTATGTCGAAAACGAAGTTCAGTAAGCATGATGATAATTCCTCGAGAACAAACGGCGACGTGTAATACGTAGCAGTTTTATTCCCCCCGTTCTGTTCGTAGCAGTCTTCCTATATATCCAAGAAGAGACCACCTCGATGGTTCTCGCACGATATTGACAGAGGAATATTTTTCTCCTTTTTTTTGTATTTAATTTCACAGCTGCCAGATTCATTCGATTAGAGTACAAGAAAATAATAATAGTAATCAAGTGATCCGATCATGTTTTAATGGTCGTATATATCTATATCGTTCATTTTACGATAAAATAAGAAACGAAAATTAAAATGGATCGAGCTTTCGACGTTCGATCTCTTCAATTCATTGATCCATAGTGCCATATACTTTAAAGTTTAAACGTCTTGAAGCTGAATTCTCTTTGAACTTAACTTCCCATTAAGTTCGACATCGTTAAATTCTGAAATATCCTGGTACTTGGAAATTCCTGCGATTTCATTTTCTGAAAGCTATTTTTCTTTCTAGAGTCGTGCTAATAACGTAATGAATATACTACTGCCTAGGTGTTCCAATTTATCTTGAAAGTGTTCTTTGTTTTCATTCGTTACTTCTGAACTCGTTTTACGGCGAAACGTCATTCTTTTCTCGCGAGTCGACGAAATTGTTACACAAAAACATTCGACCTCAGAAGCATTTTCTTTTTAATGAATACAATTTTTTCATACACCTATACTCGTATACGAAAAAATTCGACGACAAGTTAAAACGGCACGAATGTAGTCGAGATGTATAAAATCCCATTGTACATGATCGTTTTAGCCAGAACGCTAGTATCACAACAACAGTTAACATAGCATTGAATTACCATTTATAGCCTGATCTTTGTCTTCCATTGTTACGACCTTATAACCTTTTTATCGATTTACAAATTCTTAGCGATGTAATAGCCTATGAAATATTTATAATTGTCCATCTAATTCCCCCATAGATTTATACACCTGCGAAAGACCACGCAAAATTGTTTCAAATTATAGTATTATATCTTTAGGGAGCCAGTGACGAGAACATTATGATATTCAATATACCTCACTGTGCTAGATGAGAGAGAGAGAAAAAAAAGTGTTCAATTGTTAACTAGAAAGTGTAAAGGTGTATTTTATATATTATATAACGTATCTGACAAGAAACGCGTTATCAGGTGTACACTCATTTATACAGTTACATTGGTGCATGCAGAGAACGTAACTGAATAGTCAATTTATATTAACTTATTTACCGCGTTATATCTCTTATCCGAGGATCATTTAATTAACTCTTTGAAGTACTACAGTTTTCTCCTCCTTTGTAAATTCAATGCCATTTTGTTTCTTATCATAACAATTAAAATAAGAAATGCCAACGTATTGTGAAGTAAATTCATAAATTACCTAAGACAAAGATGGCTAAGTGGTCCGCAAGCCTTTGTCCCTACTTTTCTGATCGCTGGCACTACTCCCTCCACTTGCTTGCAATTCTGAGTGAGAGAGTGGGGCTCGTGCACGGCGAGGAAATTTCAATGTAGTGGGGAGATGGATGCAGTGGAGGGGATAGCGCTAGGGATCAGGAAAGTAGGGACAAGGAGTCGCAGGTCGCCAGTTAGCCTCTTAAGTCTTAAGAGATCTGATAAATTACGTATTAACTCTTCCTATTGAAAGATTTATATAAAAGAAAAATGGATAACCACACGATTTAATAAAGGCAAGAAATTGAATTGTTCTTCGATGTCATTATTTAGGAAAAGAAGAAAAAAAAATCAAGTTTCAATATACGTGTTTAATATTTAAGGCATGATTCAAAACTAATAATCGTAATCTATCGTAATCTATCGTGAATTGATGTACAGTTACATCTTGTAATCAGATACTATTAGCAGAATTTATATACCTGTGTTTATGTAATTAAGTAATCGCCATAGTTGCTTAAAAATATACTGTATGATATTTATTTGTACAATAAATGTACAAACTGACATAACAATAAAGGTATTGCTTATTTCTAATCAAAGATTTAGGCTAGTTCCCTTAAACATCGACTGTTTTAACTCATTCAGGGAAAGAAATATCTTTCACTATCGACTTTGCAAGTTATTTCTCCTTCGTTGTACGGGTTACTTCGACAATACAAAATAATTCGTTAAAGTAATTACTAAAAATTATTTATTTCAATTGTAATTCTATCTGTGCATAGTATAACATTTTTTTTTTTATTTTTTGGTTTCACCAGTTACATTTCAATTTGCATTGTCACAAGTTTAAGTGGCAGTTGCAAAGAAATATGAATAATATGATAACATAAAATATCATATCTTAAAAATATGAAATACGTATTAAAAAAAAAAAGAGAAGAATATTAAATGTAAGTATAAGTATATAAGAAAACGATATTGTAAAAATTTCTATCACATTTTAAACATAACTTACAACCACCTATTTCTATTGTCTTGTTTGCAAAATGAATATGCAGAATTTACATTGTAAATCAGTGATTGGTTTTATTTTAAGCTGATACATTATTTGCGTTAGAAAAAGATAGAAGGTAGTTTTGTTGCATATTTAAAATTATAATGCTTAACAAAGTAACATGACTAGATGAAAATGCACTTTATAATACTTTGAAATAATAATGCATAGAGACTGTAGAAAAAGGAATATATTCGATGGAATATCGGCTGGCAATTTCGGAATTCCACCATAATTTTTCATGTATACCGTACGTTATTAAATTTTCTATGCAAACACAATTTAATTTTACCTCTTCGTTAAATCAAGATCATGTTTTAGCTTTGTTTCATCCACCGAATCAGTAGAAATCAACTCGTTATTTTTGATGCAATGATCAGCGATTACTGGACGTCTGAATTCCTATTACAGATAAAAAGCACTTACGACGGCATTGAATATATAAAATTTTTTATAGTTAACGTTAGGTGATCCCGTAAAATGAAGCATGTCCTTTCGACACGATTTTCAAACTATCAGCCCTTTCTTTATCGCTCGAAAAGAAAAGTATGACAGTAAATCGCAAAACACATATTCATCGAGTCTTAAAATCTTAAACGGGCATTATGTACATAATATAAACAATTCGCTATATTATTTACAAAACTAAAATAATTTCGTAAGTCTCGCGTTAACGCTAAACATCTATAAATCACAATTGTCATCGACTTCGACAGTGTGTAAAATATCCTTCGTACCACGACAATAAATTGTGCTCAATTATGTGAAAATTTCGATATAGAGAATAATTCCAGACTCGCTTCCCCCCTTTCGAGTAATTCTTAATAATGTTTTAATTCAAGGAGATTCCTTGTATCCATGAACTTAGGTCACTCGTGTCTTCGCAACTGAGGCTCAACGAGTTCTTTTCGTTCTTTCTCGATTCCAAGAGTGTCTGAGCAGCGGTTCGTCCGGTCAAATACGCCCCGTGTACTGTACTATAAAAGGAAGAATGTGTGTGCTCGCCTGCGAATGCTATTACTATTTTCGAAGGATCGTCTTCTTGTACTATAGGCTCTGCTAAACAATTAATGTCTAATTGACTCGCACCGACAGCCATGGCGGTGTAGGAACCACGCGTGTACGGCTGCGAATGCCACGAAGTGCGCAAACAATTTTTTGGTGCTGGCACAAACGGGTCGTTGAGAAATCTCCTCAGTATCGACGTGCATACTTCAGCCACTTCCGCCGAGCTCAATTTCTCCATGTACTCGGCGGCCTTCCCCGATATCCAGCCCAACAACAGAGTCTCCGTGATTTTTGTAAAAGAATAGATCTTTCTGAACCACGTTTTATTGATGTCTTGCTTCTCTTCCTCCGACAGCCCCCTGTCGTCCCATAGAAGCATTACTTCCGACACACTAGGATGCAAAAACGGTCTCTCGTACTCTAAAAATATCTTATCTACAGCACCAAATAAGAGTCTATCTATGGCTTCGAGTTTGTCGTTTGGTAAAGGTGGTTCGAATATGTCGTTCGCTTTCCCCTTAAGTACTCCTAATGGCAATGTACAAATCACATGTTCGGCTACTATAGTTTTTCCATTTTCACATTGTACTACAACAGATGGGTTCGCGTTAGAATGATTATTAGAATTTTCATTGTCCATACATTTACTTCTTTGCCACCTACAATTCAATATACTCGTGTGAGAATCCAAAACGTAAAACATTTATACATTGATTGATAAGAAACTAACTTCAAGGTCCGTTTACCTAATTTTGGCGACAGCGTGTTTAGTCAGAATACTGCTCTTTGGTATGTGTTTTGAAACTGGTTCCAATATAGCACTGTATCCATCCGGAAGACTAATATTCCCGCCTTGGAGTTCTGCGTAGGAACCCATTTCCAACAAGTCAACATCTTCCATGCTATCACAGCCAGTAATGCAGGTCTCCCGTTTGAGTAGACAGTCAAACATCAATTGTCTAATTTTCCTCTCTTCGGGTGGCAAGGCCGACAGGTAGATCTCAGCCTCCAGTGCCACGTGAGCTCCAACGCTGTTTATCCCATCCGGTGGGCTATAAGTACTTAGGAAATACTCCTCGCATCTTCTTAGAAAACACACATAAGCTTCGTAGATTTCTTGGAGAATTGGAAAAGGCAATTGTTTCCCATCTTCCATAGCGGCTACTACTTTATGAGGCCTTGGTACGCGTACTATGTCTATCAATCCGTTTGCCATAGCCAACTCAAACATCGGATTCCCTAAGACTCCGTGAATCCAGTTTGCTCCTAACTCTACCTTCTCGTTGCCTGTATGTAAAATGCACGGCCGTGCTTAAGGTTCATGAAGATCATCAAAGAATTGTTTCCACTATGAAACTAAAACTTGTACATGTACACTGTACATATATGTGTACACACAGAGAAGGTTATATCTTTCACTCGAATTCTGAATTCAAATTTAACTTTCAACTCAAGACAATTAACAATTTCTTATCGTTGAGTTCTAACCGAGACTTATTGTTGTTAATATGTTTTGTATGTGCTCGTTTGTTTTTGAGCATTTATCAGAAAATATTTGAGAGAGAAACGGAAAAACAAATTGATAACGTCTTCTACTTGTATTTTTTATCGAACATTATATACACGTGTAATAGTGTAAGATACCACGATGTGAAGATTATATTTCAAAAGACGAACGGGTCGAATACAAAAAACATGAGATTGAAAAGCTTATTGATTGACGAAACACGGGAAATAGGTTAAGTGGGAACTCACCGATTTTGGTGGCGACTATACGGCCACCGATTCGACCCCGCGCCTCCACGATCAAAAAGTCGGTCTCGTGGTTTTTCAACAAGTGATTCGCGGCCGATAGTCCAGCCATCCCGGCCCCGACGATCACGATCTTGCACTTGACTTTATCATCCTCCGTCTTCTTCGTGGACTCCGCCATGATCATATCATATCAGTTGTCAGTGGCAGAACTTACATGGCTTATTAATTTTTATTCAAATTTTTACTCCTCATTTTCGCTCGACCATCATACCCTCCGGCTACTGTTGCTTCATCGAGCTCCGTGCTTTCTCGAAATCCGCTCAAAGTTCTTTGACGTTTCCCATTTTTATCTCGACCGCGCGTCGAGATTTGCCGCGAACACGCGAAATTCGTATCTAGTTACTTTCGTTTTTTCACCGGCTGGTCTTTCGCGCGCCGCGATTCAAACGATACACAAGGTGGTCCATTTAACACTAGAATTACCGACGACTGAAGTGTAACGTTTGTGGCGAAGAAATTAAAGTGCAAGGTACAAGAAAAAAAGTTAATAGTAATATAATAATAAAAGTTAACAATAATAATAAATAAATATAAGGAATAATAATACTAATAATAACTATAAGGACTATAATAATAAGTAAATTAATAATACTAAAAAGTTAACAATACTATAATAATAAAAGTTAATAATAAGGAACACAAGAAGCTATTAATATATTTTATTAATGATCACTCGAGTATCTAAAAATATACTGTTATAATTGTACAAAATTTAAACACATAGGAAACTATAAACTAATCATTTTGATCATCTTAGCAGTTCTAGTGTCTTTTTATCTTTTCGAATTGTGTGACGATGGAGAAAATGTTTTTTGTCCTAATATGAATGGTATCGAAAGGCCAATAACTGGTAAGAATATTTTGCTTCCAAGGTCATTGATGTTTCCCTTTCATATGTATTTGTATGGAGTGGCTGACAAAAAGATACGTTCAAGTATGTAAAGAACATGACCTTGAAAATTTAAGTTTCACGCATAAATCTATCTCTATCGAGATTGCAGACCTTGGGCCATGACGCAACGAACGAGAGCCTAATAATAAATAAATGTAAATAAACTGTGTTTACTATTTACTGCGTCATCAACGATGATCTCTAAATTTGTCGGTAATTCGTAATGGGATACTCAATGCAAGAAGAGATCGGTATGACACTCATTTATGGTAAAAATGATCAGTGTACAAAGATACACTTTAATCGTAATTGTATTAACTACGAAGTACATAAGCAAAGGTGGTCAAAAATTTTCATAAAACTGGCGTATCGTGGAGAAACTAAAGGAGGACTGAAACTGTTAATAATGAAAGAAATAAAGAAAATATCTTCACGGAACAAGTTTTGCTGAAAAAAATGCATTTTTCTCAGTAGAACAAATATGAAAGTGATTCAAAAGAAAAATTTAAATTTTTGCACATCAGTGTCATTTCAAGGTCATGCTCTTTACATACCTGAACGTATTTTTGTATCAATTATTCGATGCAATTAAAGAAAAAAAAAACATATTTGTATGAAAAAAAACATTAATGACCTTGAAAACTTCGAAAAAAGTGACCTTGGGAGAAACATTCTTATCAATTATATTGGACTTTCGGTACCATTCATGTTAAATGAATAATATTTTGTGTATCACAGTTCGAAAAGATATTTTCAGACCACCCGGTATATACAATGAAGGGCTTTAAATTAATATAAATTTGTAAACAAAGATCTTGCAACAATCCATTTTGGTCTCATTCACATCATAAAATTTCATCTCCTATCACAAAAATTTGCACAAAAAAATGTTTTGATGTTTTTGGAGACGAAAATTTTAAATTTTGACAATTTTTCATTGTACAGTTATGCCCTTCGCTGTATAACGAAAATTAAAATATATTACCGTAAACGAGAAAGATATTTTTCCAATTTTTGCAATTCTAGTTCATTCTTTAAACGCGATCAGAAATAAGAAATGAGAACACCAACAGACATATCCACACGATTTTCTTTATTTACAAATCACAAATTTCTAATCGCGAATTACAAATTTCAGCTCTCTCTCTCTCGTCAATCCGATGTGTGTCCTATGTTGACAAATTAAACGTTTCAAATTCTAACGCGTTACAATTCCTCACGGTCAAGTGAACCTCCTTGCAGTTCACACGCTTAATTTCTATGTTCAATTAATTTACCATTTTATATGACTTTTATGTGACAATCTTATAATATAAGCAATGAAAAATAAAATTCTGCGTTTTTAAAATATGTGGATTTCCTTTCTCCAATTTTTTTTTTTAATAACAAATATAAACATTTATATACGTCGATAATTAGTTACAACAATAAAGAAAGTTTGCACCCTTCACTTGGAACTAAAATTTATTACTTTTTTTAGTACTTCCAGCAGGCTTGCGTATACCTACCGTTTGTCTGGCAAAACGTTAAGTTCTAAAATTTAATCTGATTCTCGAAACGTTACAAGGAAAGGCAAAAAAGAAAAACGAAATTAAAAAAGGTTATATCACAAAAATGCTATCTCCTAAACTAAAAGAATATTTTATCTATGGATTACTGTTAATTATCTTCAAAAAAACAAAATCTATACTATGATAATAAAACAGTGTAGACGTACGTGTTTCAGCTTTTATACATATTTACAGATTATTATTAGCAGTTACTATTACAGACGTCTTATTCACATTATAAATATTTCCGTATTTAAATCCCTTCGATTGAAATGTCACAAGTTCCTTTGCTAAGCTCAACTTTAAAGTGGAGCAAATTTCAATTAACAGAGAAGTTGCAGAAATTTGACGAAATGCAAAGAAATTCTCTGGCTCAGTTTTTCACGATCACAACAAGTCAGGCTTGAACCTCAAATTCTTAATTAGAATAACAATAATTCGTATCTTTCTGCCAAATTCAACATTTAACATACACTTAGATATATATATATGTATAATATATAATATATATATATGTATATATTATATATATATATATAAGAAAGTTAATTCGAAATATCCCATTAAAGGATTCTAACAATTTTCTCCTTATTACAATACAAAGAAAGATAAATAAAAATCCTTCAGTTTGTTACACTGATATTTTTCCTTCGAAACTATCAACTATTATTATACACATATTATACGAATAGCAACAAAACAGATATATTTACACAATAACAAATAATGATACTTCATTTTGATTTCAGTCGGAAAAAATTCTTCATCAATATTTTTTATAAAATTTACATGTACGTATATAATGTACAAAAAATGCGACATTAATTTCTTTTCTTCTTTTTTTTTTCTTTTTCTCATAAAAAGCAAACAGATCTAAGTTTCAGAATCCAATGGATTGAAGCTAATACAATATAAAATAAACTTCATTATCTATTCTCAACTTTGAATTTCACAATCTCTTTTTCTCTCTTTTTTTTATACTTGTTATATTTATGCTCGAACATGAGTCAATATATTTTTATAGTATAAGCGCTGTTTTTTTTTTGTGTATGTGTGTGTATTTCATTATCTATATAGATGGTTAGTACTCGAATAGAAAATATTTTCTCCTTAAAAGATCTATTTCTCAATGGTTCCGCCAGTTTGTTTTAACTATACATTTCGACCGTGTACAAACGTCGCGAACTTTATATTCGTGTATACGCTATATTTAATAAAATTGTTAACAAAATAGAAGCGAACAGAGCAAGGTGTTTTAATCATCGAGTATATAAAAAATTAATTCAAGCACAGTGTGTGTATCTTGACTGCTTTGCGCTGCTTTATGCAGAACTTGAATTAATTCGTTGTCTAAACTCTTCATATAGATCGGGGGCAATTTCATGCCTTCGCTACCGGCTTCATAACCAACCTAGTATTATTACAATTCAGTTATATTTCTCTCCTCATTAAAAAAAAAAAAATTACTTTAAATTACTCTAATTAAGTTTCAAGGTCTGTATTACATACTTTTTTTTTTTACTGTTTAATAGAAAAGCTTGCAACTTACAAGTTATTACAGTACACTTACGTTGTCGGGATGAATAGTCGTCCTTACACCAAGTTTCGTTAAACCAGCATTCGCCAACAAGTCCAATAATTTCACTAAGGCTGTACACGTTGCTTTCGCTATATTTCCTGATAATTTGTTTATATCCACCGGGTCGTAAACTCCATTTGGATGATCGTCGGACTTCAAAAAAAAAAAAAAAAAACATATTATACAAAAAAAAAGAATAGTAACAATTTAGAATTTAGATTATATTCTTTCCTAAACGTACATTGATAATGAACACTTCTGTCCATCGAATAAATCTACTCGTTCCCTTATAATCAATACCATTATGTACTCTGATTGAAGGAATACCATCCATCGGTTGTCTATCGATAGGACTTTTTACTCTGAGAACAAACAACAAATTTAAATAAACGTGCGTGACTATAGACGACAGTCGTATTTAATATTTACCCTAGATTGAACTGCACGTCATTATCGACCCATTTTATGTTCACCGTTTCATCTGGCTCGGGCGCTCCTTGTCGGCCACATCCGATCGAGAAGTCTTGCATATTTTTCAGAGCCGCCTTCAACGCTTCCATCTTTTCCGGCATTATTTCCACCATCAATCCATCCTCAACTATACTGGACTTGGCCGACAGGCCCATCGACGACTTCAACGCCCCGTTAATAACGATAAAACTGGTGCCTGTTACTGTATCGATATCGAATACCGATTACTTTCAAAACGTTCGGACACAGGCGTGTAAAAATTACGTACGTACTTGTTCTTTGATTATTGTTGATACTTATCGCTTGCGTTTGATAAGTGCTTTCATCACCGGTGTTTGTCTGTATACAGACTAAATGCGAGTCGGCAGCGATGCTGAAGTTTGAAGCATACGCTAACACGTGATCGTTTGAATTGTTTAAACCTTTGATCACTTGGTCGTATCGATTCCTTGGGAACATCACGTCTGTCATTCTGTTTCTCAGGTGAATTGTCAGCCCTCTCACGCTCGGCAACGTGTACGCGAAATTTCTGAAATCTGCCAGAACCTTCATGACTGTGTGTCCTATTTCAAAGTACAATGCATCTCGAAACCGAACCGAGAACAACGGGCAGGGATAGTAACGATACTCTGCGCCGAGCCGTAGGACAAGGCGTAATGGAAATACTTTCGCCCATGGCGTTTCCCACCTGTGGATAATCAGCAATGTTAAATGAATTTTCTGTAAAGACCAAATTTCATTTTATTGCACTTTTAAGAAGACAAACCTGTGAACTAGAAGGCCAATTAAGTATGGGGCGGGAGGTAATATAATTTTCTGCAAGCACTGCGATGTTTGCCGAATGAATAAGAATCCTGCGTGCTCCCGAGAATCCAGGAAATTTCCTCCCTGGTATATTAAAAATCCCAGTTCGGACACGGTGTTTCCTGCATGAAGTCGTGGTCACGTAACTTTTGCGATTTTAAACATTAATCGGTGTAGCATATGAACAATACCTTTCATAGCTTCGAGATGTAATTGGTTGATAAAGAGAAGGAGATCCTTGGGCACCCGAGTTTCATCAGGCAGCGCTTCGATTAGCAATATAACTTCATCTTGTCCAACGCAGTCCAATCCTTTCGATGTTACGTTCCAACACGTTTTGTTAACACAACAATTTACTACGAGGAATTTGTATTACATTTATTAGAGACATGTATTGAATTAGGAATCATAGATTTAAATTTATACTTACATGTTACTATTTTAACGTAAGCATAAAGATTCCGATTAATGGCAAACATAATGGGTGGTTCGCACTCGTTCTTCAACGTTTTGTAAAGAAGATTCTCGTCCGTCACAGCATGGTACGATACCTCTGTTTTACATTTAGTTGAATACACTTTGTCTAATACAGTTAGCTAATATTTTGTAAACAAAGTTATTACTTACGTCCTTTATGTATTGTTACTGTTGGTGGAAGAGCATTAGGATCCTGTGGCACGTAGCTTTCTGTATTTGGGTCCAAACGTGGTAAGTTCTGCTTTTTGACGGATGTGCTTGGAGCAGATGAGCCAGGCGTTGGTATTCGTTTGCTTCCAGATTTCCGGTACGGTGGTTTCAAATCCCACGACATGTCTAGTTCTGTCAGGTCACAGCCAGGCCTTATTCCTGTGTTTTAGTTAGAGGTGCATAAAACCAAAACAAACAGGAAGGAACAGGTCCATTGTCAGGGTGAAATATTTGAAGGAGACGAAAAACAAGAAATAATAGCTTGGACAGAGGAGTGTAATTTTAACTCAAAGAACTAAAAATATTATAACAAGGTATGTTAAGAGTAAAGTGTAACGAGTTATTACACAAGGTAGTAGCAGATTTGAATAGTATATATCAAGCATTAAGTATTGAATATTCTAAAGCTGTTTGCATTCTAATGCTTAAGCAAAGATAATTCTTGCTTTAGTAAAAAAAATCAAAAAATTGCATATCTGTAAAACATTAAAAAAACTGAAATATTTATTGCACATATGCATTAGCAATACATTTTTCTTTTGATTTCAATAAATTTGAATATATATATATATGTAATTTTTACTTACCATCACTGAACATAACAGATTTTGAAATTTCAGGTCGACTTTTTGTACCATCCTCTCTTTTAAGGACTCCGACAGGTACCATAACTGTGGGAGGTGGAGGCAACCCGCCAGCTAACTGTTGTAAGGGTGGTATAGTTGAACAGTACTCCATGGGATTATTTGGATTAGGCTGTCTCCCCTATAACGATTTGTCGAATACTCCTGACATTCACATTTATTTGCTTATCCAACAAACACAGGTCATGCACATAAAATGGTACTTCTTGTTAGCTGTATATTTGAATACAATGAGATAATATCATATAATCTAGAAATCTTTTGATTTCAAGAAGGAATTTCTTTCTTGGTTTGAAAATTCACAGAAAGCTTGAGTAAAATAAACAAACTCACAGAACAACTACTATTAATGTATCTGTACAACTGAATTAATGCAAATTATAAGAAATCTTCTGTGTTTACTGGACGTTAATTACTATTAAGATAGGAAACAAACATGTCATTTTTCGCAAAGATACTACAGTTCAAACACATGCCTTATAATTGCAGCAATGCATGGCAAAGAAATAAGGAATATTTGTAACGCAAATAGATACAATACATTACTATAAACTTATTATGGCAACGATTTAAGAACAAAATTTTAAATAGCAAAGATTTATTTTTACATGATGGTAAAAAAAAAAAATAATATCAAAATTTCTACATCAAATTAGTACTTTTATATAAATTTATTTATATGAATAAGAAGAAAGAAGTATTCAACAAGTTGTTATAGGTGATTAAAAAACTTATACTAATATTTAAATAAATTCGCAAAAAGTAAAAAGAGTTTTTTCTAAATTTAATTTTTACGTATACTCTGAATGAATGAATTCAATAAAACATTAACAATTTGTAAATTGAAAAAACGGAACAAAATAATGAGATAAAAATCGATTAAATATAGGAGATTAATGAGTCTTACAAGTTTCCATTGCAAATGTGTTGTTTTCAATAGAAATTGAGAAATGAATAAACAAAAATTTATTAAATATTTACATCAATAATAATATAGTAAAATTCACAATCAAAGATTTAGTAGTATAATATCTCATATTGCTATTTTTGTAAACAACTGAATCAAATGAATGAAACAAAAAATTAGAAACAATTGAAAGTAATCATTCAATACTACATTTAAATATGATAAACTACTATTGGTATATACTTTGTGTCAAAGAAGAGAGCTCCAAAGATGTTACTCACAATTAACATGCCAAATCTATTTTATAAAATTAATTAATTCGTCAATAAATAAAACAATCAAAACTATAAACAAAAAATAAACAAACTAAACATGCAAATACATAAATCTAAAATATACAAGCAAACAATTCAAAGAATATAAACAAACTATAAATGATTAAACCAAAAATCTAAAGACATAAATATGTATCTTTCGACGAATTTTATAAATTGTCAATAATCTGTTACAAAGCAAGACTTAAAGCACTCTCTTGAATTTCTTAAGTAGAAGAGGGCAATTTATAAATTTCATGGCAGGTTCAAAAAGAATTTATGACAACATTATATAAAATAACTCATATCTAACATACCTGAGGTGAATTGATATCATTATTATTTGCGTATGTGGAATAACCAGAAGACCATTCTCCCATACCTTGTTCTGTTTCAGCTAGAAAAAAAAAAAAAACGATTAATTCCTTGATATTTTTTAGAAAAGTATTAAAATCATTAAAATAATAATAAGTTGAAGAAACGTTACCTTTAGTAAGAAGCTGATAACAAGAAACACAAACGCGTGAATCGATGTTTCCCTGATATTCCAATTTATATTTCATATTACAACATTTATTACATAATACTTTTCCACATGCACGACAGTGATGTCGTCTTTTGAGTACAGTGAACTTAACATCACAGAGCATACAACTGGGTGCATCACTGTCAGGAACCCAGAATGGTGGTTGTTTTCCCAAAACTGAACTAGTTTCTGGCAAAGAATTCTCTAAAATATCCGGCGAAGATCCTTGCTCTTCCTTTGTACCATCGACATCTGATTGAACTTGGTAAGATGGCGTATCACTTGTAGAGCCAAGTACTTGGTGTTCGCTGCTATTATTTGACAAAACAATATCCAATGTTTGGGGTCGTATTGGCTTCTCTGAATCATCACTGGTGTCACTTACATTTGGTTTTGTATAAACATCCACAGATGTAGACATTTCATCGCCATTATGTTTTGTATTGTCAGATAATATATTTTCCTCAGATGTCACTGAAGTTCTTTCTTCAGAGGTACTATCGATGTCGCTTGGCATTTTTAAATCACAAACTTGATTATATTGCTTACTTATTTTCTGCTCTTTCAACTGTATTTTTGTTTTACTATTGTTTAGTGATCCCTGATTAATATTTAAACTGTACATAGAATGCTCTTGGCTGTCTTTAATATCTTTTGCAATAGGCACACATTCATTTTCTAGTTTCATTTTATTATCTTTAGCTACGTTAACTGTATGCAATAATGTTAATTCTTTACTATTTGGATTATTTAAAATATCTTTGTGTTTATCTTTATTTATCTGATCGTCAGATTGTTGTACACTTTGCAATTGTTTATCCGTTTCTTCTTTCTGAGAGTTAGTTATTGAAATGTTTTCTATCCTTTCACTTAATTCCGATTCTATCATTTTGGAAGCTCCTACAATAGTATCTGAAAAAACTTGGCTATTCTGTTTATCTTCATCTTTTTGATCTTGAGCAACATTTTGTGATATATTTATAATGTTTTCATATTTATTACAGCTTTCCCTTAATTTCTCTTCTTCTTCTAATTCAGCTAAATATTTGGTCAATTCATCTTCCGATAAATTATCAATGTTACTAAATCCAATTGGTTTATGTACTTGACTTAAACTGTTCCCGTGTTCCTGATTTTTATCAATACTTTCCATGTTTAATTTCATTTCATTGTCCTGTAACTGTGTATTACACTCATGATAATTATCCTGTACAGAAGAACACTCAAGCACAGAATTATTTTCTTGATTCACTCTATCAGAATTCTCATTTTCAATATCTGCTTTATCACTGAAGTCAACAAAAGCTTCGTTTATTGCAACATTTTTGGAGAATTCTGCTTCACTCTCCAACGGCTTGAAATTCTTTACATGAACATTGTTTACATCTTCTTTAACATTAGTTTCATACGGGATAGGTAATTCTAATGCTATAGGTACTGGGTTATCTTGATAGCTTGTGACAGGAATTTCTGTAACTGAATTCGTTATGTCTACTGTAGGTTTAACAGCTACGCTATCTTCAGCAGCGCTCTGAATTATCTGACAGTGAGGTACCTTAGTCTCTAAATCAGGCTGTATTTTTGAATCACTTAATACAGAACTAATGCAATCTGAACTTCCAGGTGGAGCGTTAATGTATTCATTTAGACTGCTAAAAACATTACTAACGCTAGGTTTCAGATTAAACTGGTTCAATTTCTTATCATACCTATTGTCAATCTTTGGACTGTTGCTACTATTCTGTTGTTTCTGTATAACCTTCTGCGATATGTCGTTATATATTGCCAAGGGAACTTGGTCAGAGTCGTAAGATGAAACAGATTGTTTTTGTACCAGCTTATTATCACTTGTGCATTCATTTGTATAAAATTGATTTACATCCGTATTTTCTACTGCTGCTGCTTCTGCATTATAACTGAGATTCTCAGAGACTGTGTCATTTTCATTGACACATTTATTCTTCGTGTTTACCTCCTGCAAATCTTTGCGCCTCTCTACGGGCAATATAATATCAAATTCCTTATTGGCCTTTTTAGGTTCTATCAGAAGATAATTATAATTCTTCAAAGCTGAAGGTTCTAGATTACATTTAACTGAAGAAGATGACGCATTGTTTGCCGAAGGATTAACAGATGCTATTTGCTCTGCGCAATCTGAAATATAAAATCCGTTGTATTAACAGATGACACACGACAATGACAATGTGAATAAACAAAAACTTTTCTTGAAAGAGAAGCAGTTATATGTAGATCACAATCTTTGTAAAAGTAACTGAAATTTTTTTTCTAGACTGTTATCCAGTCAAAAAATTATCACAAAAAATTTGAAATTTTACAAGAATCTCGAATGTGCCATAAATGAACCGGAAATGAAAACGAACTGGATGGCAGGTTTTACCTTCGTTGAATTCGAAATCGTCCAAAACCTTGTCCAAATCGATAGCAAATTTTTCCATTGCGCCGTCAGTGTTAGCTACGCCAATTCCGATATCATTTAACAAACACTCCTATCCGACTTCTGACAATGGTAAACACGATTCCATTAACCGTCCGTGTAAAGCGTACGACGTAACTTTAGAATTTTCTTCCGGCTGTTCGTGAAAAAAACATCAGGACGTTAGGACATATAAAAATACCATGACCGACATACGTTACGTGCGCGATGTTCTTAATCCTCGAACGAGGATCAGCAAATATATCTTACAGCGAATCACAGTCATTCCGCGTAACGGAAGTCACACTTTTGCGCTAGGTGTTTTCAATCGGTCTCCCTTTGTCACCCATAACGCGCAGCCGATGACATCAATGAAACGGAGGATGATCAACCGCCTGAGTCACGCCTGGAGAAGTCAAAAAAATAACCATAAATTTTCGGCCATCACGTGGATTAAATGATAATGGAACAAGTACTTGCATACACGCTCGTACACTGGTACCTGGGCTCGTAGAACTGTCATTCTACGCGGAGATAAACGTTCGCCTATCGATGAATCGAACAATTTACTCCCGTATTATCGATCAGTCGATCGTCGTTGGACGAGTATCAATTTCGGAAAATGTTGACTTCGTTACGAGCGAGAACGTAACAACTCTAAATTAACGTGATTTACCGTAATTGAAATTTACTACAATAGGATTCCTGTTCTATAGAGTTTCTCTCTATGATGTAATGACATCGAGAAACGGTATCTTTTATAATGAAGATTCACGTGCTTTGCATGTAAATTGAACCGACTGGTTCAAATGTTGTTCTAGATATTGCAAAACATCTGTAAAATACACGCGTGTATCTTGAATTTACAGACATGGGTTATAATGCGCATTGAGGAATTACTGTGAAATTATAATTTTATGATAATATGGTAATGGTGATATATAGTAATATATAATTTCATGTGATATAGTACGAAAATAACATAAATAGTAATATGTAATTTCATAGAGATATAGCATGAAAATAAAACTTATAATATAATATATTATTTATGAAAATTTATATCATTCCATAGTTACCTACCCCTATTTTGGTACATTACGAAATAATAATACTATACAGTAATATATAAGTTTCATAGTGTAAAACTAAAATTTATATTATTCACAGTTGCCTACCCTGTCTTGGCACATCATGGAGTCTGAGCCTTCGACACACGTGTAGTGGTTATTTGTTGATATGTTTGAATTTAAAGAACAGTATCTTACTTTCTTTCGCACATAAATATCTAAATCAAATATACTTATATTGTTTTCTATGCAACAAGATCAGACAACATGTTGACGACCAAGATATTCTTCAGAAAAACTAAAGGGGGGAATGTGTTTAAGGTATTTCAATTGTTATCAAAAGTGTTTTCACGTTTTAAGATGTGCAATTAATTATATCAGTGAAATCATTCTCAATGTATCACTTTTCAAAAGATTAAATAAAATGGATTATAAGAATGTTATATGAAGTTTATCTCTCATTTTTAGACTGTTAGGGAGCACTACCTCAGAAATGATATTCACTGTGGATCTAAAGCTTGTGAAAAATGCATGTGCAAAACTAGGAACATAATTTTAGACGATGAAGATTCGAGTGTGAAGAGTTCTAAAATAACAGAACCTTATTATTTATTAATTGATACTAATATTATTTTAGATCAGGTGAGTGTAGTGTACTGGTATGTTTAACGTTCATAATATAATATATTAATATAACATTACATAATATAACATATTATGTAATTTTGATAACAATGCATGTAAATACAATTTTCTAGATTGACATTTTGGAAGAAGATGTCATTTGCAATGTTATAATTGTGCAAACAGTATTAGAAGAAGTGAAACATAGAAGTTCCATGGTTTATAAGAGACTGAAGAATATTATTACCAACCCACAGAGAAAATTTTATGTATTTGTGAATGAACATCATAAGTATATATCATCATAATAACAGTATATAAGTATAAGGTATACTTTATTATTATTTACATTTTTGCCACTTTTATGCAGAGAAACTTATATCGAGCGTAATCCCGGTGAAAGCACAAATGATAGAAATGATAGAGCAATTAGAGTCGCAACGAAGTGGTATAACGCACATTTACATCTGGATGATAATAAGATCAAAACTGTGCTATTGACAGATGATGCACGAAACAGAGAATTGGCAGAGAAAGAAGAAATTCCAGCTATCTCAAGTAAAATTATTTGTTTAATAGCGTTGAATGTTTATTTTTATCATATTGTTGTCTCTTTTTAGTGGAGGATTATATTTTATCACTAGAGAATTCAGCCTTTTTGGCTGATAAGTTGTGTAAAAAGAATTATAGCGCAGTGTGCGAAGGTCCAGAGTTTTTCCCATGTCATCTTACACCATCTGAATTACATGATGGCATAAAAACTGGGAAACTTCAACAGGGAACGTTTCAAGCTTCGAAAGAGAACTTCCTCGAAGGATTTGTGAATGTAGATGGAGTTGAAAAATCTGTGAGTACTTGTTTTCTATATTTTTGATAGATATGTATTTATTACATATATTTGGTTCTAGATTTTTATCCAAGGTCGCAGTAGCCTTAATAGAGCTGTTGATGGCGATACAGTTGCAGTGGAACTTTTGCCAGAGGATCAGTGGTCATCACCCAGTGATATTGTTTTACAAGATGAAGAAGAAACAGACGTTGATAATGTTTTAGAAGTAAAAAAAGTGATAGACAAATTTGATCCGTCGAACAAAATGCAAAAGACACAGACTGGTAAAGTTGTTGGAATTATTCGAAGGAATTGGAGACAATATTGTGGAATATTACAGACCAGTAACATTGAAACGGTAAAAGATGGACAAAGTTTTCACAATTAGGTTATACATCTATGTACAATCTATATTTCATAATCCTCTGTTTATTTAGAATGTGCGACATATATTCGTGCCAGCCGAACGAAAAATACCTAAAATAAGAATCGAAACTAGACAATATACAGTGTTGTGTAAACAAAGGATCATTGTAGCTATTGATTCATGGCCGCGTAATTCTAGATATCCTCTTGGTCATTTCGTACGTGCGTTAGGTGAAATAGGAAACAAAACGACTGAAAACGAAGTGATATTGTTGGAACATGATATTCCTCATAGTCGATTTTCTGATGCTGTGCTTAGCTCATTACCAAAGATGCCGTGGAATGTCACGGATGTCGTACGTAGTAATAGAATATCAAAAACTAATAAAAAATAATTCTTTCAATTTAATACAAATCATTTTTAGGACTTAGCGCAAAGGGAAGATCTAAGGCATCTAGATATATGCTCAGTCGATCCACCCGGGTGTACAGATATTGATGACGCACTTCATTGCAGAGATCTGCCAAATGGTAATCTAGAAGTAGGTGTACATATTGCGGATGTAACGCATTTTATGAGGCCTGGTACAGCGTTGGATAAAGAAGCAGCATTGCGGTCTACGACTGTATATTTGGTTGACAGGAGAATTCATATGCTTCCTGGTAGAATTTATTTAAATTTCATCTCTGTCGAACAAAATTTTCAGACTTTCACCTTCTTCACCATGTAATTACAGACTTACTTAGTTCAAATCTCTGCTCTCTGCTGGAGAAGGTAGAGAGATTAACATTTTCTTGCATATGGGAAATGGACAAGGATGCAAATATAATTAACACTAAATTTTGTAAGTCGATAATTTGCTCACGAGCAGCGATGACTTACGATGAAGCTCAATTAAAAATTGACGATGCCACTCAACAAGATCCACTTGTGAAGTCATTAAGGAATCTTAATAATTTAGCCAAAAAGTTAAAGAAGAAACGTCTGGACAATGGGTATGCAAAGTCGTTTCCGAAGAATATCTACTGATACTATCTAGTTATGATAATACAGTATTACTATAATTTCTTTTTTATTGCAGAGCATTGGTATTAGCATCTCCGGAAATTCGTTTCCAAGTAGATTGCGAAACGCATGATCCTATCGAGGTAGAAGCAAAGAAGTTGCGAGAAACTAATTCCATGGTAGAGGAATTCATGTTGCTTGCAAATATTTCGGTTGCGAAGAAGATCGTGGAAGAGTTTCCAGAATATGCTGTACTAAGAAGGCATCCTGAACCACCACCTGCTAATTTCGAGCCTCTCATAAAAGCCGCAAAAAATCAGGTACAGAAAATTTTATTCAAAAAATAATAATTCAAGCTAATTACAATATTTTTCCCAATAGGGTTTCACTATGAATGTAAATAGTGGCAAAGAATTAGCAGCGTCGTTAGATGAATGTCACAAAGAAAACAACCCGTATTTCAATATTATGTTAAGGATACTTGCCACACGTTGTATGATGCAAGCTGTATATTTTATTAGTGGCATGCTTCAACCAAATGATTACTATCACTATGGCTTAGCGTGTCCTATATATACTCATTTCACATCGCCTATTCGAAGGTAAGAAATATACAACTGTGTTATATTTAATTTGAACGCGTAGAATTATTTAATGTCACAGGTATGCAGACGTTATGGTTCATCGTTTATTGGCAGTTTGCATTGGGGCCGACGCAACATACCCGGACTTGTTAGACAAAAAGAAGAATCACGCACTTTGTCAGAATATGAATTATCGTCATAGAATGGCTCAGTACGCAGCTCGAGCATCCGTAGCGCTAAACACTCACGTTTGTATTTGGTTCGGCTTCAATTTTTGTTCTGATGGATGAATATTTTTTTTTTTCATTGTGTTTTCCCTTCTTCAGTTATTCTTCAGAGAAAAAATTCAAGATGAAGAAGGCTATATACTTTTTGTACGAAAGAATGCGCTGCAAATACTGGTGCTGAAATACGGCTTGGAGGGAACTCTGTACTTGAATAAAGATAAAAATTCGGACGTCACGTTTACATACAACGCCGAGAATCATTCGCAAACCTGTGGAAACACCGTGTTCCGTACTTTCGATCCGGTCACCGTGCAAATAAGCTTAAACAGATCTAACGTTCAGCATGAAAAATTAATATTCAAGCTGGTTAAACCATTTGTAAGTAAATTGCAATGAATTTTAACTGTCTGCGTGCAATGATGATATGTTTCAATGATTATAAAAATTATGTGCGAGCAGATCCCAGGATTCAGCGTGCCTGCAGCAAACGCGCAGTCCTGTAGGATAACAGTGGAAGAAGGCACAAAAGAAACGGCGAAACGAAAGATGGAAACAGAGAAACAACAGAGCAACAATGCGAAAGGTGGTGGGAATAAGAAACGACAGAAGAAAAGGAAACACTAACCTCGTTGTGTGTTTAATTAAAGATGCGAAGCTATTACGTTAGACGTAATATATGAATGTAATAATAATTATGTGTTAATTATGATCGTATAAAGAGAAAGACAACCTTACATAAGTATATATGTATAGTAATTATTATAAGATACACACGTATCGTAAATAAGTATAGTGTGTAATAATAATTATTATACATATATGTTTGTGCATGTGTGGTAAAAAAATAGGAACGATAAAGTGTATAATAATATTTTTCTTATGAATAAAAACAAACAAAAAAAAAAAAAAACTGTTGAAAGATACGAAGAAATAGAGAAGAAATTTTATTTTTGAAGCATAGGGGAAAATACAAATAAATGTATAATATAAAACGAAGAGAAAAATACTATATATAATACCCTATACAGTATCCTCTGATGTTGATTATTTAATCAGTTTGACAAAAAAAATTCACGTTAATGCATATACGCATATAATATAAAATACGTTAAAGAGAAAAATACCATATACAATACCCTATACAGTATCCTGCAGTGTTGATTATTTAGTAAGTTTGACAAACAGTTCACATTAATGCATACACAGACATACGTATGTACATGTATGCGTATGTCACTACACTGTCAGGCTAACTTAACAACCTCTCCACAATAAAATTAATTTGTAATTAAAGCATACAGACGAATCATTGCATTCGTAGAAGACGAATTACTTCTTCAGTCGGCGAGTGTGTTACCTTTTTTCAAAATTTCCATCCTCTATTATGATAATTCGTGGATGCGCGGAGAGCGGAATGCGGCGGCACCAACCTAATCGCATGACTAGAGATATTTTCGGGCAAAATTGCGGGCTTGAGTGTTCGGGCGCGATTTGCCGTGCTGCATGTAAGATATTCGGTAGTCTCAGTAGTTTTCTCGATTTCGTGGCGACAGGTACACGTGGGAAAAAGAAGGGGAAAAAACGGGGAACGTTCTGGAGTTGAAAGTTGGTGTTTTGATGTTTGCAGTTCCGGCGAAGTAGAACAACGAAACAGACCACGGGGGTCGCACGCGGACTACCGATACGCGTGTACGGTGTTGCGCGGAGATATCGTAAATAATTATTTTTTTAAACCCCGTCCTAATTGTAATCGTGGCTCGATCGGAATCCTGAACGTAGCGTAGAGCGATTCCTGTGTTCGATTAACCTGCCGAGGCCGAAAGGACTACTAAATTCTTAGTAAATATGGCGAACAGTGTAGCACCAGATTCTTGGGAACAGCAGGCGGACAACGGTGACATCGGCCCGCCACAGGACAAGTCCATCGAGAGCAAATTTTCCACCCTGAACGTAAATGCTGCGGAATTTGTGCCTTCTTTCTGCATTAATTCTTCACCGCAGAACAGCAACACGGCCGACAGTTCCTGCAATGTCGCTGTCATGATGAATGCTGTAACTTCTATCCCTCCTGAGATACATCATGGTTAGTCTTGAGATAAAACTCGGCCCTTAACTCGGTGCCCGATGTCGGTTAAATTGCGTCTTTCTAAACGAACGTTTTGGGCCTGTTTACTATAAAGAGGTGCAACGTGCAAGGCCCATGTTGCTGCAAAGTAATCTGTAAAGTAACTTCCCTGGCTAACCCCCTTAGTCTTAGCATACTTTTGGTTTCTGTCTTTCTGTTGGTGCAAAACACGACTCGATCTCTGGATCTGGATCAGTGTCGTCGCAGGTTGTCACTGTTGAAATGCTTAGTGAGAAAGCACAAGTGCGAAGAGTACAATATGCTCGAGTACAGTATGTGCACGTTTAAGATTGATCCAGTATTGTGGAATGCTTAATCCAATGCTAATTTCATAGTATTTGTTTGTGTAATTGAGAACATGAAGTTGGGAGTTGAATACAATAACTTTTTGTTTTGTACATAATGGAATCGATGATATTCTAACAAATTGTATTTCAGTATGTACAAGTATCAGTTGTATTTATGTATAAATTTTCTGTTTCTTGAACAAACATCCATCAGATTTGTACAGATCACATGTTTATATTGAATTTATTAATTTTGAGAAAAAGGGTCTATTTGATGCTAAAGCATTTAAGTGATATTTTCAACTTAATAGGATGTTCTGCAAACTTTAGATTATACTAATCTAATCTTGATTATACTAATCAAACGAATGTATCATTTTCAGAATCAGTACATAAACATTAGCAGAAGAAATGACTCATCATGTTGAGATAGCGCATTAATATGGAATAGTGCATATTTATGGAAATAGTATGACATAAAAATTCAGAACAACAATATGAATCGTATCAGTCTCTTTTAGTATTTTCCTAGCTTTTACGTTTGCTTTAGTAGAAATATTTCATTTTCATTTGTGTATGTTATTAGATAATAGTACACCAGTGGTTCTACCAGATCCAGTGGGCAGTCGTGTGGAGGAACCACCTGCTGGAGGAGGGGCTCCACCTCCGAACGTGAACGACCAGATAAATAGTAGCCCTGAACATCAACCAGCTGATTCATGGGAAGAAGCAGCGGTAGATGGTGATCCCCTTTTAACTCCTGAAAATGAAGAGGTATGTTCACCTTGCCATATATTCATATAAGAAGACCATTTTTCAGATATTTTAGTATCTGTCTGTTTGTTACTTACAACCGGATTGCTTCTAGGCCGAGAATGAAGAAGATGAAGAGATGGTTGTTAAGATCCCTAAGAAAAAACCTGTTAAAGTAACAGAAGATACTAAGAGTAAAAAAGAACATGTTAATGTTGTTTTTATAGGTCACGTTGGTACGTAGCAGTCCTATTGATAGATTAAGAGAACAATGTACGAGATGATGTTTAAATTAGCATTGGTTCTATTTCGATTTGTCCTACAGATGCAGGAAAATCAACGATTGGCGGTCAGATTATGGCATTAACGGGAATGGTCGATAAAAGAACTTTAGAAAAGTACGAAAGAGAAGCGAAAGAAAGAAGTAGAGAAACGTGGTATTTGAGCTGGGCTTTAGACACGAATCAAGAGGAACGAGAGAAAGGGAAAACGGTGGAAGTTGGAAGGGCGTACTTTGAAACTGAGAGGAAACATTTTACAATTTTAGATGCTCCCGGTCATAAGAGTTTTGTACCTAATATGATTGGTGGAGCGGCGCAAGCCGATCTCGCAGTGTTAGTTATATCCGCGCGGAAAGGAGAATTTGAGACTGGTTTCGACAGAGGCGGTCAAACGAGGGAGCATGCGATGTTAGCTAAAACTGCTGGCGTTAAACATCTAGTTGTGCTAGTAAATAAAATGGACGATCCAACTGTAGAGTGGGATGAAAGAAGATACAATGAGTGCAGGTATGTTGTATAATTGTATAATATAATTGTATAAGTTAATCGTTACTTAGGGTGCAAACGTAATTGTTACATTGTTTAGGGATAAAATACTACCATATCTTCGTAAATTGGGATTCAATCCTGCTAAGGATCTTACGTTCATGCCAGTCTCAGGACAACTTGGTTATGGTTTAAAAGACCCGATACCAGAACATCTTTGTACGTGGTATACTGGTCCACCGTTCATATCCTTCATTGATTCCTTACCTTCGCTTAATCGCAAAAACAACGGACCTTTCATTATGCCAATTGTTGATAAATATAAAGATATGGGAACAGTGGTAATGGGAAAGGTCGAGGCAGGAGAAGCAAAGAAAGGACAGTCGCTACTTGTCATGCCGAATAGGGTACCTATCATCCATTTTAATTTTTAACCCGGGATTACCTACCTGGGGGTCTAGCGCAGGTACATCCCGGCGACTAGACCCTCACGTGGGTAATCCCGGGTTAATGCATTGTTCTTTTTTAAATATTAAATTGAATACTTATCCCATTGTATCTTATACTACTTCGTTAGACGGCAGTGACAGTAGATCAGTTATGGTCAGATGATGAAGAAGTGACATCAGTTGGCCCTGGTGAAAATGTAAAAATTAAATTGAAAGGCATTGAAGAAGAAGATGTGAGTCCTGGATTCGTCCTGTGTGATAGTAACAACCCGATAAAGACGGGAAAAGTATTCGATGCTCAAGTTGTAATTTTGGAGCATAAAAGCATTATTTGCGCTGGCTACAGTGCTGTGATGCACATTCATTGTGCAGCAGAGGAAGTTAGAGTGAAAGCATTGATCTGTTTGGTCGACAAGAAAACTGGGGATAAAAGTAAAACCAGGCCGAGGTTCGTCAAGCAGGATCAAGTGGCAATAATGAGAATCGAATGCGCAGGTGTTATATGCCTTGAAAAATTTAAACTATTTCCACAGATGGGACGTTTCACCCTTAGGGATGAAAGTAAGTATAATATCCTTTGCAAAACATGCGATAAAATTTTAAAAAGTTTTAATTTTAAGTTAATTATAATCTCTCATTTACAAATGATCAAGTTTTAACTGGTCTTTTTTCTTGCAATTTGCAGATAAAACTATTGCAATTGGTAAGGTGTTGAAAGTGGTGGAGTAAATTTGCTCAACTCTGACCACAGATTGGGATAATAATCAACTTTGATAACGAAGAACACAAGAGACGCAAGCCGAATACAGTACGCACGAGAAAAAAACGGAACTAGCGTGACTACTCGCAGACTACTGTTAATGTAACATACACTCATCTTACACAAGAAGCAAAAAAAAAAGTTATACATCAAAGAAAAGCACATACATCGTATGCACAGACAGTTCGGTCGGGGTTTGGGATTACGGGGGGAGGGAGGGTATTTATAACATGAAATTTAAAGAAAAAAAAAAAGCAAATAGATTTGACTATATAGATAAGGAGACAAATTCACTAAAAAGAAAAAACTCAGGAGCGCGTGTTCCTTCTATCTAGATAAGCTGAACGACAGCACTCACGACGTTGAGTTCATTATACAAATGAATTAATGATCAAACGATGAACAGTGTCTCCTTAATATTGTAAAACACGATATTTTTATTCTTCTGAGGTGTGAGACGTTAAGGAACGTCAGAAAGGAAGATACCAATTACAAGATAAAAATTAAGAAAAAAATATTAATATTATAATTATTATTGAATAATTATTAAATTGGTGGTAAGAAGCGAAGAAATAAACAAAAAAAAAAAAAATACAGAAGTTTATTAAATCAACCAGATAGTGTTACACAACAATTCATAATTATAAAATTAATATTATTAATATTATTATACGGTTTCTTATTACATTGTCATTAAAAATGAATTTGCAACAAAAATATGCTCTACTAATTTTGATAAGAGATTTTATGTGTACGGTTGATTTGCTTTTTCTTGCACGTACTGTTTCTGTTAATATGATTGGTGTTTGACGGCGCCAAGATTCGTGTATTGTATCGATGTAATACGTGTCTATAACACCAGATATTCTTACACTGTGCTTCTTCAGAAAAGTGTTTCGATGATTTATAGCGTTATATGCGATAAAAGAAAATTAATGTCGAGATTTAACCGAAAGAATGTTAATATAGAGAATTTTCAAAACAGACGTTTTATGAGTGCTTTCTCTACATGTGTTTACTCCTTTTTTTCTTTGCTTATTTATTTTACATCTATTGTTATCTTTCGCTTTAAATTTCACATTGGATCCGTTTACTAACAGACAAAACTAATCAGAAACAATTAATTTCATTCCTATAAATTGTTCGGTAACGTTTGTTTTATGATTGCTATGTTTTTTTTTAAATCATTAATATTGCAATCGAAACATTAAAAAAATAATAAATTTTTTCCTTTTTTCTTCTCATTCGCCATAATTTCAGTAATGCAAGATAGAAACGACAGCATGATACATTTAAACAGAGATGACAGATTTGATAGAATTAATTTTCCATTTACTTTTTCTCTTCCACGATACTAGAAAAAATATAAAAAGTCTGTTCCATGATTTTTTGTAATCGCATTGTTCAATTGAAAGGTTGGCAAAGGCAGACTGCACGAGTTGCTGAAATCTTAAATTTATTTACTGTTTCCGATGGCTCATGAAAAAATTTCAACTCGATCACAAGCAAAAACAATTTCTCTCAATTTTCTGAAGACACTTTTCTACACGTGTCAACTACATACGTTTATTACATTTTATATATGATTATTAAAATATATATAATAGACAGGATAAGAGTCACTGCACTTATCATTGAGGATCCGGCGCTAATTTAGCGTAACCAAGCTTCTGAAGTACTTCTTTAATGTCAACGTATACCGATGCGTCCTCCACCGCACTCGAAATCTGAAAGAACGAATATTTTACGTTGGTGAAAACGGGAAGAACGAATAAATAACGTAAAAGATGGAAAGAAAAGTTTATACCAGGCTATCATAGATTCTAGGAATTCTATATCTTCGATTTGATTCGAAACGTATAAAGAACCTGTCAAAACTTTTTTTTGTTCGCACTGTATTCTACTCATCACAAAAGTGAAACTATAAATCGTAACCTAATAGTTCTCTTGAAAAATGGCAAAAAATGTTTGTACTCTTACTCCCCGTACGAAAATCTTCCAATGTGTGTTTTTAATTATTAATTTTCTTACACGCAAACGGTATTCCTCACCTTAACTAGCATGGATCGTGCCAAGTTAGAGATAGATTTGCGGATTATTTTTCCTGAACGTGTTCGTGGCAGTGCTTTCACAGCTGCTGCTGTTCTAAACGATGCTATAGGACCGATCAAGGTTCTCACTCGCGCGACCAACTCCTCGTTAATCTGTTTCTCGTTCTTCTCCGCTTCTACGAAAACAAGTGCGTGTATATTATCGGTATTGTTGATTGTTGTCATTCGACAAACATTACATCGAGCGCTCACCCTGTTTCATTATGTAAAGACACAAAGGTATCTCTCCTTTGGTCGGATCTGGTACGCCAATTACAGCGGCGTCCACGACGTCGGGATGAGCCAGCACGACGTCTTCCAGGGCGGACGTGGACAATCGGTGACCGGCGACATTGATAACATCATCGTCGCGCGCCATCACGTAAACATATCCGAATTCATCTTTGTAGCCAACATCCATGGTATCATAATAACCCTAGTTTTCATCAATTAAATCATCAACGTACAATCGAAGGCATATACAGGGTGGGCCAAAAGTTTCTTCCCAGGTATTTTTTTTTCTTTTTTAACAAAACATCAAGATATAAAAGAAATTAATTTTGTTAATTTTGAATTAAATTTAAAATTCGAGCATGATTTTTTTTTTCATTGAGTGTTTGAAAAATCTGTAAAAGAAAAATGTATAATAAAAAAAAATTGCGGATTTATTTTGGCCCACCCTATATGCATATTTAATTACTTCAATTTTCAGAATAGTCAAAATTCTGCAGATATCTGCTGAAGTGAAACTTACTGGGTACGTGGAGAAGTATATTTCCTCGAATCTGTCGTCATTTTGATAGAGAGTCGACAGGCAGCCGGGCGGTAACGGTAATTTTATTGCGATTCTACCTAATTCGTGAGCCTCCGCCTCGCTGCTGTTTTCTCGTAGTATGTCAACTAGACAAAAAGGAATGGTCATTCGTATGCAGCTTGGTAATGGCAACGAAGTATTGAACTTCGTTGTTGAGCACATCTAACGGCAATAAATTCTTTATGACTCATAACTCGGAACCCTTAGGGGCAGCTGCTATGTGTACCGAGAGAGAAAGTTAGTCATATTTCAACTAATTATCTTGAGCTGCTAATCCGGCCCCAAGAACCTTGGGTATATCTGACAATAAAGCACTTCGGCAAATTTCAACAACTGAACACACACCATTGTCCAACATTTTCACTTTCACTTTCCCCATTCCATGTTTTGAACAAAGCGTAATCTGAATAACCCAGGATTACCCACGTGAGGGTCTAGTGCGAGGGTCTAGATATACCTGCACTAGACCCCCAAGTGGGTAATCCCGGGTTAATGATTAACCTCTTGCGTTCGGATGACGTGCCACGCATGTCGAGAATATTTGCAATATTTTTTCAGTTTTAAGTATATTGAAATATAATCCGGACGAAACAAATAATAAATTTATTACTTCTTAGTCATTTCTATCCAGTGATATACCGACGAATTCAGAAAGAAGACGAATTATCGTATACGATTTGGTCACTCGTTATGGTCCGCGAACCAGTTACTAGTGCAAGAGGTTAACGATTACGAATGACACTAAAACGTAAAATTTTCATCAGAAATGTTAAAGTAAAAAAATAAATAGATAAAAAAAAATGAAAATAAAAATAAAAATATGATACAATGAAGCACAGAAGCTTTACGAAAAATCACTTAAAAATCATTTAAATCTCTGAAAATACACTGTTTTACATCTGCAAAATATTCGACAAAAATTACAAATTGACTATTTTGACCACTTTGGCAAGTCTGTGTTAATCCAGTGTTAATGAGGAGTCAGGATGATCATCAAATAACCAGCTTCGAACTTTTTATTTATTTAAAGGACGGTTGTAGACGAAAATGTTGGTAAGAAAAATTGATTGTGTTAGAGGTTTATTTCAGTTGCTAGAATCAGATTGATTCGGTCAGAATGTGAAAGATTGATGACCATTTTTTGTCCGTTGTTTTGTTGCAAATTTTGGGAACTTATAGCTCCGTTAGTTGAGAATTACAGCCGGAAAGGGTGGGCAGTGAAAAATTGAGAGTGGGCAGTTTATTTTTAAATTTTAGTTGTGGTAGGAAAAATGGTGAAATATAGGGATGGCGATAGAGTTGGACAGTAATCAATTACTTTGTGATCTTTTTTACTAAATTTAATTGTAGCAGTCGTAATCATTTTACGATTAATGATTGTTCAGGTAATCATAATCTTTGATTACAATGTCTGAAGTAAACTACTAAATACAATCATAATCAAAAGTGTAATCATTTTACGATTAACGATTGTTCAGGTAATCATAATCTTTGATTACAATGTCTGAAGTAAACTACTAAATACAATCATAATCAAAAGTGCAATCATTTTACGACTAACCCTCCGCCTCCTGTGCCGGAGTCAGTTTTGACCTGTGTTGGGAGTTGCTTGAGTTAGTGATCGCACACAGTGATGGGAGCTGCTTGTGTTAGTTATGGGAGCTGCTTGGTTAGTGATCGTACTAACGCATCATGTGGCTGTGCGCCATGTATTTGCCAAATTGTTGAAATGACGACGACTAAAGACAAAAAAAATCAGTTTCTGGCAAATCGAAGCAATTTTTTATTTCAAAATTTATTTCATATTTTAGTGTTTTATTATTGTTTTAGTATTTTAGTATTTAGTATTTAATAGTTTGTATTATTTTTGTTTTTAGTATTTAGTATCTTACGCTACTTTTGCATTTAGTATTTTATATTATTTTTGTATTTACTATTTAGATTTTAGTTTTCAGCACTATTTTAATATTTTACTATTTTTTTTATTAATTTACTATTTTCATTATTATTTTTGTTCTTCTTATTACTTTTTTCTGTTGTCTCTATTTGTTGACGCAATGTCTTCATTGCCAACGAGCAATTTTTCTTTGTTTTCAATTCTTCTTTCGCTCAATTTGCACAAGACGTTCCTGACAGTAAATGACATAAATGTATAGTAAATATATACAACTTTATTATTCATGTGACTATTATTTGTTCCTTATACTCCTACATGTTCCTACATGAGTCGGGTGTCTGTCACTGTGTTGGTACAATATCGGTGAGGCCGCTCTTTGTCTCGAGCAACCGTCACACTATGTACAGTGTCGGTGAGCCGTCCGGACGACCCTAAATATGTAATTAGTGGGACATCCGTGTGAGTCAAAATGACCCAGCCTTAGCTTCAGTAATCGGAGGGTTAATGACTGTTCAAGTAACCATAGTATCTTCGGCTACAACGACTGATTGCAACACTCACTGTGATAACCAGGAATCGGAAGGCCGGTGCTGTATCTCGGCAAGCTAGGGCTGTGCCCGTATCCAAGGCACAACGCCGTGATGGGATGCCCCGTTTCCGACTGCCACCAGTTGTTCAGAATCGGTACCTTGAACGCCTTTTCCGCCCAGATTTTCGTCTCGTAGTCGCAAAATTCCCCGGCGACGAACACGCTCTTCAAACTACGAAGAAGCAAATGGCGTGTTTCTGCAATTTGATAAAAAAAGAAAAAAAAAAAAAAAAAATATACGTACGACTTCATCGAGTACTTTCGACCCAGTAACAGCTCCGGATCGGCACGTCTTATAACGCGGAGGGCAGTGGGCACGCAGAACAACGCGTTCACGCGGTGTTGATCGATCAGTCTGTTGAGAAAGGATGAACAAAATTACAGCGAAATGTGTAATGGATCCTCGGGAGAGCGAAACATTTCATTTCATTCACCGAGCTCTCAGGCAATTTCGTTAAAACGGAAATTAACTGCGGGCAACAGTGAGCAGAAATTGAAAATAATAGCTGGAGACGTAGAGCGTCTCTGTGCCTGTCGCATAATGTAATATCGAGCAAGATTTAAGTTTAAACCTAAAGTATTGCGCTGCGTCAGGTGTCCTATCGGGTTTCCCTTCGTACATCACGCTGGTCGCGCCGTAGAGCAAAGGTCCGTAGCAAATGTAAGAGTGTCCGACCACCCAGCCCATATCCGAAGCTACCCACCAGATGGAATCCTTGTCCATATTGTACACCGTCTTCATTGTCCAGCAAACAGAAACCAAGTGGCCACCGACTGTTCTTAAAATTCCCTTCGGTTGACCTTTGGCAAGATAATTTGATTTAATGCTCTCTTTCCTTTTTGCGAAACAGACTCTCACGGTTTCTGTACTGGGTGAAATTTACGTTCAGGGAAGACAGCTTGGATGCTCTTGATCTTCACATCCCGAGTAACCTTCGGGAGATTTTTTTATTATAAAAAGATATTTACATTAACGTAACGATATTATTTTGCAATAAGATTGATACATTACGTCGCAATTTTTAGCTATCGTTTGATGAAATATTTGTGTGAAACATGGAACTATTACCCATTCTGATTAAATTAATTCAAACTTAACTTATTCTTTAATTAAAATTCAGAGATTAGTTTGAATTATCCCAGAGGCATGTTGGATCAGATTTGACTCAATGTTTGACTATGTGTTGAGATTTCACAGAAAAATTTCATTCAGTAACAAATATTACAAGGTATCTTATTACAAAATTAATCTTCATTTTCAATAACTTTCTAAGAAACAATAAGCAAGGTCTAAAACTCCTGTTTGGGGGAGGGGTTACTCAGGAGAATGTTCCTGACAACATTTTTAAAGATCAAGGTCATCAGAATTACCTGTCTGAAACGTAAGTTCCATCCTACTTTTTCTACTTACTCTTTCTTCATTCGGAACAAACGAATTTATAATTAAAAGCACGTGACGCCGGCTCGTTTAATCGTTTAACGACTTCGCTGATTTTGAGTATAATGCCGAAATCGTACCGTATAATTCAGAGTGAGGAACAAAACAACGCGAGACAAATACATATTTCGACGTATATATACAAGAAGAGTAACATTCACAAATTTGATCTTCTGCCCATCATGAAGAAATGTTTCATACACTTAATATTTTCAAGTTATTTTCGCTTAAGCTACGAGAAGGGTACCTGTTGTTCCCGAGGTATACAAAATGTACAAAGGAGCGTTTGCCTCAACCGGCTGACACGGGTGAGGCTTTGACCTTTTCATCACGTCGTCCCAATCGACCTGACCTTCTAAAAGAAGACTCTCCCAGATGTGTCTCCTTTGAAACACGATGCACCGCGGCTTTCTCACCGTGATAATCTTCATAGCGCCGTTCAACATGTCCGTGTATCTACGTTTCAAATAGTGTTTCAATTACGCATTTTTCTACTGAAAATTTTCGCTGTGTGATTGCAGAGTGTGTGAAACATCGTACCGGATGATCTTCGACGGTTCCAGGCCGCAGCTGGCAGCGATCACCACCTTGGGCTTCGCATGATTTATTCTGCTGGCCAATTCATTCGCCGCGAAACCTAAAACAAATATCATCGTTTGCAATTTGTTTTTTAATTTATCCGATATCATTTAGAGTCTTGTTTCATTGTTTACGAAAGTTAGTTTCAATCTACAACATAATACAATGAGAAACTATTAGCTTTTAATTGTATTATATTTTCAATGCAAGTATATAGTTTCTTATTGTATCATAATCTTCAATATAATACAATAAGAAACTGTTAGTTTCAATCTTCAATATAATACAGTGAGAAACTATTAGCTTTTAATTGTATTATATTTTCAATGCAAGTATATAGTTTCTTATTGTATCATAATCTTCTTATTGTATCATAATATAATACAATAAGAAACTGTTAGTTTCAAACTTCAATATAATATAGAGCATGGTGTCCAACCTTACAGATCTCTTGGGCCTCATTGGCCAACAAAAATTTGTTGATTTTACAAAGTTTACACATTTTTTTATCAATTTTATATTACTTATGAGGATGTTAAAACAACTTTTATAGTGAAAGAATACACTGATTGAAAAAACATACTTATATTAATTAAAAAAAATATGAAAACTTTTAATGACAGTTAGTGGCAATACGAAGTATTTTCAAGATGCTCTAAAATTTTTGTTTTTATTTTATTTCTTGTGTGCTTCACATGGGGAAAAATATAAGTACTCTCAAACAAATGAGACATTATGAACATTCATGGTTAAAATCATTCAAATAATAAAATTCTTATTCCAATTACTCCAATTTTAGTTATACAGCGAGTTAGATATGTCTGACAGTGCGTTCCACAGGTCGGTTTCTAGAAAGGGAAAGTAGTACAAGTCAACGTATTCACCGCTCGGGGGTCAAACATATCGCGGACTACTACTCCTACGAGTCTAGAAATACTTTTACCGCCAAACACGACAGAATGAACCGCGCCGAGCCGCGTTATCGCCAAAATCGCCATTATGGTCTCGGGGATTAACGGCATGTAGATAATCACTACGTCGCCTTTGCTCACGCCCATGTCAGCCAACGCACCGGCCAACAAAGATATTTTGTCTAAAAGCTCGTTGTAGGTTACTTTCCGGATCGTTGATATTTGAGGGCTGTCGTGAATCAATGCCACTTTGTGCCCATTTCCAGCAAGAACGTGCCTGTCTATCGCATTGTAACAGGCATTCAATTCTCCGCCAACGAACCTGTAAAATAAAGATATTTCATGGCAAATAATCGATAAGTGTGCAATCTTTTCCAACATTCGAAAGGATTTAAATCGAAAATGTTCGACAGATTTGAGCAAAGAATTGAATCAGATGATACCGATAGGTATACAATTATTTTAACATTCGACAAAATTTAAATGAAGGGATCGGAAATGTTCGATAAATTTGAATGAAGAATGTATAGATAAGTATGTATATAATCATTTTAACATTCATAAGAATTTTAAATGGATGATCGAGTGAGTTTGAATAAGAAATGAACTTTTTACCATTTTGTGAATGGTTGTCTTGTATTGTCGAGCACTTTTTCCCATGGTTTGCTCCAATCTATGCACTGCGCGACTTGGCCCCAAAATCTTTCAGGATTCTCCAAAGATTCTTTATAAGCTTCGTCGTATTTCGGACAGGGAATGTGATGAGGATTGACGATGTAATCTACAAAAAGGATCGCACGATTTTTCAGTTTATCTCTGACAGAGAAACGAAATTTTTATTCTGAAAAAGAAAAAAAATAATACGGTCTATCGCGACGAAGCGCTAATATCCATATCGATAAAATTAATTCTCACACATACACAAATACACACATAGATTACATACATATCATAAATGACAATCATTCAACTAAGAAGATTAAATGTCAAGGTTTTGAAACGTCTGACCTTTTCAATGTATATCTATACTTTTGATTTCTGAAAGAAAATTACATATTTAGCGACTGTTCAGAGTGACAACTCTTGTTACTGAAATTCTACGCATTAAGTCATTCTCCAAGGCGAGAACTAGATCTTCTAAAAAAAACAGAGATGCGTACTGCTTACAGTAAGACAATAGCTTCAATACTGCAACCTGGAGGACACTTCTTTAACTATATTTGTAGTGATTATGATGATATCATAATACTACAAATAAATATATAAAAATATTATCAACATAGCAAAATATATAATTACTAATAATAAATATCAAATAACGAATTTATTAAATAATGAAAGTTAAATAACGAATGAATAATTAACATGATAATTGCAGTATATATAAGTTTCTGTAAATATTTCCATGGTGATAATAAAATTACTAACGATTTTTAAATATTCTATTGTTTATATAAAATACACATCTCGACGGAACGATTTAATATATACATAGATGTTGATCTACATTCTTCGAAGTGGAGGTCGCTACATAACCCCCCTCCGAGTCGCTCGATCCATAGGACAGAGATATAAACGTCTTGATATATGTCCGATATTGTTTTTCATGGAATTTTAAATATGGTAATTTTAATGGTTCGAGATGGTGATTTCTTTGCTCTTGAAATAAACTGTAAATATGTTATTTAATATATATATATATGTTTCAATAAGTGATATAAATGATACGGATATAAAATCGAAAAGCATTGGAAAATTATATTCGTGCCACCAAATATATGTACACCAAAGAATTAGTTTCGAATCAATTTTCCTTGTGATTTATCATCAGCAAATGTTTCAATTCGTGATTTATAGACCTCTATACATATCCAAGGCCGCGAAAATATTTGAAAAATAAAGGCGGTCGCCGAGTGAAAGTGCGTTAGAAGCCGTGGTCTATAGTTTCGGCGGTGTGTTGCAACGTGTTGATGAATTAAAGCGACATTGACTTCTGTAATCTACGTCACGTGGCTCGCGTTTCATGAATATTCAAAAGTCGCGCCATTCGGATCGCTGTCTTACCGATATTTTTTTACCTCCGCAGAATGAATAATTCATTCCAAGTCGGTGCTAAGTTCATGATTTCTAAGTGATTTCTTATGCTGCACGTGCCCTTTTAATATATCTTCCACGAATTTGCGTTTCATGAATTACATTGTATCGTGTAAAAACAGTCTTAATTCTAATGGAGGAGAATATTAATTTAATTAATGCCTGTTTCGTAACAAACTTACACGTCTCTCTCTTCTAGATTCTTCTAGGTTATTGTCGATTCGACAATTATTGCGGGATGGACTTGTTGACTGTTTTTCGAAAAGAAAATTGTTCCCCTTGGACTGTTTGAAAACACTTTTTTGTAACTGTAGGTGGGCCATACAGGATATCTCAGAGCGGGTGGAACCAATTGGAGGTGAATCGAAGAAGAGAAAAATAAAATTTGTTCGTTGAAGTGTTTGTTTTCGAGGAAAAGACTCGAGTTTGAAAATTTCTCAAGTATACTTGAATTTGATTGATTTCGTGTTAGCCCGAATAATCGACACGGGGGTACTTTAATTAAAGTAAGTTAATATAATGCCGAACAAAATTCTTTTAAAGCGTCATTTTTAAGAAAATAAATTTTGAATACGCAAACTAGTAAATTTTCAAACTCGAGAACGAAGCGTCTTGCAAACAAACTTTGTTCTACGTCCTTTATTTATATAAAGTAGAAGAATAATCTTCTCTTAATTATTCTTTTTAAATTTTGCTCTTTTTGACTTATTTTTTCACTTCAGTTGTACCACTTGTCCTGAGACACCCTATACATACTATATTAATATTAATAATATATACTGTACTCTACTGTAGTATATATTATATTATACTATGTATTATATTATACTATGTACTATATACTATATTAACCTTTTTTCAGATTATAAACACAAAATATAACACTCAGATTAGAAAGAAAGAAATGTTAGAAAAAGAAATCGAAATGAAGTGCATTATGTCATTGACGATCACGTCTTTTTTCACAAATGTGACAACGCATATGCATTCTGTAATTGTGTTACTTTTTCTATAGAAACATATTAAAAGTATTAAAAGTATAAATAGTCGGCTTAACAGGAATTTTAATTTTAATTCCAATATTGTAAAACTTGCGAAGAACCTGTAGTCTTTCTCCTGTCTTTACACAAAGAACAAGTTGCACAAAAAGAATTGAAAATATTTTTTATAAACGCATCAATTTTCAGCCATGTAAAATAAAGCGCAGTTATTGCAAAATGGACTATTTTATACAACAAATCGTAAATATGTAATTCACCTTGTAGCATTGATTTTTTTATTCATATTGCAATATTGAATAATACAGAGTAATGTTTAAAAAAAAATATTGCTGTATTTTCCTACGTAGCAATAAGAGCTAATTTACTTTGCAGAGAGCTGTATTTCATTGATTAATACAATATGTAACTGAGGTTTGAAGCTGGAGAAATACCAAGATTTTAATGTTACAAGCAAAAGCGAATAATTTGACAATCTAAATTGCTTTTTAAATTCTGATGACGAAGTACACGTTTCATAGTTAATATGGTTATTTACATTTAAAATAATTTTAATTAATATCTTAAGCTAAATGACAAAAGTTTTCTCTTGGCCATGGAATAACAAATAATTTATTTCAGAAGCCAGTATGATTATTTTACACGGACATTTCATGCATTTCGAAAAAAATATTTAAGAATTCATGTTCATTTGCAATTCGTTTTCTTTTGTTTGAACAAACATTCTTTTCGAACTAAATTTTATCACTGATTGTGAGACCGTTTTTTGCATTCAACAGTGTAATTCAACAGGGATCTCTTAAAATTGCAAAAATCATTTGAGACATAAATGGAACTTTTTTGAAAAGAATGAGAACAGCTAAATAAATAAAAGTATCACAAGTTATCTTGAAAATAAAAGTGATAGAATTTGTGAAATATAAAAAAGAATTTTACAAGTTCTTTCATTTACTTTTCATAAGGAATCATGATTAATTTTAATCATGAAGAAAAAATAATTAGCCAACATGAATTTGTGAATAAACGTGTGACTAGTTCCTACAATATTTTGATTATGTCGATTCAAAGAAAAAAATATCTGTTGCATATTTCAAAAGTGTTTACAAATCTAACGCAAGAATGAATATTTCCTCTATATGAAATATAGTTATTACATAATATTGTTTAATTTGTATAAATTGTATCATAGTATAGTGTGTTTGCACAACTTAAATTTTATCCTCCTATTTCCCCGGAATAATATATATTATTATACAGTGGGTCAAAAGTCAGTTCCCAGTAAAACAAATACCTGAATAATTTCAACATTTGAAAGAAATAACTTTCAAAAGGAAAAATCCCCAAATGTTCGAGCTCCAATTTAATTTAAAGTTAATAAAGTTAATTTTTTCTTTTAAAAAACAGATGAGAAGAAACTTTTGGTAGGTCCTATATAAATCATTATAACCTCGAACAGAATCCTTTTTTGTTGAAAACAGTTGGAAACAACCTTCAGTTAATTTCGATCAACCTGGCACAATTTTATTTATAGTTTTATTTCTCAGTACGAAAATCCTCCCTTTTTCTCCTTCCCTCCCACCCTCTATTCCACCCTCTCTGGCGTATTTAATTATACGTCAACATTCAGTAGCTGCGAATGCATCTGGAAAATAGCAGCTGCGTCGAGCAACTCGATTAAAGTAATGGGTGTTATCTGTAGACCTCCTTTAACAATGAAATTTCGACGTTCGCGGAACAGGGAAACTCTTAGCACGCCGGCAAGCGAAAACGTTCCAACATCCAGGGAATCAAATTACCGGATAAAACGCGTGGCAAATACGCGCTTCGGTTATTAGAAAAAAACACCCGTGAGAGTCCCGGAGAAGATTAGTTTTCCACCGCGGATGGCGACCGTAAAAGAACGCCGATTCTTCGCTATCGCTTCTCTCTGCTTTGAAGAGGGATTCTCCCCTCGAGGGCATACTGAAGAAATTTGTCGTATATATTCTAGAAATTTAGAAATTTGTTCAAATTCGTAAAACCGTGTTGTATTTTGATAGTACATGTTACAACTTCTTATTATAATAGTATAGTATATATTATATATATAATAGTAAAGTAGAATTGTATAGTATAGTACATGTTTCAACTTCTTATTATAATAGCATATGTCACAGTATAATAGTATAGTATATATTATATATATAACAGTACAGTAGAATATTATAGTACAGTATATATGGTATATATTATAATAGTTATACTATAGTATATATTTATATAGTATAGTAGAATTGTATAGTATAGTACATGTTTCAACTTCTTATTGTAATAGTATATGTCACAGTATAATAGTATAGTATATATTATATATATAACAGTACAGTAGAATATTATAGTACAGTATATATGGTATATATTATAATAGTTATACTATAGTATATATTTATATAGTATAGTACCTATTTCAACTTCTTATTATAATAGTATATGTTACAGTATAATAGCATAGTATATAGTATATATTATAATAGATATACTATAGTATATATTATATATAGTATAGTAGAATAGTATAGTGTAGTATAGTGTAGTTTATATTGTAATATAAGTATATATTATATATAGTATAGTAGAATAGTATAGTATAGTATAGTGTAGTTTATATTGTAATATAATATATATTATGATAGTTATACTATATATAATATATCTATCATAATATAATATAGTATAGTAGAATAGTATAGTATAGTGTAGTTTATATTATAATATAGTATATATTATGATAGTTATACTATATATAGTATATATCATAAGATATTATAATATAGTACAGTAGAATAGCACAGTATATCTTATCTATATCCTTGTCGAGGATATACTAGCAATTTATCGAAGATATTCTAAAAATCTAGAAATTCATTCAAATATTGTAACCTGTGTTCTAATATCATATTACAACTTCTTATCTGTAACTTCCATTTTCCCCCTGAAAGTTTCGGGGAAGATTAATACTTCACCAACCGCGGAGGGTGACTTTCCGACGATAAAAGAACGTCCATTCTTCGTTAGAGTTTTCTCTGTCCCTTCCTCGAAGGGAGAGACGTACGTTTTTAGTAATTTTGTTCAAATTCGTGAATAACCACGGTGTGTCTACAACTTGAATGTTATCTCGTACTGTATAATTTTGTTATGTGTAACTCCTATTTTCCCCAAAAAGTGGAACGACGTTCGCGAGAGGAGATACTCACCCGATCCGTCGGTGTTCTGCAGATCCTTCGAGCTGGTGATCAACGTCTGGATACTCATTCTGGCTGAGATCTGAGTCTTCGTGGTAACGAGCGAATGTACGATGTACGAGAGGTAAAACACTCTTTCTCTGTTATTCTTAAAGGAATACACCTCCTGAAAGAGACTTTTTGCTAACTCGTCGAAAAGCCCCCGAGCTTGTGATGCTTCGATTCATTTACCACTGTTTGCCTCGCGAACAGCTCGCGAACTATATTCTGCCGAATAGGATGGATATGGATGAACAGGGAGGGTGGGAATAACTCGCCAGCCGCACGTGAACGGCAACGTGAACGGCAACGTAAACGGACCCGGCATAAGGGGACGGAACACCAACGAGCACCCCCTTTCGCGCGATTCCCCCCTGACGAGAGGATCTCAGATCGTCGACGGAGGAAAACGAGAAATGCGGTAAATAAAATTTTTTTTTGTCCTCAACAACGTCTGCTCGCGACGCAATTCGCCGCGAATTGCAAATCTCCGCAATAAAAAACTGGAATCGAACGGTAAATAAAACTATTTTTAACGAGTGTCAACAGTTATGCTTGATTAAAGCGTGATGAATGAGATGAAATGCTGATAAAATATAAATTGTCGAGAATCGGGATAAATATGTGAATCTTCTGTTGAACCGTATTCCTCACGACGATTTGACTTAATTGGCGATTAATCGAGTAATAAAGCGGCATTGTCTACGACGTATTTGCATCGTTCTAGTTCTACGTCATCTTCTTGCACCACGAGACGCCTAATCGTGGAGAAAAGGGGAATTGAAACGCCTCTTCGTTTCGTGCTGTTTCGCGAATTTGTACGATTGCACCGATGCAAGGAAGAATTTTAAGAACGATCGAAAGATTTTTAACAAGTACGTATTCGTTTCCCTCAGAATTCTTTGAAATTGTTCGTATTTGTTAACATTCGCAAGTATCGTAATCCATCGTGGATTAAATATCGAACTGAAGGAGAGGAGAGCCCCGGAAGAGTAAATAAACTGGAAGGGAAGGCAAATCGCGATCAGCCCGAGGAGAGGAATCACGGAGGTGCGCCGCGATACGATCGATATACAAACTGACGGTGAAGAAACGGCGTCGTTATATTGAAATTCACCGGCGGTGTTAAAATATTTAATCACGTGATCGATTTGCTTCCTGGACGAATTTTGATCCGAGGGTCGCTGCATTTCATTTAAGAAGGAAACGGGCTTGCCGAATTAACTCCGATCTACGGTCCTATTCGAAAATATATAACGTTGCTTGCTCTTCCGTTTCCAGCCGAAACTTTTCTTTTCCTTTCTTTTCACGTACGTTTCTCCACTTCCCTTCACGCGTTTATTACCACGCGTCTTTATTACCGTGATAAACGTGACTGCGCCATTCAAACCGGTGTAGTTTTTCATCTCTTCAATTTAAAAACTGCAATATTTTCTCAGTTTTAAGTATATTGAGACATAACACAGGCAAAACAAATAATAAATTTATTACTTCTTAGTAATTTCTATACAGTGACATACCGATGAATTCAAAAAGAAAGCTAGACGAACTATTGTATATGGTTTGGTCACTCGTTATGGTCCGCAATCATTGTCAGCCCAAGTGGTTAACCTCTTGACGTACGTCACGCACGTCGAGAATTTTTTGTCCCAAAATTGCAATATAGTATTCTCAGTATTAAGTACATTTAAATATAACCCAGGTAAGACAAATAATAAATTTATTTATTACTTCTCAATAATTTCTGTTCAGTGATATTATACCGACAAGTTCAAAAAGAAAGCGACGAATTATTGTGTACGGTTTGGTCACTCATTATGGTCCGCAATCATTGTCAGCCCAAGTGGTTAACCTCTTGACGTGCCAAGTACGTCGAGAGTTTTTTGTCTCAAAATTGCAATATAGTATTTTCAGTATTAAGTATATTTAAATATAACCCAGGTAAGACAAATAATAAATTTATTTATTACTTCTCAATAATTTCTGTTCAGTGATATTATACCGACAAGTCCAAAAAGAAAGCGACGAATTATTGTATACGGTTTGGTCACTCGTTATGGTCCGCGAATCAGTTACCAGCGCAAGAGGTTAAAAATTCTAACTGTTATATTTTCGATATTTTATACCAATGTACCATATACAACGTATGAATTTTTTGCGTCTTTAAATTTTCTATAAACGCACGAAGATCTACAGTCAGAATTTCACAGCAAACTATTTATTTATTTTCCCAAATACAATATTTAAGGCGACTGTACCAGTACTTACAGTCCCCATTGTATATTTCCACAATTTTCTGCCCCGATTGTACCCCGTCACAAATATTTCAAATATTAAGGAAAACGATCTCGCTTATTACGTTTATATAGCAGTAACAGTCTCGTGTTTACCCACACGACCATTTTATTACATACAATCGATCGATAATTCTATTCGTATATACGATGTTGTCTTGAAAATCTTTTGTTTGTTCCTCTGATTGAAGGTCCCTCTGTCACACTTCTTTCGATACTGTCCCCCAACTCCGACATAATCTTCTTCCGCGTTTATAAATCTGACTTTGATTTCGTGTCGCACGAAAGCAGGGAAATCGCGTATTTTTCTTTCTTTCTCAAAATTTAACGTCAGGGGCAAGAGTTAAAGAAGGCTTCGACGTGAAGCTAAAATGGAATTTGTGTACATTGGTCAAATATATGACGATCTTCATTCATGAAAGATCCATTCGTTTGAACACTCTTTTTAGGTTAGATTCGAAACTTCATTAAAGAAGAAGCTTCGTTAATGTTTTAATACCTTTTCAAGTATCTCTAATACTTTTTTAAGTACTTTAATACTCTTCAAGCCTTGAATTCTAAATCTGTTTATACAATTTCTTTATTCTTTATATTTTATACTTAATTTAATACAATGTACTCTGAATTCAAATCTTTGTACTTTAACATAATTTTTTCTGTATTTTATTGTGCCATTTATTTCTAAAATTTGTAGACAAGATGTCAAATAAGAAACGTTGAAGTTCTAGAAAAAGAATACATATACAGAGTGAATGGAAAAAAGAGTTCATAGCTTATAACACTTATAAGTACGTAATTAAATCCTTCTATATATTTTTGATTATGTCAGAATCGTAGAATTGATTGAATATTATATATATAATATTATATTTTCTATTCTATTACATTATATCATATTATATATTCTATTATAGAATATTAACATATATTATTATAGAATATTAATTTAATTTTTTTTTAGTTTATCATTTATTCACAATTGTCGAATCACATTTTCTTAAGGAAGAGCTCTGCCAAATGGACTAGGGAACAATTGACTTTAGATTGTAGAGACTTTGCTCAAGGTAGGACGATCATGCAAGATTCATGGGAACGCGTCACTCGCATCTTTTCCCTTCAGTTTGACAACCTGGAAAAACCATCAAAAAAATGATAGAAAATACAGATTTTTTTAGATATTGTTAATATAGTTCTAGTGCTAAATATGTCCAACATTCAATGTTGACAATATGATCGTGAAAAGTAACTACACCCATTGTTACTTACTAGTGTCAATACGTTCAAATATTGACCGTGTACTTAACACTAGAACTACATATTGGTATCAATATAAAAGTTTTTTTTTTTTTCGCGACGAAGAACGTCTGGCGTTCCCAAAGCGGTATACGCAACCAAGAATTGGAAACGAACCGGTTTCTTTCGTGCTCGACGAACGTCGTACAAAACGAAAGGGCAAACCAGAAAGCAACAACGAGGGAATTAACGGCAATTCGGAGAAAGAAGAAAAAAAACGAATTAAACATTAAAATTCCACGGAGGCTCATAAAGTCCTATTAACCCTTTTCTGTTGTTCCGCTGCTCCGTTAATTTCGTCAGCTCGTTAAATTTATTGCTTCGCCGATAACTTGATTAACCCTGTACCGATCGTTACAGCTGTAATAAAATAATTGACATGGGCGTCGCGAGAACGCGGAAAGCCCTCGAGAGGCGGAGAAGCCTCTGAGAAGGTTTAAGGTTCAAGGGAAAGGGATTAATATTTCGAGAGAAGCTTCTGATTTAAACAAAAGATCTCGCGAATGTTTCTTTGTGACAATGAAGAAAAGCTGCTGTCAAACATAGACCCCCCCCCTCCCCCCCTTCCCTCAGAGGTCGAGCGAAGATATGAAAACACAGGCAGAACTAATCCGAAGTTCTGACGCGAGTTTTCTTATCTGAGGAAAGAAAAGGTGGGTCGTTCGACCGTTAAAAAAAAAAAAAAAAAAGAAAAACAACCTCGTTTGCGTTCGACTGCGCGCTCAAGCGTAGAAGAAAACAAAGGTGCGAACGAAGGCGGTTGGCCGAGGACGAGCCTCCCCCTCCCCTTCTTTCGTTATGCAACCACCAGCGGCATTCTCATGAAATTTTTATTCACCGTGTGTCGACAGGCAAATTGAAAATGTACATCAGCCACACGCACACGCATACACGCATACACACATACATGCCCGCGCGCGCGGGGGTGATGTGTGCGCGATTTCACCTTAGGGGGGCCTCGTGTGTCCGGGAACGCGCATGGCCGTGGCGACCGCGCGCCACATATTTAAGGGTGGCCCTTGGCGAATCTCCTCTCACTATCATCGCACGCTTTGGACCTCGCTACAGGCACACACGCACTGACAGACAGGCAGACACACACGGTAGCTGCACACGCGGTGCTTAGCCCACGGTAATCTTCTCAACCGACGAGTGTCCAGCGAGCACTCCTCACCCCCCTCCCCAACGAGCCATCAGGGAACATCGTCGGCGTCCACACGAGAGGTTGCAGCTCTTCGCGTTGTCGCGGATCTCTGCAACTGTGAACGAGCAACAGGTTAGCAGTTAACCCCCCCCAGACCATACGTACCTGGTCCAACTGTTGCGTTTTTTTTTTTTATATTAGACTTCGTTAAATGTATTTGTAGGAACGAACGAATGACTGCATTGTGAGAAAAAGAAAATCCTGCAAATCGGATTTTGTTATTATCGTTTATTATGTTTATTATTATTATTATTATTTACATCATTGTATTATATTTATTTTATTCAACAGGTAGCTCTGTTTTTTTTCTTCTTCTTAAAAAGAGGGGGAGAGTGTTCTTTGTCGATGCCCTTCGTTAAAAGAGCTTGGCGAGTCTTCTACGGAGCTTGTTAATTATTGCATGAGAACATAACGGAGCTTGTTAATTATTGCGCGTCACGTCTCTCGTTCAGCTTTTTAATCAGTCTTTTTAAATTGAGTTGCCAGCCAGAATTCTTTTCATATTATGTTTTTGTTATTATAAACTGTATGTATAATATATATAATTTTACATGTATACATATATACATATAATATAAATATGTTATATGTATAACATTTATAATATATAATAATTTACTACCATTACAAAATACTTCTCTTTATATTGGACCATTTCAGGAATGTATAATTCTCAATTTTTCAACCATGTTTTATTTCAAGATACAAAAAGCCAATAGCGAATAAAATTCTCTTTTGGGACGTTGAAGCTTTTTAAACGATTGATGCGAGATTGATGCGAATAATTGTTTAAGTGTGTTTGTACAATCAATGACTCCATCATATAGATCATCAATTTTTTTTATCATTGTAAACTATCATTTTTATAGTATGTTTTATATCTTATATTTTATTTTTCTATTATGTTATTATAAATTATATATATAGTATAAATTATAATATATAATGTATGTAATATAATTTATACATATATTATATACATATTGTATATTAGGTATATAGTAAGTAATGTCATTTTTTTCAAATTTAATAAACATTTAATTAATATTTTATTTCAAAATCACCCTCATTTTACAAAAAGGTGATAGAAAGTTTGTCAACAACAGTGGAGATTACATTATAGATTAAAACTGTATTAACTCTCTTTAAAAATAAAATAAAACTTTGTATCAAAAAACGACATTACTTATGGGTATACCTAATGTTATATTCATATATAATATAATACATTTCATCGTTTAATAAATTGTAATACTTGCACATTATTTTCTTATCATTATTGTATTTTTTATTACTGCGATATTCCAGTTTTTCTCTCCGAGATTGAACGTGTTCCATAAGAAACAGGATACCATTGTGCGTTTGCCGTTTCGTTTCGAACAAACCTCGTTCGACCCTGTTAGGTCTTTTACGATCGTTGAATCTTTCCTCGACGATTCCTTCAACATGGTGTTTGTATAAATTTACGGCGTTATACTTTTTACTACGTTACTTTAATCGCGAGCAAATTAATAACTTCCACCGTGTTAGAACTACAAGTTCCTACGTTTTAATTCCTTCGCGTTTAAAAACACTTTTAAAATTTGCTTCCAAAGTACTGTTGACACCTATAGACGCTCACTTCACATTGCTCGAATTGAACTAAGGCGCCTATAGGCGCTGGGCAAACGTTATTGACAGTAATTGCAGCAAACTTCACTTGGGACAGACCTAAGTGAATTCTAATTCAAGAAATGTGATGTAGGATTACATACTTATATTATATTGACTCGTATTTCGAATTATACCACACTTTACTAGATTATTCGACGTATTACGAAATAAAGCTTTGCCTTAGCGCCTAAAAACAATTTTAAAATTTGCTTTCGAAGTACTGTTGGCACCTGTAGACGCTCACTTCACGTTGCTCGAATCGAGCTAAAGACACTTGCAGGCAAATGTTATTGACAACAATTGCAACAAAAAAAAAAAAAATATTGGATCAAACGTAAGCGAATTCTAGTTCAACAATACATTTTCCATTAGTCATATGTTCTTTAAACATGATTATTTTACAATTATTTCATTTGATACCCTTAAAATGAAAAACCGTGGTAATAAATTCATCACAAAAAAAGAAAAAAAAAAAAACACAAATATGTAGTGTGTAGGAAACATAACGAGAAGAAAGGAGACGCATAGCAAATGTGAAGAAATGTTACGTAGGATTATGTATTGACCCATGTTTCTAATTCTACCATACCTTATTAGATTAGTTATAGATATATCATGAGGTAAAGCTTAAAGTTACCGTTAAATTTTTAGTATTCAATTCAATGCAGAATACGAATAAATATATATATTAATATTTAATAATAAATAAATAAAATTGGTTTAATGTAGTTTAATTCAGCGTTTTGATTATTTCAGTATACTTTCTGAGAGATGCATGCTGACGAAAAATTTGGCAGGTTCTTGAGTGTAGGTCATGACTCAAAGTCTGCCGTAGTTAAAGAGGTTAAAATGACATTTATCATTGAAATGCAATGAAAACTGAAAATTCAATTTCACCGCGGAACGTATCCACCATATCGTGAACTTTCAGGTTATATAACCGCACATTAAAACTTCTAAATCGCGCGGTTTAACCCGGGGTTCCTTATTAAACGCGTTGCATGGCAAACGTCCCTCGTAAATCTTTCTGATCCCAGTGCTGTCAGTGTCCATTTATTTTGAAGATCGGCAGTACTGGGATTAAATCTGATATTCAAGTTAATTAGCTCCTGAGCTAATATAAAATCTGTTAGGTAGAACGTAGTGTATTTTGAAAGGCATTTTAACAATGGATTAAAGAAGAGAAAAAAAAGACAGAAATGTAAAGGAGAAGGGATTTTGAAGATCTGTAACTTTCCAAATATAGGAGACAATTTCTCAACTTATATACTTCAAGGCATATTTTAAGATTTAAAGAAAAAAGAGAGAGAAAATGGGTACGGTTTAATAATTGAAAAATTCCTTTAAAATTTAAAAGAAGAGAATTCTTTCAAGATTTAAAAAGAAAAAAAGGGAGGAGACAGGTCGTCTCCTTCGCTACGTAGTATAAAAATATCTTAAAATAAAATGACAGTGAGTCGCAATCAAAATCGTACACCGCGCATAAAAATACGTTATTGTAAAAAAATGATAGGGATGATGTAAAATGGGAGAAACAAAATAATATACATTATAGGTGTGCCTATTAATATACATATATATAAATATTATATATATATATATATATATAATTTCAATAAAAATATAAAATTATAATACAGTTAGAATATAATTTCAACAAAATATATGTAAATATTCAACAAGATGTATGTATAATTAATGGTTATTAATACTTTACGGTAATATCTATATATATTTTGTTGAAATTATATTCCAACTATATTATAATTTTATAATATTTTTATTGTTCATAAGTTAATAAATTGAAATTTTAGTAAATGTATTACAATTTATAATTTTTTTATTATTTCATGTAGAATCTCTAACTAATATTATAATTTTATGACATTCTTATTGCTTATATACTTGCAAATTAAAATTTTAATATTAATGTATTATAAATTATAATTTTTTTATTATTTTATGTACATTGTTATTTATCATATATTAACACAAAAAAAAATGAATATTCCCAGATACGGAAGAAATAAAAATCACTGTAAAAATCAGCATGGAATTCACAGCTAGAATCGTATAATGTTTTTTCCCAGAGGAAATAATAGGAAAATTATGAAATTCAAATTTCTATTAGGAATTTCTACTAGATCACGTTGTATTAACATATAATTAAGCATTGTGTAACGAAATTCTAGATTAAAAAAAAAAAAAAATTAGTGAAAACAAAACAGACAACATAGCTAAATAAAATTGTCTTAATATTTATTTTATCTTTTAAATACAAAGAGCGAGAAACTGTCTTAAAAACTGCCTGATATTTATTTTATTTTTTATATTACTAGTTTGCATGTTAACATTTTCATGCTAGCAAATCTAGACATATTTACAACATCATTCATTATCTTTTCTTCCTCACATCATCCGCCTCACTTTTTACAATGAGAAACGTATTTTCATTTGCAATGTATAATACAATTCTAACTATGTGACTCACTGTGTGACTCGCTACATTTCAAATTATAGAAGCCTCGGAATTTAAAATGAAGCCTCATTATTCCACGATTTCTTTCTGCAATTTCAATATTTAGTGTTTGAATATTGACCTCTGTGGCTGTGATGCCACCTTTAAAATTGTGTATCTACATTGTGTATCTACATTGTGCCTCTTAAAACGACGATCATGGTCGTTAAACATAGAGTGTGTGCAGCTGCTGTAAAATTCAATTAAATTGTAAGCAAATAACACTAGTTTTTCTTTTAAATCAATAATTTTATTGCTTGACTTAATTAATATTGACATTATAAGTAAAGGAAATATTTAGAAATGATGTAAAGAGAAATATTCTGAAATATCTAAGATTTACAAACGTGTTCTATTTTTCACGAAAAAAAGAAAATTTAATTCAAACAATAAATTGTAATCACACACTTTTCCCGCACGAGGAGTATACTCGTCGTTAGACGAAAAATTGCCATTTCTTCATGACAAGCATACTTGTCATTCACAGCTAAGTAGTAATAAAGATTTTTCTTGGCTCTTAAATATTCGTGCTTGTTGTATGCTCTCTCAAGTCGTCAGAGCGAAACGCGTAAACATCTGACCTAAGCGTTTTCCTTTCTATCTAACAATAGAACCAAGAACAGCGTTTCTTTCCTTTATTTTTTAAAAGTAGGATATTTAATATTTTTTTTAAAAATAAGGATTGTTCTTATTTTTTCTGAATAATAGAAAAAACGATACAAACGTTCGTATCTTATAAAATAATTCGTATTAATGCGAATTAAATGTTCCAAATGAAATACTGTTGACGAAAGATGCACCGATCCATAAACTCTACAAAATTAATACAATAAGAATTTTCACAAAATATAAATATAAAATTTTCTTAAAGTATAAACATAAAATGATATAAATAAATAATATGTTCGTTCTATTTTTATAATTATAATTGTCATTTGTAAAATAATAATATTCCAATTAAATCATGAATACCTGTCGATGAAAAAATAGACTAATCCACAAATTCCACAATTAATCCAATGTCCAATAATAATTTGTATTATCACATCCATTTAGGCCATTGGTCAATCAAAGCTTATATTTGAATTTCTACAAATCATTGAATGATCAAGTGTCATTATTTGTTGATTACTGTAATAAGTAACAATTGGTAATATAATAAGTATTATATAATTAACACTCACTATTTCTGTACGTATATACAATATACTCATTTCCCCTAATTTTCCACTTAGACCATTGGTCAATCAATTTCTACTAGTCATTGATACATTTTAGAAGACAATAGAAATATGTACTCAAATAAGTACTTCTAATTGTATAATGTACTTCTAACTCAAGTATACTTATTACAGGTTATAACAGCTTACTATAAGTTGCAAGTAATTGATATCAATTAGAAGACAATAAAAATTCAAGGGCATACTTCTGATGATTTATTGTTAGAATTGTGAACAATAATTCACAGTTGTTAATATCAGAATGATTATAATGTACTTCGTGTACTGTCATTAATCATTCAAGCAGGATATTTCTGTTTATATACCTATCTATCATCTACGTGATGACTGATCTTTCAATATTTTGGAATTTCACTAAAGTAGCTTAAAGTAGCTTTAATACTCCGACGAATGATTCTTCTTCTCTCTTTTACTTTTTATCCAACAGGTTGCACGCAGCTAATACACTAACGTACATAACATATATACGTATGTACCTACATACATACATTCCAGCTGGCATTCCAGAGCTTCTTGGCGCGATTCACTGCGACCGAGATGCGTCTCGTTCATCCATTCTCCTCCCCCGACGTCGATTTAACTCCCGTGGCGTTCGTTTTATATTTACTTCGGACAGATTGAAAACTATTGAAAATTCCAGTCACGCGGCACTGGTAATACGATTTCCTGACTTTGAAATCGCTTCTGAGATCAGATTCGAATCGGAGTGCCCTGTTTCGCTCGATTCCATCTCGTGTAACGCAATACACACGCTTCAAATTGTTAGCCAATGATTTCTTTGCGCGATGCATGATACCGTCAACAACGTCTTGCATGCGTTTTCTAAACTTTCAACCTTTGGAGAATCCCTTCTTTTTCAGTTTTTCAAATAATCTCGTCCTCCATATCTTTCATTATTGCAAACAATACTGCCTCATTATTTAGCATTATAATCGAGAGTTTTGTTCTTTTTCTCTTTTCAAAGAAATTTGAATATCTTTCAAAGCACATTGAATATTAGAAAATCGCCCGTGTCTGAAATGTTTAAAATTATTACAATAAATTGTATAAAATTATTACCAAAGAAGAATGTCTTGTTATAATTTAATCTAGAAAAAACAAGAATCTTCGTTCATATACTGGTTACAAGATCAATTCTAACGGAGTTGACCCGTTTATTGCACGTATCTGTGTTACCGACAAATTAACTTCTTTCTAAGTCTACTCAAAAGGTAACGGGTCAATCTCTTTGTCACTAAAAAGCGCTTTCGTCTGTTTTACTTTTAACTTTTCTTCTCTTTTCTTTTCTTTTCAAGGATGATGAGCTCAACAATCGTAATCCTTTTCTCCATGATGACCATGGGAATATTCTATAACAATGTCTTGGCAGCTTTACCGCTCGAATGTGATCCCGGCTTCCTCGACGATCTTCCACCGAGGATCCGCAAGATCTGCGCCGCACTTTCGAAGGCGTACGAACTCGGTTCGGGAAGTTACACCAGTGTCAAGGAAAGTCATATACCAGGTGTTTTAGGTAAATTTCCAACAGTCTTTCCCAATTTTTGCTAGTTGTATAATTTTTTAAATATGATATACTATTTTATCATTAATATATAAATATTAATGTACGTACATGATATAAATACAGGGTGTCTCATTTTAACTTTTTACCTGCGGAGCTAACTTACCAAAAGCGCACTCAAATGGTAGTAAAAAATACATCGGAGACGAAGATACGATCTTCACGTTTAAATCTGTGTGTGTCAATTTCAAAGTGACGAGTTACCTCGTCTTACGCACTTAAAGGGTCAATTTATAAATGCAATTGTCTCTGAAACTGTTCGTCATTTAAAAAAATTAATTTATAGATCAAAATGGAACACCATGTATATATGATATATGTATATGTACATATTATATTTTAATTTTAATATATTTTTTTAAAATAACAAAGTTTTAAAAGAAACTTTTAAAGAAAATAGCAAAAACTATATAACTTCTTCAATCTCTTCCGGATTTGATTTCTTTCTTTAGCAATCAAATAATTACCAAAATTGCCAAAAGTCGGTAAACTAGAAATTTGCCCCGTTCTATCGTCTACTTTCATAGTGCAACGATATAACGTTGTTGGCTACGCTAATTTATTCTCGCTTTATTTCTTGATTCAGGTTTTGAACTCTATAGCTCAATATTAATTTATTTTTTCTTTAATTCTTGATTCAAGGTTTTTCATAATTTCTTTTTTTCTCGAACTACGTCGACTCCGCTCGCTTTATTGTTTTTTGCGTTAAAAGTGTTCGGAGATTACATTGACAGAAAAAGAGGGGGGAGGATAATATTTAATACAACGATCGTAATCAAATTTTATTATCTGATTGTAGAGTCAATTCAGGAATCTATCCCGTTGCTAGACAGTGGCGTTAAAAGACAGGACGATCACGTTTTCCTGCGCTTCGGAAGGCGTCGTTAGACATCGTTTTTTCGCATCTTCGATCTCACCGCATCGTCAAGCTGCGAAAGAAAAAAAAAAAAAATGCCTGCAAACCCATCTCGACTTACTTCTCCGTTTGTATTGCATGTATTGCAATTTGTATTTCTCCTTATTATGTATATAATTACTACATATACTGTACAATTAAATCTGATCGTAACGACGAGCGAAGAAGCGTAACTGACTGCACGAATTAGTCATAACCGACCAACTTGCTTTCGACTACTTCATTTAGGAACACACTGCTTCTGAGAAGATTTTTTTCCCCTCCTCCCGATTATATGAATAAATTCAATTTACTGAATTAGCAGTAACACAACTGGCACTGGCGAACTGGTAATTTAGTTGCCCTTAGCGTGACCATGTGAACTTGTAATAATCAATTTTATGTACCGCTGTAGCGACTTTGGTCGTTTATTAAATTTCGAAATTCTGAATTATGACGATCGTCGTCCTTTTTCTTCCTTGCTGAAAAAAATGAACGTTTTTTCCGTCTTCATAAAAAAAAAAAAAAAAAAAAATACACACAGGATGCGCTTTGAGGTTAGAACGTAATCGGAGAAGTTGAAGAGTTCAATTTCACGACAATTTTATTTAATCACGTTGCAACAGAAGGAGCAGTAATCGACGATTCTGTTAAAATAAAATACGAACACATTGTACAACGAGTATTTTGAATCTCGTAACAGTAGGTGTTGAATCGATAAGAATAGATCAGGGTGCGATTACCGGGCGAACAACGATTAAATATAAAGAATTGCAGACGCATGCATAACAATCCAAAAGTACGAGGGAAAGTAGTTTTGTGACATATTCTACTTAGTAATCTAATTTTTGTACATTTTTCGAATTTCGAAAAAAGATATTCGACGATTTTAGAAAGACAAGAGATTGTGGATCTTAGATTTCCTTTCCATAAATAATGGCTTAGTACAATTTGTTCTTTTTTTTTATTCTTCTAACATTTGCAAAATTATAAACAACTTAATCCGCTAAGTATTCACTGACAAATTCGTATCCGCGAGCGAGCAACATCGATTCGTGTTATCTTCTAAGGAGATTGTAACTGAGGGAAACGTGGAGATCCATTGAGAGGTACCCGAATTATACAGTTTCTCTACCTCGTTAGATTTGTTCGCATTACTTCGTGTAATGTATAATTCCTACGTTTAAAATTCCTTGAGAAAGAATGTACCTAAAACCGTGCTTGATCAAACATGTGCGACTTGATACAGAATCGTCATCTTCGTTAGAGAAAGCCATTGGCTAAGTTCAAAGGACCTCGTAAAATTATCTACAAACTCTCGTAACGCATGGCACTTACACGCTAAAGATTCGAATATTTACAAATCCTATTCTATCACGTGGTGACAAAATACGCCCGAAATACGACTAACGAAGTTCATCGATTAGCGAGAAGTCAAATCTTCGACGTTGCTTCTCGGAGTGCGGCTGTAGCTATGGTGGTGCAGAATGCGGAGGCTGGGGTCAGCAATTTGTAACGCCACAATGTTTCTCGTCCGCGAAATAGGACACGGACACCACGTCTCCTCCAACGTTTATCAAACATTGACCCTAGAATTCAATTTCCCTCAGTTGCGCTTCAATCGAGTGACAATTTTGCCACATATTCAAAAACTATTACTAAAACTATATTCATAAACTAGGACTCACTTGGTTCTTGTGAGGACTGTGGAGGAGCACGCATTTAGTCATAAAAAATGCTACCATCGCGTTACCGCCTAAGGCTGTGATGTGCGCGCGAACGATCGCCAAAACTTCCATCACAAAGCTATGGGTAAATCCACTTAGACCGCCATTCTGCAATAGAAAAGAACGTTACCAATTTTACTTAATACATTAATACAATTTACTATACAAGAAAGAGAATACTAACTTCTCTGATAGACGTGCTCTCACGAATGAAGAAAAAGTTCAAATTCCCTAGATACCTTTCTATGCGGCCACCCGGTAAATAAGACAAAGGTGTTATATCTACACCATACCTTCCTTTCAAAGGCACCTGTAATAGAGGTTTTAATTGCGAGTGTAATTTATATGTTTCGTATAATTATTAAATTGTAATTTCACATAATTCTTCCAACACTGAAGCACTTACATGCTTGTGTCTACGTGTTGTGTAAACCTTGGATCGTAATGGTGAACGGGTCCGGGACCTCAGTGACGGTGCATGGACTAGAGTGGTTGAATTCAGGTTACTACTGGATACGTTGTCCGACGAAAGTTCAGCGTGATCCACATCAAGATTAAATATCATATCACTGTCATCTAAATGTATAATACATTTTTATTGTTGAATACAATACAATGTAATGAGACTTAACGAAGAATATGTAGTATGTACCTTGTTTTTTGACTTGATCTTTACTCATAGAATGGGTTATCGGCTTTTTCTTAGATTTATTCATTTTTACAGGATCACCTAGTCCGAGAGCCATACCAATTACTGTGAATTGTATCTCGTCAGGTTCGGGAAGTGCCAATTTAAATTGCATGTCACATAGTGCACAGGGGATCATTCTTCTTAACTTGAAATATACAGACTGCAACGAAATAATATGATCTATTGTTTTAATAATTTCTATAATTTATTATTCATTATTTAATTGATATAATTAAAAAGATAATTTTATTAAAAACTACAAAGTTGAAGCTACAAGGATACCTGAAGCAATCTAGCAAAATATTTAGAAGGCATCGAAGCGAATTGTCCAGCAGGAATTTTCGTCCTTGAAATTTGAGCAAACATCTGTAAATTCCTGACGATCTCCAGGTCGTCTAAGCCAGGGATCGTTTGAGTATTCACTACGTGAAAATCTTCCGGTGGTCTGTCGTCCATCAGCAACGATATTCTATCCATATCTTCTATGTCGTCTACTTCTAGCACGCAGGTGTCTCTCGGCCCCACGCTAAAATCTAAATCTGGGAGATCATCGTCCGAGTCGTCGGTGTCAGAAGTCGTGACACGTCCATTCTCAACATCCTGTTGAACGAATAAATCAATATATTGATATTTATCAACTTTAAGAATAGATTAATTTAACACATTTACCCCAGCAGGTTTCAGCCGATAAAACTCTCTATTCTGTTTGACTGTTTCGACTAAAGTCTTTTGGATTTCTGCCAGCTGTTCCTCCTTGTGCCAAGAATTTCCAGAGGCAATTTGTGGAATAGAGGGTGTAGGTAACGCAGTCAAGAAGACCGCCGTACCCACGGCCATACCAATAATCAATCGTTCCCCGACCGATACCTGCAGCTTCAAGCCGAATATCGCGTTCATCCCTTTCACCTTCAGTTTATTCAACAACAGGCTGTGCAATTCATATTCTAAAAACGGCAAGCAATCCGATATCTCCTTGGCATTTAATTCCCCTCGGAGATCCTTCTTGGCTTTGCACGCGGTCGCTTGAATGATACATCCCCGTCCGGTCATTGAAACGTTCTCTGGCAATTCTATGGTGGTGAACATCACGTCCGGTACTCTGGCACGTTTGCATATGGCACATTTCGAGACGTTTACGCGAAACGGCACGCTCGCCTCGTTGTACGGTAAATGACAGAGGCTGCACTTGCTTTGGAATTGAATCTCCCTCTCGTGGTCTCTGCTCTCCGACGTGTGCCTTGCTTTGCCGGTTTGCGTCAAGGCCGGGACAGACGTGTCCGTGTCGCTTTTCTCGACCTTTATCGGTGCCGATCTCTGCTGAGTTTTCTCACGTTCCACTTCCCCGGGATTAACGCCGGATCCTGACTGTGCTTTGCTAATGAAAACGCTGTCTGTATCCTGACTTGAACTATGAAGATTAATCACTGCGGCGGTTCCATACGCATTCAGCACGCAGACGTCGTCACTGTAAAGAAGAAATTAATGAGTGAAACAATCTTATCATAAAGTATATATATATAAAAAATTATAAATTATACATAATAAGTGAAACAATTCATAAATATCATAAAACATACAAGAATTATAATGTATATTGTGTATAAATTATATATAATATACATTATAATTTATATATAAGTGTAAAGACTAAATATAAATATGAATACAACTGTATATAAAATAATATATAAATTACATAAATATAAACTGTATACATTTAAATTTTTTCACCCTAATCATTACCAAATACTGGTTTCCTCTTTGTAGCCGATCACTACATTGCACGCTAACGCTCTGGCATGCGACCGAACTTCCATTCTAACTTCTTTCCACCAGGCATCGCGGCTCTCCGGCTCTTCCAAATTGCTGATCCTCTCGAGAAGCTTAACCGACCTTGAACTCACAAGACCACCTGTCTCAAAAAGCACACGCTTTATGATTGACACGAATTAAGAGTACTCGAGCAATGAAATGCTTACCAATATGCAAAATAAATCCCGGTGGGTACTGTTGCATCGTGATAAACGGATATTCCAGCATTTCAAACGCGTCCTGGTTCATGGTTCTTATCACAGCAGTCGACGTTCTCAACAATCCGGTCATTGATCTTTCATTTGCTCCAAACGAGTTGCCTACAATATACATCACTGTCTGTCTCTTCATTGTTACAAAGAATATGAATTAATCTAAGAACAAATTATATTATTTATTGTTAAACGCACGTTGCAAGGAAAAGATATCTCATAAAGTGATTCCGTTTTCAACGTATGAATGCCCAGCAGATAACAAGCAAAGCAGGAAGTATATGTAAAGAAAATGTTGCGACTTTCTCTGGAAGTATTGAATTTTTTGATCGTGGACGTGTAAATTTAAAAAAAAAAAAAAGAAATTATACCTAGAACCACGTATGATCATCATGAACTATGCTACTTTTGTATTTCAGGAATGTCTTCTTTGCTGATTCACTTTATGAGGCGCCCTGTTATTTGTTAATAAGCCACTTGCAAATCAATGCATATGAATAGATCTGTGGTTCCCAACGTGGGGACAACTTGAGTTTCTAGAAGGAGAATGAGTTATTAACAGTGAATTTCTTGCATTCCTTCAAATTTAATTTAAATCTAATTAAGAAGAAAATTTAATTTAAATGTAATTTTTACTCTTCTTTTAATTCAACTCTCTAACTTTTCTCCTTTCATGGATGTCACACGTTCTTTGGAAGCTTGTTTAAACCAAGTTAATGGCCTTTTAGGCTTCCTTAGCAAAATTCACTTTCTGAATAACAAGAATTATGTGTCGGGTGGGGCGTCAGGATTTTAGAAATGCTTAGGTGGGGCATGGCCAAATAACAGTTGGAAACCACTGCACTAGATAAAGGAGAACAACTCTGATTCCTCAGTCATTGCAAAACTGACCAAAGACAAATATATTCTACGTTCCTTTATTTTCTTTTAACTATGATGAAGGAAGAAGCTCACCTTTAGGAGTGACGCTCAAATCAGAATCACTGGATCTTCGATGCAACGAGGCGGTGGGTTGTGCCTTACTTGCTGGTAACTGGCACACTTTTGAAACCACGGGAGAAACAGCCGGAAGTGGGTAAGATGGGCTTGGAGATGCCTCGTCCTGTTGCCTGTGATCGGAGGAAGGAGGGGAGACACACGAGTTGTAAGTCATATTAGCTGTGTTAGTAATATTAGTTAACTCATTTTCATCTAACGTTTTGCTTATATTGAAAATGCTGTGACTCTCATGTACCGCATGATCTACAGGTGTGGATGATATCGAATGGTTAGTATCGTTTGTCTTTAGTTGCATCATTTCTATCGTATCGCCATTACTTTTCAACTGATCGACTGTAGATCTTTTGGTTATGAAGTTACTACTCGAGCGAAACGACTCGGTTGTTCTGCATAAATGTGACTGAATGGGTGCGTCGTGGGTGGCTATGCTCTCGAGAGAGGAGTTGTAGGAGGAGGAGTCGAGCGTACGCAGCGTCGACATGGATTCGTTCAAGGGAGAGTCTTTGGAGAACGAGGTTTTCACACGTTTGTGGTTGTGGAGACGTTTCCTCAGAAACTGATTGTGCAAATTCTGACGTAAGTTCCGTGGATTGAAATTCCTGCACGCTCTGTCACGTCTCTTCCTTCTGAACTGATCGTTATTGTTACTGTGGTGACACGGTGGATGCGCCATCATCTTCGTGTCAATTATCCGAATCAGATCCAGCATGCGACGCTGTCTGTTCTTGTGCATCACATCGAAGATCTCATTGCCTGAAGACTGTAACAGGCTCTCGATGCTGGACGAGGCTTTTGACATAGTTTCTGGCGTTAGTTTGCTGTTCAGACCAGCCAGCTTCCCGCTCGATTCCGCGCCAGGGAACTGAGATAACTGACGGAGAGACAGTGGAAGTGACTGTAACGACAAAGTCGATTTTAACATGTCGTGCTCTTCCAATCTCTCGCTACGTTGTTTGTCCTTGAAAGAATCTCTCAAAGTGTTTTCATCCAGCTCCTCGATCACCGAAGGAAACCTCTGATTCCTATCCATCATCCGTCTCTGTGTCATTGCCTTGTCGCTGCACTCCTCTGTCACAGAACTTTCATTGCATCTCTCGGCATCGGTAACGAGAACAGTCAATTTCTTCACCATGTCGACAATCGAGTCAGACGTTTGACCATCGGAGAAAGGAGGAGATGGAGCGTGCTCCACGGGCGTGCTTGTCGCCAGCGGAAGATTGAAATCATCTTGCGAATTGTCGCTGCTCTGCTCACTTTGCAACGCTTCCCCGCTCTCCAGGCTTTTGTTAAGCCCCGCCTTGACTGTTTGCGGAAGATCTTTTTCAACTTCTGAACACGCGGCCAACTCGAAATTAAACGTCAATATTTGGTTCAGGGATAGATACTTAATAAGCGAGGGAGAAGCGCTTTGTTCGCGAAGCGGACGCGTATCGCTGTCCATTCTTTGCAACCTCGCCTCCATCCACCTTTCTCTCAACGGTGGGAACGTGTCGGCTCTGCGAAGTTTCTTAAACTGGCCGATCACGTCCAATTCCTCGTCGGTCGAAAATCTCGAGTCGTTCAGGATATTGTAGCCAGCGCTGTCGATCGACGACTCGTTCGAGAAACCATTGGAACTGGGTGTGTTCTCCTCGAACGAAGAATCGTACTTTTTCTTCGTCTGCTCTTTTGCTATCGTCTTAGGATAAACGTTGCCTGCAGAATCATCTTTCTCGTACTCCTTATTGGACGGAGGAAGCGCTATTGATACTTCCTTGACATCCTCCAAGGGAACACTGTGTATGGACTTTATCAAGAGGGCGGCCATTCCCTCTTTCGTTTTGCTGTCTTTGTTCGCTGCTTTTGTAACTTTACTTTCCGGCTCGGCCGTGCTGAACAACTTCCTCAAGTTTCTGCGAACGTCCAATATGTTCTTGCTCTCGCCCCTCTCGTCCTCCAACGCCAGCATCATTCTCACCGACGCGTCCTGAACGATCGATTCTGTCAGACTCAGGTGCGAGACTGCAGCTGGCTTCAGCCTCGACGGCTTCTCGTTAGCTGTCACTTTACGGCAAGGGCATTCGGTCTTCGTCACAACCCGCCGATGGTTTCTGGATACTTTTACACGATGTGACAGAGTGTCCTTCGCTTGCGTACTCGTAAGAAGAGGATGATCAAGGATGTGCGCGGAGGGAGAGACGGGATACAACGGCACATTCTCATCGAGTCTCGTACCCTCCTTTTGTGCTTTGTGTTGTGAAAAGAATGTCCTGTACCAGACACATGCAGGTGGATAAAAAGAAAGAAAAGAAACCTAATTAGTTTTGGTGAATGCAATAAGAACGCTCGATTCGATTTCTCATTCAATTAAAATATTGCTACTCTGTCTTTTTCTTTTTTTCTTTTTTCAACAACGATCAAAGTTGGATGCGCGTGTAGCGTACCTAGTCACTCTCTTTCCAGTCTATCGTAGCACTCCCGTTCTCTACACACACTTCGTCCTGGCTTTAATGCACGCGCATCAGACCTCGATCTAGCTTCTATATACCGGGTGTCCTAAAAAAATGATATGCTGATTAGAAGTCTTGCAAAACATTACTGCAACTTTTTTTTTTTCGTAGTCTATGTTCTTACGGCTGGCAAAAAACGTATCAGAAAATCAAACGTTTCTCGTTAAAATAAACAATAAATGATAATTGTAAACTATCAGTAAAATACAAAGGTGAAAAGATTACAAAATATTCATGTCTTTTTGTGTATGTAAGTAACAGCGCTAAACAAATAGGACACCCAATGCATAGAAGTTGAAATGAGATTTACTACGCTCAAGAAGTATGTGATATACTATGAATGAAAGAAAGAAAAATGACCAGAATCATGTTTGATTCATTTGTACACAGACGCATCAGACTTTGAACTATTTAAAAAAGAAATAAACATACATTAGTGCTTCAAGTACAATAAAAAAAAAAATTTGATTAATATTTTATTGCCAAAATAAACTAAAGAAAGATTTTTTAATTGGAAGAAAAAAATGAAAAAAATAATAGAACTCTTTTACATGCACTTGGTTACAAGTAAGCGACGTAAGAGATTCATACTTTTGCAAATAATGTGCAGTAGGATAAACTTTGTCTATTGGATTAAATAATCAGCATTATAATTCACAACACAGAACACTTTTTAATACAGTTTTAGTATTACTAATTTTTGTTACATATTAAAAGAAAAATTCAAGAATATAAGGATTAGGGCACAATTAATGCAGAACTGATTCGTAGAAGATTAAGCTAAATGCGGTGTAATAAACAATATTTGTCTACACTTACTCTTCTATATTGTCAGACGGGAAGTTCAATGTATCCTGCAGTTTGACAAGCGTAACGGCCGTACCTATGCCCCGGGCTACAATACCAGATTCACCTTCCAAATCAAAGTTTTGCAAATACCTAATCGTGGAAACGTAGTTTAATAAAAATTCCTTCGATCAACGTCCTAACATCCAACGTTCAACATCTACGATTTACCCAATAACAGCATTTCCACCAAGGTCTAAAGCCTTCAAGCCAATCTTTCTTTGAACCTCTCCGCTCAATTTAAAAAACAACGTTTGCCTCGCCTCGTTCGACGCTCTAGGTGTCCTTATCTTGTCGATCCATTTGTACTCAGGATCATCGCTAACAACTAATTCCTCTACAAAACCGTGTATGCTCTGAGTATGATATCCATGAGGTATATTTGGCGCTGAAAGAAAAAAAAAAAAACATTGTGGTTACATGCCAAATAACTTCTAATAATACTCAATTCAAGAATACTCTGTGTAGTTACAATAAAAAAATTGTACTCCGCAGGAAGATTGTCTGAATTTATTAAAATCAGAGAACAACTCCACTTTAACAATGATGTTAACTTCGCCGCGAATCCCGTGCATCGTGTCGTACACTGGTATCCAACCAGTCATAACGGAACCTAGAACGGAGCATCTAGTATAAGTTTGTACGTTTAGTAAGTGTAAGTTTCAACGTTTCTAATATTGAGAAACGTTCCAATACACACCACTCTGAGATCCCGCGTTGGTGTTCATCGCAGCCTCTAACGTCCAGATATTTTTAACCGTGGGTGGAACGCCGGGTAACAACAATGGATTTAAATTTATATAAACTTTGCCTATTGCATCGTTCGCGGAATAAGTATCGTGGTCCATCAGTCTGATCTGCAACGGCTCGTCCTGCAGCTCGGAGTCATCCACTTCAAACCTGTACCACTCTGAGTTCCATTGGGGGTTCAGCGACTTTCTGCACACATCCGTTTTGAACGTAATGTTACCGAACTTCAATTCGACGTATGCGTCCGTCGTATCTCCAGAACGATCCATTACTGGCAGATTCCGCCCCGCCAATATTTTCACTTTTATCTTGCCCGGCATCGTGATGGTTATTTCAGTGAAATGCTGCAATCAGTGCATCAATGTAATGTTTGTGATCGTGACATGTACCATTATTTCTAAATTATGTTTCTACACTGGTTTACGATGGTATTTGAAACGTGATATATTTGCAATGGAAATGGACACAGAATATCTAGGACACGTGGAATACATATGAGAATTGTGTGTATTGATTTCATTAAAATCAAACAGCATGCATCTGAGGGAGGATGATTTTATTGTAATTAATACAAAATCATGAGTCACAAAAGTACTGTAAATTCATGTGAATTCGTCTTATATTTAACTATGAGTAACCAGAGAACATAAACAAATCACAACTCACTTCATATGCAAATAGTTTGTCCCAAAAAGCAGTGATAATTATTGATAATTATTTTGAAACAAGTCCACATAAAATGAATCGCAAAAACGAAGCAGAAGGGGAATTAATAATGAAATGGTACAAAGAAGAAAACTCTGTGGAGGAAATTTTCGAAATTTATAAAGAGAAGCATATATACAATTCATTATATTCTCAATGCATCTACCACAAAGCTCTGACCTCAATTCTATAGAGCATTGAACGAGATAGAGAGAAGATTACAAATTACAAAAATTACTTCAAAAAACAAACTAAAGTAAAAAGTTTGTGAGGCAATTCATTGATATAAATATTATATCAAAATTACTATTATTCCATGCAAAATCGTCTTTGAGAAGTGATAAAAGCAAAAGATAGATTGACTTCTTACTGAAAATTCCAAAAACATGTATATTAATATAATCACTGTGAATACATTTGCAACCCACGATTTTGTATTAATTATAACAAAATCATTCTCCTTTGAGAACTCCAGTGAAATTAATACACATAATCCTCACACGTACCCCATGTATCATATACATAGAAATTTAAAAATACCTAATGTCCTGCAGATTCTGTATTCATTTTCATTGTAAGTATGTCACGTTTCAAATACTTTTGTGGATCAGTGTATGTATCATTACTAGAGGTTATGTGTCAATAAATTTATGATACTAATTCTTAATAACATTTCAAAAATAATACTCACTTTCTACTCACTAAATTCGCGAGTTTTGACATACGTTCTTCCAACAAGTTCATTTGCCGTGTGAATTGTTACTTGCATGAACATTAGTATACAAAACATCAACTCGGCTAACGTATATTAATACCGTGTTAATCATTTCGGTGTGACTCGTTTAAAAATCCTTGTTAAGTAGTGTTAAGCTTAATGTTTGTTTACAATCACATCTAAGCAATGCAGCATTGCGTGCTCATCCTCAGACGCATCGACAAAATTATTTATAAAACTTGTTCTACAATGCATACAAAACGATGTTATGAGTAACGTTTTCATTTCTAGAAACGAACGGAATGTACAGAAATTTTACAATAGAAAAAAAGAACAATTACTTATAAGAAATGTTACTCGACTCCCGTTGATGTTCCTCAGCTTACCCTGTTGTTCTACCAATAACGTTCGAAATCCAGATTGTACTGCGCGGCGGGGCATTATAATTGGAATTGGATGGCGCCCAGATTACTGCCCTTTACGAGATTCGTGCAGGTTTATCGCGTTGGATCGCAAATTATCGCGCGATTTCCAATTTCTCCTCTATATCGCATACTTCTATTTTAGGTTAAAGGACACCGTGGAAACGATGCCTCTGCTTCGGACCTCGCAACTTCGTTACCCACCGAGCAGTGTTTCGATCGATCGTGGCACACGCGGCTAGGGTGGATAGAATAAAATATGTATACAGAACACGGGCAAACCTTCTGAAGTTGTATTGTCTCGATTTGTGACGGTCGACGAGAGAAGGGAACAAAGTTGTTAATGGACATCCGCTTGATATCGATTATATGCTCATTTATGCATTAAACGAACGATTCGCTACATATTTGCGAATTAAATCTCGATTTTTTCCTGAAATTTGGTGTCGCGTTCTAACCTCTGTTCAAAACGTACGTACGTACGATCCTGAAAAACTTTAACCTTTTGCGCCAGATAACTGGTTCATGGACCATACGAGTGACCAAACCGTCATACAATAACTCGTCTTCTTTTTTATTTCATTGGTATATCACTGGACAGAAATTACTAAAAAGTAATAAATTTAATATTTGTTTTGCCTGGGTTATATTTCAATATACTTAAAACTGAGAAAATATTGCAATTTTCGGCCAATATTCTCGACGTGCGTGGCACGTTATTCCAGCGCACGAGGTTAATCTGCCCATGCGTTGAAATTATGCTTCATGTGGTAGTCTCTGTCAGCGTGCAACTCTCACGATATAGAATATAGAGCATAGAGGGCCTCCCCTCTGTAATCTGTACAGTTGGCCAACAAGAAAGAAAAAAAGAGAGAGAGTGAGATAGAGACCGCATAAAAATAATATGTCGAGCACGAATGAAAGTGAAATTAACGAGCGGTGGTAAACGGTTCTCCGCCGGTTTTTGCTTCTCACCTGGGCGTTGTCTCCAAAGAGAACGGATATCGCTTCGATACGCGACTATGGGTGACAATCCGATGAGGTTAGGTAAGTCGGTTGATCGATTTTTTTCAACGTTCTTTTCTCGAACATCTCTAATCGTCATTTTGTCATACGTCAGAAAATTACGAGGTGCTCAAGGCTCTCTACGACTTCAAGGCCACGTTCGCGAAAACCCTCAGCTTCCAGGAAGGTGATCACTTCATCTTGTATCAAACCAACACCAAACAGAGAAACTGGTGGCAGGTGGTCAACAAGGATGGCCAGATCGGGTACATCCCCTCGAATTACGTCACCACTGTGAAGGTACGAGAGTTAGATTGTAGAAAGTATCCGGAGATCTTCATGGATCTTCTTTCAGGTGTCGTCTCAAATATTGATCGAGTTCCTGGAGGACTGCATAGCGAATGTAAAGGCTGAAACTAAGAAACAGACCGGACTGCAATTGGACAAGCAGGACCTTCTTCTGAGATTGATAGAGAAGAAGAGACAGGCTGAGTCTAACAAGAAACCTAAAAAGCAAGCACCGATGCCTCCAGACTTTGGGAACATAACGCCTAACAGTGAAACGTGTTCATCGCCTATTTGTGACACTCGAGAGGGAGACGTTAACGCTATTCAGAGTAATACTTCGTATATGACGGCACAGACAACTGTGCACAATAATACAGAGGAAGCGCCGGTTGTTCCGCAATGTCAACGCACGCCAACAAACGAACAAAAAGTGCAGTCTCTGCCACGTCAATCCTCCTCCGAGTCGCAGAAAATTCAGGCGGAACTTCGTAAGAGTCCTCCTCAGAGCTCTAATATTAGACAGACACCTACTAGTTCGCCTATAAAGAAGAAAAATTCATTGTGTGATATTAACTCTCATACTGCTTATCAGTTGCTCGACCAAGTGCGTAGAAATACTCAGTTAAGCTACGAAATGTCGAAGGTGGCGGTGACGGTTGTTGTCACTGGATTGCAACAGCTATTACCCCAGAATGTGGGCCACTATTTTGATGCCTTGTTGCGTCAGTTGGAAACACCGTTCACAGTGTCACAGATGAGCATAGAGGAGACGTATGACGCTAACAGATTGAAAGTAATATTTACAGAGCTTACTTCTTGCAAAGAAGATTCTCAACAAAGAAATTGGATGCTTTATGAAGACGAATCTATTATTGTTGATTATATAAAGGAACTTACCTCGATATTGGTACGCTTACATACGTATTTCATTAAAGAAATTCACTATTCTGTTTTCAGGTTACTTGATGATTTGTTAATTTCGCAGACTAATGCAGATGCAAATGTATCTAGATATGTTTTACAACAGAATCAATATAACGGAGTTAATATACTGATACAATATTATCAAATGGAGCCAAGATGGACTATTAGGCAATTGCTTTTACAGTCATTTGGAGTAATGTGCAGTCTAGATTCTGTGATCTTGACCATAATGTTAAATAGTATATTGCCTATGGAGCTAGCAAGGTAATATTTGATAAGCTATGTTAATTCATACAACACGCGATTAACGACTTGATACGTGTCTTTGAATATAGAGATATGAGAAGTAATCCTAGAAACGTTACGAAATTAAATTATTCTTCATTGCTACTTACTATGATCTTTTCAATGGGTGAACCCATGCCAGTTACACATTTGGGTGAGTAAAGTAGGTAATGCGTCATGTCTATTGCATCCTCCACTCTGAGTCGCCCTCCCTCTCTGAGCCGTTTTTCTATCTTACTACAAAATTTAACTCTGATATTGCAGAGCAACTAGGTCCGGATTTTATAGCGTTTATTTTGGACTTGATAGAGAATCCGCCTGACATGGATTTGGAAGATCAAATCCCGGATTTGTTTGTGAATCTGATATTGTCGTACAACTTGCAGTTCACAAATTCGGAAAATATAGTCCTGAACGCGTTAAAAGAGAGAACAGTGGCAAAGAATTTCACCGAGAAGATCTTGCTTTTGTTCAATCGAGAAGGTGAGAGAAAGCGAGACAAAGCATATTTTACACGAGACAAATCGAAATTCCAGCGAACCTGTGATCCGTTACAGAGGATCCTGTGCGAATATTCGATCATGAACCGCCGCCGCCGCACTCTGTACTGAAACTGTTCATCGATCTGTTCAACAACGACATCACGGCAGGTTTATTCTATACAAATGACGTGAAAGTTCTAATCGATATTATATTGCGTCAGTTGTACGACATGTTCCCCGGTGACAAGGTACTAAGAGATATTTAAACTTTTATCGCTCTCGCAGAAACTAGATACGACATAGTCGTTGATGTTACAGCGCAGACAATACTTGGAATTATGTCGGCGAGTACTTCGCACTTCCAGTTATAACGAGCATAAATATCGTTCCGAGGACCTGTTAAAATGCTTCACGAGGTATCTGTCATAATATTATTGCGATCATAATCGTTACACAATGCATAAAAAATGTTTGTTGAATAGAATATTTTGCGAGGAGACCGGAGAAAGCCAGGAAGATCAGAAATCGGTACGCGAAATCAGCAACGAGTTCCCACATTTGTTTAAAATGTGACATTTATTTTCGCCTCCCGATAACAAAAGCCCGGAGGACGATGATTTGCAAACTCTCGTGTAAGATACCCGGTACGTATAATGGAGGAGAAGCGACGAAGAATCCGAAAGTTACCGATCGGAGAAACTTCTTTATTTTTCTAATACTTCTACTTTTGCTCAGCCAGTCTACTGTATCAAGAACGCACACACGATTCGCAGAACCTTAAGCGCATCAGATTATATTTTTTTCTCATTTTAATCTTTCTAGTAAGCGATACTATTTATTCTAGTTAAAAAAAGAATACAAAAAGAAATAAAAAAAAAAAAGACACATAAACAAGCATTTAAAAACTGTTGTATATAGATATATATACATATATACATCTAAGAGGAAAAAACAAATTTTTCTCGTTCTAAGCATGAGGACCATTGAAGTATGTAGAACCATTCCAATACTCTTATAGAGGTAAATAAATTAGTATACGTGAAAGTAGTCTGGTTGCACGAATAAAGTCTCGGATTAAAAAGGTATTCGAATTATTGCTCTGATATAATATTAAATAAAAATTTGAATGTATAGTTGGAACATCTGTAAATGTTCAGCGCGAAAGCTCTTCGATGCAAGAGGATTTTAATCTTATTCGAACCAATTATACGGTCTCTTGTCTCTGTAAATTATATAGTCTAGTCCGCGTCTGCGCGAATAATGTTCTAAGTCATACGTTATTTAACTAAATTACGTTCCACTCTCTCTTGCGAATGCGCATAAACGAGCAAAGTTTATAAATTTGTTTGGCGAGAATGTCAATTCTCTGGCAATCGCGATAGTAGAGCTTCGCGATAAAAATTTCATAGTTTATTAGTGCCACTATTATAGTTATCGAATTTTCTAGTCTATTGTTAGTAACTCTATTTTTTTAAAAGTATTGTATTATGTTTACGACTATTAACATGTCAATTACGAAGAAATCTCAAATTATTGTGATTGCGAATCAAATGTTAAAGAAATAAAAAGTCTAGGCTATCGACGATGTTGGTTTCTTCCCCTCCTGAATTGCACAGACTTGTGATTGAATTGTCACGTTTCGGCATGTTAAACTAAGAGAAGGAAATTTCAATATCTTTTTAATGGCGTTTTATTAACAACAAATAAATACTGTCCATGAAAAAAACTTAGTAGGCGCGATGCAAATGTATTGGGACTTGTGATTCATTAATTTGTAACAGTTAAGTCGCGGCGCTCGTTATGATAGAAGAAAGAAACACATCTACAAACAAGGCCATCTTTGTGATATTGATTGAAACACGTTTCAAATCGCCTCGAGATCCGAACAGACGAAGACGTTGGGAGAGACACAATCATTGCACGCTTTTAGACACTGTTCTCGTTTGCATTGCAACTTTTTTTTTTTTTGGCTTTTCTTTAAAAGACACGCAGATAATTTGAGAGTTGAACGCAGCTGTCGCACTTGTGTCGTCTTCAAATTGTATTAAATGTCGAAATGTCAAGATGTTTATTCCCCGGTCATCATTTCCATGAATTCTGAAACAAAACAAAACACTATAGTTACATGTATGTCTTCAACTAAATTTTTAAATAAACAAACGGACATTTGTTTTGAATGATATCTTAAAAAAATTAAACATATTTTACACCTTCTTTTTTATACATGCATTATTAACTATTTTAATTAAACAAATGGACACATTCTTTATTTTAAATGATATATCTGTACTTCAAAAAATTAAACATATTTTATAGCTTTTCTTTTTCATACGTATATCTCTAATTATTTTAATTAAACAAATGAGCATATTCTTTATTTTAAATGATATATCTGTACTTCAATAAAATTAAATACATTTTATATCTATTCCAATAATGCAAATTGTGAAAAATGTATATGTATATGAAGGAACCTAAATCACTTTGTAGCCTCAGAGAAAACAGACTAATGTATAAAATGTGACATGCAAGACAAACAAAGGAACAATTATATTGTCCTCGATATTGTTGGCAATGTTACAATGAGATAAATTATCCTCGCTACGCGGTGCAATATATTACATGTTTGTTGTTCTAAAAAGCAGAGAAATGCCAAGATTTCTGTGCCGGAATTTAGTGGACGTATTTCACATCGTAATTTGCGATTTGCTAGAAAGTTGAAAAATTTTCAATAAAAATTTGAAATATCCTACGACTTGATAAATTTTAAACACTATATATTAAATGTTACTCTAAATACTCTATATTACTCTAAATAGTCCATTCTAAATATCAAACACTCTATGTTTCTTTGTGATAAAACTTTGCAGCATATGGAGAGAAAAAGAACTTCTTCAAATTAAAAAAATTACGTAAATGAAAGTTCTAAAAAAACAAACACACAGAGTTGAAAGATTTAGTGTCGCGAAAGATTATGTACGTTGAATAGTAGTGAACTAATGCACATAAATAACAGTCTAAGAGAGAAGCAATGGTCCGGATTCAACGATCGTGTATAAATAAACCCCAATGTACTCGGCAGACAGCACGTGCAGGCTCTTCAGCGCGATAACTACTTATTTCGCTGCTAATCGACGAGTTGAACACGATTAACCTATTTTAAAGATGATGTCGCAACGTCGATTCAAAGAAACTCCCGAGACAAGTAAACACATGGAGTAAAATATTTAAATCCAATTCAGGTCCAACAATTGTTCCCTTTCTTTGACTCACCATCGAAATCAACGGTACCAGATCCGTCGGAATCGATCTCCTCGATCATGATGTCCAGTTCCTCGTCCGTCAATTGGTCGTCCAGCTCTCTGAGGATCTCGCGTAAACACGTAGTGGGGATGTAGCCATTCCCTATATACAACCAAAGAAATCTTTCAACTTCGAAATTCTAGACGACCAGTTAGTTTATTAGCTTCTCAACGAGCAAACTGAAGAACACGATTTGTCATCGTAGAACGACGGAGGGGGAAGGAGGGAGGAAGAAACCGTTGAATACGCCTTTGGCTTTAGCTAGCGATTCATGAAGGAGCTTCGGGATGGCGAAACTAGCCCCGATTCTTGGCCGTATTCCCGGAGGCGCGAGTCTCCTCGAATTCACTCGGCTTTTATTGCCATAAAACGGACCGGTGTACGGCAGTGCTTTTTACGCAGCGTCGGATTTCGCGGAATCGGTTATTTTCAGAATCGGTCGGAGGTATATCTTTCTTTCCTCGTTTCCGAGCCATTTCTCCACCTCCGTTCATTTCGATCACTGATTTATCGCTAGTGGCTGTAGCCAATGAGGAGCTTGCGGGTTATATGCAGGATATGTGCACAGGGTGGGCTGAAAGTTTCGTCCCACCTATTTGAAAAAAAAAAAAGTTAAAATGTAAGAAAAAAAACTAATGTTACTAATTATTTTTTAATAAGGGTTGCTTTTTGTGTACTTCAATCTGTAAAAAAATTTAAAAAAAAATATACAAAAATATAAGTATTAAAATACAAAAAAAATTTAATAGTTATAGTTATTTCAGGTGTTTCAAGCTACGTGACTCATCCTGTATATATATGTATTTATTGTTTGTTGTTAATACTCTAGAATAGAAAAGCGACAGAACGAGAAAGTTACAGTGGAAATTTCTTGGCACGATCGGTTAAACAAGTTTCGAAACGCGTGGTAAACACGATTTCCGACTTCTTTTCGCGTTCCTTTCGTTCTCCACGAAAACAAAAACGAATTTCTCGCTTCTATAGCTAGATCTACGAAAATGCAAAACAATGAGAAGAAAGATGACGTAAGATAGCTTGCAGAATAAAGTTATAACATTGCGAATAAATCGTAGGGAAATGGATAGACTTACCTTCCTTGTCGTACAGCCTGAATGCCTCTCGGAGCTCCTTCTCTAGAGCCTCCGCGTCCTCTTCGACGATAAACTTCGCGGCCAACGTAACGAACTCTTCGAACTCGAGGCGTCCAGATTCTGTCAATCCGAATTTTAATTCTACTTTCACCTTTGTTCTTCCAAATTTCAATTTTTATCGACTGAAAGCGAAATTTCAATCAATCAATTTAACCTCTTGCGCTGGAATGACGTGCCACGCACGTCGAGAATATTTGGCCCAAAATTGCAATATTTTTCTCTCAGTTTTTGAGTATATTGAAATACAACACAGGCAAAACAAATAATAAATTTACTACTTAATAATTTCTATCCAGTGATATACCGATGAATTCAAAAAGACGAGTTGACGGTTTGGTCACTCGTTATGGTCTGTGAACCAGTTACTGGCGCAAGAAGTTAAAGATTCTAACAACTGTTATATTTTCGATATTTTATACCAATGCACCATATATACAATGTATGAATTTTTTGCGTCTTTAAATTTTCTACAAACGCACGATGATCTACAGTCAAAATTTCACAGCAAACTATTTATTTATTTTCTCTGTCGAGTTAATTGTCGTACGTTACGAACTGACCTAACCTTACAATTACGTCACGATGTCTGACAAATGTCACACTTGTATCACTTACTGTCGGCGTCGACTTCTTCGATCAGTTCGTCGAGAATCTTTTTGTTGAACGGTTGACCCATCAGTCTGAGGATGTCGGCCACCATGTCGGTGGGGATGCTGCCACTCTTCTCCCTGTCGAAGCTGTCAAATGCCTTGCGAAGGACTGAAAGGAAGCAATAAATGACAAAATATTGGATGATTTTTGTGTCAACGTAGGTGGCATATATTTGTGAGGGGGGGGGGGGGGGGCAGGGATCTGATTACCGATAGTGTTTCATCGCGTTAGAAGCCGTCTGCGGTGCAGCTACGGATATAGAAACCGATGTTAATGCCCTTTTGATTCTGGCTCGGAGCTTATTTGGCTTGATACATCGCGTCAAGTACGCGCCGGTTTATTTATCGTTGTTGATCGGCGGCGCGATGAAATTTTAAGCCAATTCACGCGATCCTTTGTCTTCGAGCAGCCTCTCCTTTCAAAAATCGCCCGTCCTTCAAAAAGACTACGAGCATACCTAAAGATAGGCTCTTGGAACACGTTTGTACAACAATGAATTAACATTTCGATGTCAAAAAAAAAAAAAAAAAAAATGGACGAGGGAGCTAAACGCCCTCGCCTAGTCGGACGTAAGTTTCATTTGTTTTTCAAGACGAACGGAGTACGTTACGAGCTTCTATTTTTCGATCCCGTTGGAGAATCTTTCCTCTATTTTTACCGATCCGATTCCCTTCGATCGAATCGTCACGCGATACCCCCTCGTCATCGGCGGTTCCGCAGCTATACATAGGCAGCCCGTTGCCGGCTGCCCCCGATCGAACCGAAGCGCAAATAAACTCCGGGAACGCAGCGTCCAGATAGCTTATCCGACCCGTTCTTATTTCCCTCCCAGTTTCGACGTTTCAAACAAACTCTTTCACGACTGATTCCCAAGTTTTTCGCCGTGATCAGCTCTCCTCGTGTGTCGAAATTATGCGAACAGAAATCCTTCTTCCTCGACTCGAAATCGTAGACGATTTTCCGGTGCGAAACTGTGCGAGGGCATGGCGCACATTTAAAAACCTAAACCTAACCTAAAGATAGACCCTCGATTGCCCCCCCCCCCCCTTCCCCATAGCGCCAGAATTTTTTTCCCGGAATAATTAATTCATTAAGAGCGAAAGAAATGTAAAATTATCGCCGATTATTTTAGAAACATGAACGAAGGAATGAGCAAGGAGAGTAAATGCAACAAAAATATTTGCAAAAGCTCGTTGTACGAATTTCATAAATAGAGTCGAGAAATAGGATCTCTAGATCAGTGGTTCCCAACCTTCTTTAGGTTACCCAAGTAACCTAAGTATCTCTAAAATCCCCCCAAACCAGTGACACGTAATTCTTATTATTCAAAAAGTGTATTTTTGACGTGGGAGAAGCCTAAAAGGTCATTAACTTCTAAACAAGCTTCGTAAGAAAGAAAAAAATTGGAAAATTAAATTAAAAGAAGAGCAAAAATTAAATTTAATTTGAAGAAATGCAAAAAATTGTTAATAACTCATTCTCGAATTGCCTCTCCTCTCTAGAAATTAAAATTGCCACCCAATTGGGTCCCACACTGAGAACCACGATCTAAATGGAAGAAGAGATCATAGCTAAGAAAACATCAAGCTTTCAGGTTCCCTAAAATTGTTATAAAAACTGAAATATCACGTTAACGCAAAATATCGAGGCTTGACGAGTTGCATGAGCTCCCTTTCTGTCGTAGGAAGGGTTGAAAAAAAGCAGAAAGGGAAACGCAACGAAGAAACAGCGTGCCTCCGACTAAAATTAGAGCACGGTGTCCAGTGAACGCGGTACGATTTCAACGCGATTGAAATACCGGAAAGCCAAGAATGGCGCGCGGAGTTGCACTGTGACATAAGGTCCCCAATTTTCGCGTTTTTCGTTCTTAAATTTGCAATCGAATTTTCGCTGACTCGATAGAAATAGATAATAGATTCCCTTATCAGATGAATAAAGTCGATTCTAGGAAAAATAGCTAGGAAAAATAGCTAGATACCTAGATCAAATTGAGTCGAGTCTCAAACTGAAAAACAAATATAATTATCTCAGGCTGAAGATTTTGAAACTCGCGCCGTTTCTATTCCAACCTCCTCGTCCGAACTTAGAGTTTCCTTTAAATCACGAATTTCCTTTTCTATGATTGTCATTGTACGAGATTCACAATCAGTTGTTACTGATTTCGAATTTGTTTTCTGTTAATTAGTAGTTACAATTAATTAGTGGTTACGGATCGAATTCTGAGCTTCCTTCACAAATTCTTTTCTATATGACTGTCCATGTACAATATTAGACTCAGTTGTCACTTGTGTCGAATTTGTTTGCTGTTAATTTGTGATTATAGAGTTAGTAATCATAGAGTGTGAAGTTTGGAAGTTGACGTACGTACCAGCAATTTGCTCAGGAGGGAGTTCGTCGGCCTGTGAACACAGAAGGATGAAATTCGACTACGATATCACTTTTTCTTTCTGTCGAACAAGAAAGAAGCCAATCGATTTGATCGGCTTTTTACATTCCGTTACTCCGTTAAAATCGAACTCGAAGAAAAATCAGTCGAAGAGAAACTCCCAAGCGGGCGTGCGTGGTTAACCAGTGATTTTATTTTCTTTTTTTTTTTCTTTTAGAAAGTTATTTTCTAAACGTGCATTATTTTCTTCTTTCTTTATTAATTAAGTGAACGTTGTTATTTATCGATATATTACTCGATTATCACCAATATAATCGTCGACTTTAAATGAATTTAAATTGAGAAAAATTGCCCGGGAAATTACAACTGAACCAGTAGTAGAAACATCCGTGAACGGTTAGATGTCGGGCCACGTCCCTTCTTCCCGTCGATTTCACACTTAACATTCTCACTTGACAATTTTTTTTTCTCATTCTTTCCCGGTAGAAACATAATATTACTGTACACACATTTACTGCTCCATTGCGGTTCAATTACAATTTTACTTCATTCGTGAATCAATTGACTTAACAAATCGACTCGAGGAGGGAAGGCCCGACGAAAGCTCGCCATGTAAGAAAACAGTCACGTTTCCAGGACCTCGCATCTCTGGACCGATACAACTCCCGATATAATTCTCAACCGCTTGTTATCGCTCGTGACCACTGTTATCATATGTTTAGACAGATAAAATTAAAAGAGACGAATAAAAAAAAATACTAAAACAAAAGATCAGAACAGGCCAGAAGAGATGTCGAAGAAAAAAAGAAAAAAAAGAGAGAAACAAAGAGAACAGTGGATGCAGGCATACCGCGGAGGCACGGAGCGAAGGAATCGGCGTTTCGAACCAGTCGTGTCTTCATCGATTTACACCTGTTGCGTCAGGTACGACACGTTCGACACGTGTCGGACAAACACTGCTCGAAATAATTCGAGCTCTTCCAGAATCCATTTCCGCGAGAGAGATGGAACGACGAGCTCTCTCGGACTGTTCCGAACAGTGTGTAACAAGTGACATTCGAAATTCCAATTCCAGGTCCGGCACTCACCGCGAAACGAGAATGAAAGTGCAAAGAGAGTGAAGAGAAACGATAAGAGATAAAAAGGCGAGGTACGATGATCAATTTGAATAGAATAGACAGAAAGAAAAAAGAGAGAGAGAGAAAGAGAGAGACAGAAAAAAATACGATAAATAAATAGGGAGAAATATGCAACAGGAAAACGTGTATGTTTACCAGGGCGACGACTTACGATATCATCAATAGAACATACCATGGTGGCGCGATTCTCTTTTTACTTTTTTTTAAATCTTTTTTTTTTTTGTTTTACTCTGAACGTTTCTTTTTTTTCCGTTAAAATTAACAAACAAACTTATGATTTACTTAAAAAGAAGAAAACTCGAGAAACACTGCGATTTTGTTTCGTGAAGAAAACGCGAACGCGGTTATGTGTTCGCGACGAGGGAGTGAGAGAGAGAGACAGAGAGAGAGAGAGAGAAAGAGAAATGGAAAATCGTGTGGCGTGGTTAGAATGTAGGCGATATGGTTGCTGTCTGTCGAGCACTGTCACGAGGAACGGCCATCGTCGCGATAATATTCGAAAGGGAGGATATAGCGGTTGCGTGGCGATGACGGCACCGCGCCCCGCAAACCTCCAGCCAATCGTGACGCTTCTTCTATCCGCTTCTTCACGGGCCTCAAAGCTTTTGGAAAGGCGCTTGCGCTATTTCTGGGATGCAGACGGTGCCGCGAGGCTCGAAATCAGGGCCGTCTTTTCGTTTCCCGCAACGCTCCAGCTTCTTCTAGCCCCTTTCGTTTCTCGCACTTCCTTGCCGCCGTCTGTCCCTAAAATCACGCGGATTCTTACTAGTTACGCATTCTGGACTTCTATTTTTATACATAGAAAACATTTTATACATGAAAGTACGTGTCTCTTGTATGCTCTGCGTTTAGATAAGCTTCTACGATTGAAATAGGTTTGAATCAATTGTTTTCAGCTTTGCAGAGTCTAAATTAGTAAAGTGTTGAATGTTTGTAATCAGTTGAAAATTACTTTGTAATATATAGAAAAGAGAGACTGGATTCTATGATTGAAATAGGTATGGAAATCAATCATTTTGAGCTTTGTAGAGTTCTCTAAATTAGCAAGCTGTTGAATGTTTAATCAGTTGAAAATTGCTTTGTAATATACAGAAAAGGGAGACAGACTTCTATGATTGAAATAAGTTTTGAAATCAATCAGATTTGAGTTTTGTAGAGTTCTCTAAATTAGCAAGCTGTTGAATGTTTAATCAGTTGAAAATTGCTTTGTAATATACAGAAAAGAGAGACTGGATTCTATGATTGAAATAGGTTTTGAAATCAATCAGATTTGAGTTTTGTAGAGTTCTCTAAATTAGCAAGCTGTTGAATGTTTAATCAGTTGAAAATTGCTTTGTAATATACAGAAAAGAGAGACTGGATTCTATGATTGAAATAGGTTTTGAAATCAATCAGATTTGAGTTTTGTAGAGTTCTCTAAATTAGCAAGCTGTTGAATGTTTAATCAGTTGAAAATTGCTTTGTAACATACGGAAAAGAAAGACAGGCTTCTATGACTGAATAGATTTGGAAGCCAATCATTTTGAGCTTGCAGAGTTCTCTAAATTAGCAAGGTGTTGAATGTTTAATTAGTTGAAAATTGCTTTGTAATATACAGAAACTTTTCTAAAAAGAGACTTTTATGACTGAGTAGATTTGGAAATTAATCAATTTATGTTTTGCAGAGTTCTTTAGCAAGATGTTGAATTAATTAAGTGAAAATTGCTTTGTAATATACAGAAACTTTTCTAAAAAGAGACAGGCTTCTATGATTGAGTAGATATGGAAATTAATCAATTTATGTTTTGTAGAGTTCTTTAAATTAGCAAAATGTTGAATTAATTAATTGAAAATTTCTTTGTAATATACAGAAACTTTTCTAAAAAGAGACAAATCTTGAAGATAAAAATCTTGTTGCCTTCGGACAGCTGCTGTTATTCCAAACGGATTATATTATAAAGAGGAGCAAGAATATTTGTTTACAAGAAACGTTCTATCGCGCAGTAAGTCATAAATAATTCCGAGTAAAAAACACGAATAATTCAGAATAAAAAGTCGGCGGAAGAGGGTGGCGAAGAAATTGTGACGGAATGAAATTCCTTTTTAATTTTAGACGTCCGCTGGAGCAACGCGTTCCCTCGATTCCTGTTCATTGAGACGACTATGCGTCGCGATCGCGTGCACGTCTCTTGGAGAGAAGGGGCGAATGAATATTGCTGCGCGAAACCAGTACGAAAATAGAGAATGAAAACTCTACAGTCAGCGTAAACGACAGTAAAACGACACGGCGGCGCACGGTGGTAAAATCGATGTGGAACTTATGGCTTGGAATCGAGACAAGACCTTCACGAAGTACGACGAGAAAACAAAAAGGGGATGTCTCGCGTCTCTCGGCAAACGCTGTCTAAAACGATTCGTCACCTCTTTAACCTTGCTCCATAGACGAGTATTATATCATTGTTTAAAACACGGCGTCTGCGAGATGTTTACGCGGCTTAAATTAATTGAACGATAGATGTTTAAAGTTTGTGTTGTTCGAAATATCTGCGAGCAGGCTCTTCGTCTATAACTTTTAACGCTCGAGCTGATTGTACACACCGATCTCGTGTTCAATTAGCAGACTGCTTAATTTTTAAATATGGCGCATGATGTGTGATTGTTTTGATGGCATGAGCAATGAGAATCTCTGAGCTGTGACACTGAAACTTGGAACTCTCTTGCTTTCCCTTTTCCGAGATTTTGTCGATGCACAATTGATCAAGCATGAGTCAAACATGGGTTGGGTAACTGGATTATCCACAGAATGGGCGAATTGAACTGAAAAACATGGTTTGATATATAGAAAAAATTTGGAAACACCCAGCGAAGGAACAATATATTATAGTAATATAACATATATACTGTAGTAATACTATACTATAGCATATATACTATAGTAATACAATGTGATATAGTAAAAGCTGTAGATTACCATTTATCAGCAACCAAAGCAATTATCTAACGTTTGATCTAATTGCTGAGGAATTCGAACCTCCGGTTGGCTCCAATTTCCGATATTTCCTGTGTAATAATCGAATCTCGATTTATCCGAAGAAATTTGTCAGAATTACGTGAATATCACGTGGTGGTATAAATCAAACAAGGAACCTGATATGTCTTTGCCAAGTGCACAAACCGCGATTGCGCCAATATGAGCTCCTTGCGTTATAAAAACCTTCGAAGGCACACAGGATTATTCCATGATGTGCAAGCACTTAAAGACGCAGCAAAGACTAAATAAACATAAATTGATAAATCGGTATCTTCGTCTCCGAGATACAGGTTTCAATTCATTGCGCAGTTTCTCATTTGCAAAAGATTAATTTAAATTGCGAATTGTGCAATGTAAATGATAATAACACGACATATTGTAAGTGAATGTTTGCATTTTCACTTCTGCACAGGAATAGAATACACAATTTGGCGAGAGATTTTCTTTCGACGGGTTATACGCTGGCATGACTCCAAGTTAAACAAGCAAATAAAGCATTAGAATGGCCCGCGTTGGACTGCGTTATAATAGATTACAATCTGCGATCCGTTATAATTCATCAACTGCAATGAAACCAACTTAATTAATTTATGCGAAAACGTTCGCTTGCAAACGACAGTAAATACCATAATCCATCGTTTCTAGAAAGAGTCGTGAAATTTTCTGCACAACACAGTAGATGTCCCACTGATTTTCTCAGTTGCTTCTGGGAAGCTTGACAGAGACGGTAACTTAAGCAGACGATGTAGAAGCAACGTGACTCGTCTGACTAAATATAAAATATGTTTATCTTAACGTCGAAATACAACGGTCTCGAAATTCAGAGGTGAATTTAAATAACACAGATCAATGAAATTACCATAAATAAAAAAGATTTTATTACATGTATTCATTCACTCGTGAAAACAGTCGCAGAGCCTCGCACAAATATCTGATTCGACGATTTGAATGATCACCATCATGAGTTTCACGCGGCGTATGTTTTATTGTGATCCAGTTGATAACAGCGCTAACAACGCGCTCGTTGCACCCACAGAGAATATATAATTCACAGCTGGTGTGAATGTCTTCAGAATGTAGAAGGAAGATACGATTACAAGGGCTAAAAATAACGCGTTATTGTAGAAGATTGAGAACGTCGTCGCTTCGTAATCGGCCACCTCGTTTTTCTTCCACAAAATCCTGAAAATTTCATACATGTATTTCAATTGCACATGTATATAAGTTCAATGCATTTCGAGTTCAGTTAACATTTACCTTTCGTCCTTTTCTTTCTTGCTCATCTTCTTATCTTCGGCCAACTTTCTGCTCATTTCCCTCGTTACCGCGTCTTCCCTTTTCACTGCAATCTATGAAAGAATATCAAATCAGTAACTTTAACAACAATGTGCGAGTAAGGTTCAGATAATAATATACAAATACCTTGTGTTTCAGCACGAATTTTGTATTTTTGTACGCCAGAGCGAGGGCGTATGTACTTGCCAGTGTGACCAGAACGAAGGAAATTAAATTAGCGTAGATGTCTATCAAGTGAATTCTCCAGAAGAGCCCTACAACGCAAACATAGAGGTTATGTTAAGAAAAGCCGTAATTTCTGTGTAATTGCTTACTCCTCCGCGTAGTCATAATACAAACACTTGCTAAAATTCGACGTGGAATTTACAAACAACGAGAGGATAATCGATCGAATTATATTTATGAATATTTCAGGGAACGTTTCTGCACTCACAGATGGGTATCGCCGAAACGATGAACGCGTTGCCATAAAATAAAGCCGAAGATTTCGTTGATACGTTCCGCGAGAAGTCTTGAAGAAGAAGCTCTTCCTCTTTAGTAAATGCTTTCGATTTCCCCGACATCGTTCTTCGTGCTCGGTTACGCTCAATTTTCTTCAAAACAAGTGTCAGACAACGTCCGCGAAAATCGAAAATCTTGCTACCACATTGACACGCATGCGCACAAGCTGTTTGTGAGGATTCACGTGTGACAACGTGTCCACGGAAACGTCACATTTTCATTACAATACAAACTCTGCCACCTGAAATACTATTCCGCAAGTTTTTTATCACGCCTCAGTCGAGAACGAAGAAACCTACACAAACCGCAGAGATATTTTTTAAAATTTATAGAGAAAATTCGTATATCATTTACCTTGTCTGTGAAAACAGGACGGATTTACTTAGCTCAGCAATTTATATATCTGTAGAATTATTCAATTTGATAACTATCTTCTTTTTCAAGTAATATACGAGATTGTTAATATATAGGGTGTTCAGATGGCCTCAATTGGACTAAGCCAACAGAAGATAAATTTCACTAGACAAAATCACACGGCGTGTTTCACAGGTGGAAAGAAAGATGGCGCTTCAAAGGTTCCTCCCACCTTGTTGTTTTATAAATAAAATTTTTTTTAAACTCAATCTTTGAGGCTAACAGAGATATTTAAAGTTTTCAAATACGACACCCTGTACAACGAAACAATATTATCAGTGAATTGCCATTGGCCGAATATTTTTGTGTACTGTCTAATGATTGGTTCTCGTACATCGAGTTTCCTGATTGGCCGCGTTCGGGCAAATTCAAGTTCAAATAAATGCAGCAGATGTTATTTGACCGTTGGAGGCTGTGGTGTAAAATAGTCGTTTGTTCTCGTTCTGTGACGGTATTACGATTCGTTTGATTCTCATTGTACATAAATATCACCATAAAAAACATGTACTCTCATGTTAAATAATATTGTTATGAAACTATTAGGTAATTCAACGGTAAACAAATAGTTGATAGACGTGCTACTGCGAGGGATTTGATTGTGTTATTTTGTGATAGTTCGCAAACGAGGTTTGTTTTATTAGATTAGTTGCTTATGTTCGTTCGTATAAAGAGATTTTTTATCACGAACAAGCGTATTTTACACTTCGTACGATTTGGTAACAATATTATTGAATAGAGCGTGGTTTGACGAAGCATGAACAGGTAGAAGAGGAATAGTCTAATAATAATAATAACTAAATACAGCCGAAAGTTTTCGTTTTTGCATGTATGAATTTCGAAGCATGTAATTTAATTCTGTCACCGGTCTATTGATCTTAATGAGTGATCTTAATGTTTAGATGCAGTCACGGTTGCCAAAGCCGAAAATCAATTTGTCAAGTGTAATCAATAACACGGTAAACCCTAGCTTGGAGAAGAACGACCAGAACATGACAAAGAATCAAAATGACCCGACGCCTCATGGAAGTTCCAACGGCGTTTCTAAAAAATTGGAGAAGGCTCAAAGCACGATGAATATCACAAAGTGTACAAATGAAAATAAAGCTCCATCGGCCAAGCAAACTTTTACCAGATCAAAGACCATGTCTTCCATTAGTACTAAGGCCTTAAAGAGACCAGCCATTGCTCCCATTGCAAATGTAGAAACCAAGAAACCAACTTTTGCCAAACCACCTATTAAAACAACAATTACACAACGAACTGGTGCTACATTGAGAAATAACGTTACCAACAAATCTAGTCAGAACACTGTGGCGCAAAAGGTACAAAGTACTAATGTCACCAAACCTTCAAAGTGGGACTTGAGGGGACAATTGGCCCACAAGAGTGACGAATTATCTAACGTACGACAAAAGTACAAGGAAACCAAAGCAGAAAACGATGAACTTCAAGAGGAGGTCAACACGTTGAAAGCAAATGAAAATGTTTATAAACTGAAGGCAGAGGAATATGAAAATCTGAATAAGACATTGGACAATGAGCTGAAAGAGTTAAAAGTAGAAATGAATAAATTGCAGGAAGAGAAAGAAAGTTTGACAGAATGTCTAAAAGAATCAGAGAAATCGTATAAAAATGTTTCAGATATGTTGGCAGACATTCGACAAAGATGCTCCAGTCAAGAGTTGCTACTGTCCAAGCACGAATTGGTAATAGAAGATTTAAAAGCTAGTTTAGAAATTGAGAGGAAGATGAATAAGGAGTTGAGCGCAGTTAAAAGTGATTTACAAACATTGGTTCACACAATGGACAAAGATCGTAGAGTTCTCCATAATGCAATACAAGAATTGAAAGGAAATATCAGGGTATTTTGCAGAGTTCGTCCTAGGACTCCAAACGAACTTGGAAAAGTGTATGTATATATGAATTATACGCAATGTTAAACACAATATATTTTCTTAAAGATATTTTTTATCTTCTCCAGGATGTGTAATATGAATTTCGTGGATGAATGTACTATTGAAGTGGGAAAATTTGATGGATCTGATTCAGTTAGTTGTAGTGGAAGGCTAAGGGCAACTAAGCAAGAATTTTCTTTTGACAAGGTTTTCCCACCAACTGCTAGTCAGGCAGATATTTTTGAAGAATTAGCCATGTTAGTTCAGTCTGCCTTAGAAGGATATAACGTCTGTGTGTTTGCATATGGCCAGACTGGTTCTGGTAAAACGTATACCATGGAAGGTTTACCAGGCCTTGAAAAGGAAGGCATGATACCTAGAACAGTATGTACTGTTATATGTACATATATTATTTATTGCTTATAATCTAAAACAACGTGCTTTTCTCTTAATGATTCAGGTGAGACACATATTCCGAGAAATGAAAGAATTTCAATTGCTTGGCTGGGAATATCGAATAGAAGCAAGTTTTCTTGAGATTTACAACGAGCATATTGTCGACTTGCTCGATTCTCAACCAAAAACTCATGAAATTAGAATGGCTGATAGTAAGGGACACGATTTGTATGTCAGTAATCTCAGAGTAGAGGAAATTAATAGTCCTGAAGAACTGCACGAGTGTCTTTTAACAGCACAACGTAATAGAGCAGTTGCGGCTACTCTGTCAAACGAACGGTAAATTTTTTATCCCAGAAGTAGAAATAAAATAGGTTCAGACATAAATGTGAAACATAATTTTTTCAGCTCGTCAAGATCACATTCAGTAGCAAGAATAAAACTTATAGGAACACATCAATCAAAAGAAGAGGTTTCGGTAGGAAATCTGAACTTAGTTGACTTAGCGGGATCTGAAAGATTGAAAGGAGAAGAATCGTTACGATTGACAGAGACAAAAAATATTAATAAATCGCTGGCAAATTTAGGCAATGTTATTCTGGCTCTTTTAAAAAAGCAGGAACACATTCCGTATAGAAATTCGAAGCTTACTCATTTATTAATGCCGTCTTTAGGTGGCAATTCAAAGACTTTAATGTTACTGAACGTATCTCCTTTAGACGAATGTTATAACGAAACATTAAATTCATTAAGATTTGCTAGCAATGTGAACAATTGCAAACCAGGTAATGCAAAAAGAACGCGATTAGTTTTACAAAATAGCGCATGAAGTTTTAACAAATAATATTTTTATTACACTTTAAGATTACAATTTCATATCCTTTTTAACATTGCTTAGACTAGTTTAAATATCAAATCCGTCGTGTCATTTCTTTATTTTTTAAATCGTATCGAAAAACTGTAAATAGTTTAATATAAAATATATTTGTAATACTGCGATGTTGCGTATATTCTTTTTAACTAATTTAATTTGAATTTACGTTCGGAACTGTTAAACTTTTTAAAAGATATTTTATATAACGAAAAAAAAAAAAGAGAGAAGCAATTCCCAAACTACTATGTGTGTTCATAACACTTTCCATGAAAATTATTTTCATGGATAAATTTTTTATAAATATCAATTGTACATCATGTTAGAATAGTAAACAGTTTAAAAAATATAAAATTATTAGCATAAAGATTTCTGCCTCTTTTATGGTATATTCGTATTATAAAAGTTCGAAATAAAAGCATTCGTACAAATAAGAATATTTTATTCAAAACGATTATTTATTAGTCGTTTGATCGTGATGATTTGCAAGTTGATTTTATACGAATCATATAACTTGCCGACACTTCTAACATGCATGGATAAAAAAGTTCAGATTTTGTAAGATTTGCCAGAAATTTTTTAAATTCCGGAGAGGAGCTAATAATACCTCTTTTTATGACTTTTTTTGGTAAAATTCTATCATTCCTTTCATACTCGTTCGAAATTTCCAAATTATTTTCTACGTGCACGGGATCTTGACGTGCGAAGTATTTCGTCAACAAATGATTTTTTAATCGATGATTATTGAAATATCGATAAAGTTCACAGTTATTGAAAAGTAACAACGTACGACTAGTAAAAATAATTTCACTTTGAATAACATTCATGTCCAATGTATTTTTATTTCTGTTCATCATCAAATCCCATTTATCTTCATCATTGCAACTCAATTCTGTTTGTACGTATTTTGTACTAGTCGTAGAGTTTGGTATTAATTTATACTCCAACATGGCAGAGTCCTTTCTGTTCGAATCACTTTTATTATAAATACTTTTCTTACGTTTTGCGAAAGTTGTGAAATAAAAGTTGCATATCCTGTGGAAATTTGTTCAAATTAAAAACATACGTAATCACTCGTCCTTCGCGAATTTTTTACTTACGTGTTATTGCATATTTTTATCACTTTCCTGAAGGATCCGTACGAACGTGCGAAAAACATTACAAAAGACACAGACACAAAGCCATAAATATACTGCAGCACAGTTTTTAACATTATTATCACGTTACAGAAAGTGTGATTTGTTCTCGTAACGTCCAACATTTCTTCTATAGTCTTCGCTTCTGTCGAAATATCATGCAAAACTTCGAAATCTGAATCTCACAAATAAATAAAACAACGTAGCTGAATCGTTGCATTGATTAAAAGTAAATTCATTGCACGAAATGTTTACCTTGCTGCTTTGCAATGATTGAATGATATACGTTACTTGTGCACAGAGCTATCCATAATCCAAATCCCCAAAGGAATAAGATATTCCACGATATGTAATGCGATACTTTTTGCTGAAGCAGCTTTAAGTAACAATGATACATCGCACAAATACGATATGGTGTTAAAAGTATCTACATTTTTTGTTAGTAGATAAATGCCCGCTACTATTATGTTGCATTGTGTCCTTTATTTTCTAATCCGTCGCCTCTCAAAACAAGGTCGTAAATATCTGTTTCAAAATAAATTTTGTATAATAAATCGAAAGATTACACATACATGTGAATAAAAAAATAAGACTATCTATAATGTAAGACGAACGAATATAACAGTTTCACGTTTATCGTTTGCTATATCACCTACTTAAATGTCAGTAATTTAGATATCCACAAAAAAGGTTGAAATTGATATTATGAATAATATTTTTAGGGTCTTAATTAAAATTTGGAATGTACAACATCTCAACGCGTCTTGATGCCCTGAATAGACAACTGTCGGTTATTACCAAATTGCAAAAAATGGAAGAAGAATGTGGCGTGTCTACATGTAAAAAAGTAAATATAACACAGCACAGCAGTAAGTTGATTCAGGAAATAGTAATAATGTAAGAAAAATTAATATTTCATTATAGTGTAATGTGTACAATAACATTGGCAAATATTGTCACTGTGCCCACAAAATTTTTTCTTTAAAAGAGCAATGCAGTAGATACAACTATACTGAAGAGTGTGTATCGCACGACAGTATTAAAAAGAAAATACCATGTAATGCAGTAACATGCAAAACACGCAGAAAACTACATTTCCATAAAAAGGCTTCTCCAACCGAAGGTTGGCATCAATATCATTAATCAATGAAAAAACAACAGCATATTACCGGCTGCATTATTAATGCAAAATTGTTTAATTAGTTCAAACACATTTGAGAAGTGAAGTCAATACGAAAAGTGATACAATTGGTAAGGAATTGGAAGAGCCAGAGAAGCAAAGTAAATCCGACCAAGCGAACTTAACTTCGTTTTACAAAATGTATACTCAAGACAAAACAATTGATACGTATGAAGAAAAAGGGGAGCAGACTATTCCAACGAAAGACAATTTTTGCATTGAGTCAAGTGTAAACAGCCTGGGCACAAATTATGTACAAAACGAGGTTGCAAAGCAGGGGAAATCCCAAATAGAAATGGATGAAAACGTTTCGAACGAATTGGGAAAAATTGATTCTATTGTGGAAGACATTTGCGTCAAAGACAAGAAAATTTTTGAGAGAATACAGAAGGTTCTATTTAAAACGATTATTTCTCGTGTATTTAAATTCATATAATACGTAATTTGTAGGATCTCTTAAATGAAAAAAGACGTACTAAAGAGCTTGAAAAAAAATTGAAATCTCTAACTTGCAGTTTAAATTGTCTGAAAGAGGACAGTGAACAGAAAGCAGCTTGCTTAAGAGACGCATTGGTAACGGCCGAGGAACAAAGGAAAGTTGCGATGGACTTGGTGAAACAGTCAAAGGATCAAGCAGATTTGGTTAAAACAGACAGGGATGAGTTGCTGAATAAAATTTCGGAATTACAAGTATATAATCGAGAAAAAAAGTGATGATAAACTTTTCCATAACAGTGAAACAATTACCTTTCCAGCAACAAATAGTAAAAGTTACACACAAAAATGCAGATCTGTTGCAAGAACGTGACAATTTAAAGAGAAAATTGGAAACTTTATCAGAGGATGAATCTAAAAGGTAATTTCACGTAGCTTTCAATATAAATTGATTCCCATTTCTTTAAAATGTAATCTAAGAATCACTTCAGAAATTAAATGCATGCTTCAATCGTACAAGGTGTGAAGAAGTTGAGAAAGAAGTGAATAGAATGAAACACGCATTGAAAGAAAAAGAAAACGCGTTGAATAAAGAGAGAGCAGAATTTATGGATATGATTTTGGAACTTACAAATGTAATTAATATACAAAAGAGACGAATATGTGAAATAACTGGTATATGTAACAATCAGCAACATAGCAAGCTCGAAAGAGACAAAGAATTATCTCGGAAGGTAAATTAAGTGAGAAGGAACGAATTGTAGTTTTATACTGATTTAAGTTTTGTTGGCAGAATATCGAGATATTAGAGATGAAAAACATGTTGCAATCAAGTGATTCCACTTTCAAAGAAATGGAAGAAAGAATACACCATTTGCAATATTGTCTATGCGAAGAGACAAAAAATTGTAACCAGCTGAAAGAGGAATTAGAAGCTCTCAGAGAAAATCATTTGTCGGAATTGAGAATAAAAGACAAAATTGTAGAGGAGCAAAATAAGACAATTTCAAAGCAAAAGAAGGTAAATTATTTTTATTGTGTTAAAATTGTTTGAATTTATTAAACTCTTAAATTTAAATTTAAATTTAAATTGTCATGAAAAATATCTATTTTTTTTTTTTTAGTTGTTGCACGACAGCGAGGAAATGGTTCAACAAGTTGCTTCTGAATTCAATGAACTTAAAGCTGAATTACACAAGGAGAAAGAAAGGAACGAATCTTTACGAACAACGCTGAACGAGACTGACAGTAAATTAAACAAGGTATACTTATCACAATGTGAAACGTGCAAAAGACTTACAGCTGAAATAGATTATTTGAAAAAGGAGAAAGAGAAGGCAATAATAGTTGCGAAATTTGCTTATCAAAAGTTGCATCTGTCTGTAAAAGAATATCAAAAAAGACTCATTTGTGAGAGACAACGACACAGGTATATGTCACTAATCATTGAAAAAAGAGAACACGAGATAGAATGTTTAAGGAATCAAATATGTCAAAATAACATGAGAGTTATTTGAAAAAGAAGTGACTATGTAGACAATTGAACTTAGTTGCAATTATTTGTGTAATTATGAAGTTTCCTTTAAAATATTCAACAGAGTTGCGTACGAATGAAGTATTTTTGTATATCACAACGCATATATTTTACTTGCAAATAAAGCGTAAATACAAATTTACATTGTAAACATATACAATATACTATACTCGATGAATACTACTAACTATCTAAGCTTTAATTTAGATATCCTTACTCTGATCTCAAGGAGTAACAGCTTAATGTTCCTCTTATACCACGCGATATTATAGTTAAAGTGCATTTGCCAGTTCTTGTCTAAAAATTCTTTGTAAAATACTGACATATCATCCGCGGTGATCGACGTCTTCCCCTGTGCTTTCAGGGTTTCCTGAAATTGACTGCGCTCCTACGTGCATTCAATAAATTAAAATTTTGAAACTTCCACACGACGTTACATAAGAATCGTGTCGCACCTTTTGGAAATTATTGTTGTGTTCCGTCCAGAAATTTTGATTCCAGAGCTGCGTGTCCTCCCTGGCCTCTCTGAATTTCTTTTCCAACCTGCTCTCATTCTCAGACCTTGCGAAAATAATCGGCCTCAAGTTCGAAACCGGATCCGGTGGTCCAATCAAGTCAACTTGCACGGGACTTTTTAGGTTAGGAGATACTTTCTAATCGGAATAAAAAAATAATGAATGATCACAGAATTGACAATAATTGAAGTTAATTAACGAACAAAGCACTTACAGCGCTGAACAGTCGGATCACATTGTTGCTCCATTGTTTCCTTTGAACGTAATTACATACTCGTGCCATTTCAGAGGTTCGTACATATTTCACGGAGGTTATTCTACTTTTGCTCATGCGTTTAATCTACATGTAATATGTACAATTTGTCCTGTATATAAGTTGACACAATGCAAGGAACAATAACAAACGCAAATATTGTTTACTCAACAAACAATGTTTTATTAATGTAAGCTCTTTTATAAATATAATCTAATAAATCTAATTCCATTATTTCATTTACTAGATATACACAAATAAAATTCAATTACATTTTCATAATAGATTTTCCAGCATGGATCAATGATCTACATGCTTCGATTTCATACTCTTGAAACACTGGCACTGTTAGTTGCAAAAAAATCTTTCCTTCAAGCATGATTCATGTGACGAGATAAATTATTTAAAAAAAAAAAGATGAAAAGAATTCGAAAACACATCGGAAGTATATTGACAAGTAAAACTTCTTGTGCTAATCCTTTTAAAAACGAATTATGCTGTTGCCTGAATTACAGAAGATTCAATTTTTTTTCTTTTCTCGTAAAAAGATTTTTTTCTATATGCATAAGTTGTCGTCTCAGAAAACATATCCAGACCAACGTTTTTATTAATAAGTTGTTCAATTATCACATACGCGTAGATACATTTTCTGAAACATCGAACATTATCAACATTAATATTTACTGACTCGGTATTATCTTTTAAAAATGATGCTTAATTCAAAGACTTTAAATACGCTGCATCGAATAAATCGAGCTCGTTCGTTAAATAATTAGCCTTATTTCGTAAAACTTTAGCGCTACTAGTTGCTTCCTCTAATTTTCGTAGTGTACTTGCAATATTTTTTAGTTCGCTATCCATTTCAGACGTTGTTTCATCCACTAAATGGCAGAGACGTGCAAAAGTGCTAGACAGCTCTCTGCAGTCACAAATTACAAGTTAGATATTAGAATTAATTTTCTGAAGGTAAAAAACGAGATAAAACTTACTGTTGCACTTGATGGCTGCAATTCGCTGACGTGAGATCTACTATTAGTTTCAATTTCTTTGTAGCGTGAGCTACGTACTGATGTTTAAATTCACGTTCTTTCGCTTTATTAGTCCACGTTAATCGTTCGTAAAGATACAAAGCACCATATATAGCACCGGTCACCGCTATGAGCCTCCAACCAATTGTTTTTAACATCTTAAAGGAACAATTTCGATGAAATAAATTTTGCTTCCCAGTGAAACAAACATTTTTCACTGTCTATCATACTTACAAATCCAGCAACTATAAGTCCTCCCATTGTTCCTTGAGAAGTTATCGATGCTACCGCGATTTTAGTAGCCAACGACCAATCGTCCGACCTTGGTTGATGGTTTGAGGTAGTTGACATAAACTTCACAGAATCGACGCTCTCCGCTGGAGACATAATCGCTGGCGGTATCTACAAACACACGGATGAAATAACATTATTACAAACCTATTTTCTATTATTGAACAATATTTGTCTTACCTCTTGTGGATAATTAGTGATGGCCAATCTTTGTCCTTGTCTTCCCGCAAATCTGTTAATTATGGCTGTAATCCCCCAAGAGAATCGAAATTCCAAATCCTCATGAAAATCTGCGCATAAATTGTCACAATTTAATCTGTACAAAATTTCGAATGGCTCTCGTCTCGGTAAAATGTTCAGTGACATTTGTTTTTTATTCTCTGGCAGTAAGCTTGCCATGCGTTCTGTCATTTCTCTTTGAGAGTTTTCAATATTCAGTGCTAATGCGGTACTGAGTCTCGCTCTTAAATTAGAACCTAGAACGTAGAATTATAAAGTTAGAAATTTTATAAAACGATTATACAGCGAATAAATTTACGAACAACATTACCTAAACCATTTTCTACATGTGCATGAAGTTCCCGTTTATATACATTTAGAACTAGCGCGTCGGTATGGAACGGAACACTGAATTCATCAATAAGAACGGATAATCTACGAATTTCTTCGCTCAAAGCTTTCGACACTCTTTGCTCCACATCCTCTACCATGTGATGAATTTTGTCCTTCATTTCTTGAGTCAGCAACATTAACTGTTGTTCCGTGTAATTTAACTTGTCATGGACTTCTTTTTTAATGTGCAGTTGTTCACTTTTCATTTTTTGCGTCCTGTCCAATATCTCATCTAGAGTTTGTCGTATTTCCCTGAAGAGCGTACATTTCATTTCATTTTATTTTATACGTTGAAGAATAAATATTTGGAATGTCTCAAACAAGTGATAAATTACTCACGTAGCGATATGTTTTCCACGTTGAGAGTGCTGTTCGAATTTCGTTTTCACAGCAGACTTTGAGATACATTCTTCAAATTTTCGTTCGAAATCTTGAAATTCGAAATATCGAGTTTGAAATCCTTCTGCTAACGCACCATCTACAAGAAGATTTACAATTATTGAGAACAAATCGTTCACACAAGTTATAGATACAGAATTTAAGCATCATACTATGAGAAGGTTGTCCACGTTGTTCTTGCAAACGTGCTTGCAGCGTTTCTTTCGCTGAAACGAAGAAAACTCGTTCTTCGGCATCTTTGGGCGTGTAAACTTTTAATTCTCTTGACAAAAAGTCGACGGCTCGTTCTTGATGCTGTGCCCTCACCTACGCAAATGTAAATTGTAAATAAACATAAGCTAGATTTGCAAATAGCAAAATAAAAAAACAAGAAGCGTGTAGTTAAATTTCCGTTGTATATTATAAACAATAGAACTGATGCAACTTATTGCACTGTCAACAGAAAATTCTACTCGAGTTCATTTCAATGAGTATTTTTCCATGCTGCAACATTTGTGCACACTGTCTCTATTGTTCAGTGCATCGTTGACTGCGATTATAATTAAAAACACATGTGAAAAGAATTAAAAAATATAAGTTTCACTATATGTAAAATTTACATAATAAGATAACTTACCTCCTTTTGCTCTTTGACCAGCTAGGGGATAAATGGGGGTATTACGTAAATTATTTAAGTAAAGCTGCCACTGCATACAGCTACATATTAATGAATTCGTGCTTCACACATATATATCTTGAATATACTAATATTAAACCGTTTATGTGCAAACAGATTTATAAACAATATGTAGTACCAGCTTTAATACAAAGAAAATCGAAATTTTTTTTATACATAAAATTCAATTCACTTTCAATAAAGAATATCGTTTTTAATAAATTTCTTTACAGTGCTATTATTCAACTTCTATATATATATATCTATTTCTATAATTTTATATAGCACATACCTGTTCGAAAAATTCTGGTTCCGAAGCAGATGCATCCCATCTGTTATTCAAAATGAAGATATTTGGCTTAGACAATTTTGTAGACACTTTGTGAAAAAAGTTCTTCTCCTGTAATTGTATTGTCATGAGTATGTACAATTCAAAATGATATAGTATAAAACACAACAGAAGTTAATACATACTGTCACCATTAAAGTAGATTCAGCATTAGCTACTAACACAAAAACATCTGCATCCAAGCAATGTTTGTCAATCCATTCATCCAGATTTGGTGTTACATCGACTCCAGGACTATCAACAAATACTACATCGTCTCTTAATAATAAACATTTTTCCTTTGGCCAAAATATTCTGACTAGATGACTTTCACATAACTTTTCTTTACAGAGAGCGTGACCTAATTGGCCAACCGATTGAACAGGTTGTTTCTCAGTGGATCCTTCTGTGATCAAATAAGATTCACCATTATCCGAACCTTCAACTTGTAAGAAACAATTTGTGGTATGTCCTATCCCACTTGGCAAAATTTTATCACGTAACATTGCATTAATAACTGTACTCTTCCCATTGCTGGTTCTGTAATTTTTTGTAATATATGTAAAATTTGGATTGATGATCTTTAACAACAAATCCTAACTTATATACCTTCCAAAAAACGCAACTTTCATGTGATCTCTTTTAAGTACATCTCTAATTGCATGGACTTTATCAACATAGCTTTCAATTCTTTCTCCCTCCTCTGCTGTAACGATATTACGTTCCGCTTGCAGCGCTACAAAGTAATATCAACAAAAATACTTAATATGTGATTTCATTTACAATTGTTACATATCTCAAAGGAAAAAAAGAATTACTTACATTTCATGAATCCCACAGTGTCCTGTACATAGTCCTCTATTTCCACAAATATGTCATTGATCTTTTTCTTCGCTTTAACGAAAATCTGAAGTGGAGAATTATCAGTTCGTATATCTGTTGACCTTAAATGGCTGTCTCCCGCAATCATAGACACTGTACGATTGATGTAGGCAGCCATAATTTCTTATTTATTGTGCGTGTAACGCGTTTGGCAAAGTAATAAAAAATACAGTGCAATATTTTAGGCAGGACGATGATGAAGTGCACGGCATGCAGGATCAACTGAAATCATAAAAAAAAGCAATAATTAAATACCTTCTAAGAACAATCTCTATCTAGAAGATTAATAATATACATTTTATGAACAGCATATACAATCATAGGGCGCTCAATGAATATATATTAATGAATTAATGAATATATAATAACAACACATATATTAAGCAATACTGTAATATTCACTTGTTTATTTAAATATGGAAACTAAATTGAAAAAAGGGAGAAATGATATATATAGTGTAACACAACAAAATTTCAGTATATCAAGACAATACAACATATCAAAATATTGCACATTTTGTCACTAAGATGTGTAATGTTCCGAATAAGATAAATGTTTGCGTTCTAAATTTTCTGAACATTTCTGTGTAACGTATATACATAGTGTTAATTGCATGAAATATGACACACAGTAAGCACTATAAGACATTTTAATGTATATATATATATATATATATATGACAAAAAACCTTCTTGTCTTTAGTCATTGAAGTGTCCTTTGTTTCAATATAAATGAGATGCGCGTTTCAATCCGTCCAGTTATCAAATCAACGTCTCCAAATCTTCTAGAACAGTTTATCAAGATTTTTCAAGTCCAGCATCAACGATTTATGCACATTCCAAAATACTCAAAGAAACAATCTCGATCGATTTTTTTGCGTGTCGGAATAAATGATACAACAAAGTATCTTGTTTTCACGTCGAATGAATTGCTCAAGTCGCCGCATATATCAGTCGTGATATTTATAAATTTTGACAATTTTGAAATATATTATACGTTTTGTACAAAATTATTGCAATAGAACTTTCTACGCTTTTAACATTTCACACTACAAATAAAAATACACGCCTCAATGAAGCAATAAGTATCTCCTAATCGTCGCTCAAAACTTTCTATTTAAAGAAAATAAAAACTTGTTAATGAAAAAATTGAAAATATAATTTTAGATCGTTCGGCCAAAATCTAACCTAAAATGGAGTTTCGTTTTGGGCTAAAGAAATTGGTCATCTTACCGTTAATGGTTTACGAATCCTCTAGAGATATCATATTTCTAGTTAAATATGATTTTAATCGTGCGTAAAACAGTGAACAACATTTCGAGGGTGCAAAATATTTGACGAATTAACGAGATCGAAGTACATTAAAATAGGCTCACATGTGAATTGAGTGGTGGTAACAAACACGTGACACTCTGAAGAATCGAGAACTTATTTTTATACGCTGTTTCTAGTTTCCTTGAAACTGCTTACTATTTATCGGCAATGTCAAGTACTTTACACTGATCGAGATTCGATTGTGTATAATTTTATACTATTTTGAAAATTTAATTTTCATCAAAATCATCGTAATGTCGCGAGCTGTGTTGGTAATTTTGAATAACGCGCCACTAGAGAATTATTAATATCGATAAAACTGCGGTGTTACTTTTACAAAATGTAAAAGAATAATAATCTAAATGTTCTCGAGAATGTAATACATATCTAAAATTAATTTTTGGTAAGAATATTTTTATATTACACTTTTCATATTACATTTGTACATGTTATGTTAAATGCTATTTTTATTTTTACGCATTATTTCTAATTTCCATAAATGTGCTTACAATTCATCGGCAACGTTAAATACTTTACACTGATTAAAATTCGATTATATACAATTTTGTATAATTTTAAAAATTTTATTTTCATGGAAATCATCGTAATGCATCGCGAGCTGATATCGACAAATTTGAATAACCCGCCACGAGAGAATTATTAACGTTGTATTTATTTAGGACAAAACTATCATGCAAAATAAAAGAAATAGTCTTGTAAAATAAAAGAATAATAATCTAAATATTCTCGAGAATGCATTACGTGTCTAAAATTAATTTTTGGCGAGAACATTTTTTTTCTTTGTATTACACTTGTGACCTGCATCCGGTGCATAGCGGACATAGTTGTATTTCGTCCTCTGTGCACGAGGTACGTCGTCACGAAGAAGATAGCAGTTACTTTTTAACAACAAGCGATCAGAATCAAATCCGACGTTACAGGAATACTATTTTCTGAAGTGATAACATGCCCAACAGAACTGTACATTCCATTAAAGTCCCAAGACTTTATAAAACTGCTGCCAAGATCGTACAGGAGGTTCGTGAGAAACATGGCAGTCTGAAAACGTTGATCTACGAAGGAAAACACCCTGTAAGTTACATTCAAATATATTAAGAAACCACAAAAAAAAAAATTTGAAATTAATTGAATGATTTAATTTATGATTAAATTTATTAAATTTGTCTTCGATTTCTCCCGATCTCGTGATCACATTCGGCGTTCGGCACGGTACATATTTATATCGTTGTCAATTAACGACATTGCCTTTTTTCATTCGACAATATAGAACGTATCTGGGATATATGCTTTGTGCTACAAAACACTGGCTAAAGAAACACAGTTAACCTACCTTTTGAACAAAATTAAAATATTGATAAACGAGCCAGGTCTGGATCCGTGGTTAGCGAGGATTTTGGTAACGGAGTTACTTTGGGGCAAGAAAACCTTGAAGTCTGAATGTAAACCAATTCAAACCGTGCTCGCGTACGAACAAAAGCTTCGGGAGTTGAGCAATATTGATGACGTTGAGCGTCCTCGCAAAACAGGTAAAACATGTTTCATCACTTATCAATGAATGCGTATTATGTTTACAGAAATGAGCCGTACAGGGAAATTAATAACCGCATCCGATAATCGAGTCTAAGATACGTTAAGCTAACTTGTTCGTTAAGAGAGTTACACATCTGGATTAATGGTTCTGATCATCCGTAACAACCGTATACTTACAAGCCGGCATTCTAGAATTAAAAGACTTTTCTCTTGTATGCGTAAAGATCAGCAGAAAGTGAATCAGAAAGAAAGTTCTCCCGATCAGAATAAAGATCAAGGAGCAATTATGACTTTTGTGGCTGTGTTGGGGAAATTGTTTATATACAGTATGGCTATGTTTACATTGCCATTCGTTGCATTTTTCGGGGTACAACATATTATGAAGGTTGAATTTCATGTAGATAGATTCGTGACGAATTGCATTTCTGTGTTTGCTGCTGTAATTACAGTGAATTTAATAATAGCTTATTATGTCTATCAGGCGCTTCACGAGCCCGATAATACTAACGATCAGCCTTCTGCAGATGATCTAAATGACAAAATTGATTAGATATTAAAGGAGATGTGTTTATATTGCATATATATACAAATACCTAATATACATTCATAACGTATTAATATATTTGATATTTGTAATAATTATATACAGTATATATTTAGTATATATATATATTTTTTATGATTATTGTATGTATATGATAATGCCAGTATTAAATACAGCACTGTGTATTTAACAATAAATAATTTGGCCAAGAAGAGCATGAGTTTTACTTTATATTCGTCGATCATTTACCTTCGTATAATTGCTAAAAAATGATCTTAAATTTTTTTCAGTAAAAAAACCGAGATATGTTCGTATCAACACATTATTACTGCCACTAGAAAAAGGGATATCTTATTTTCAAGAAGAAGGATGGCATATCATGCCGAAATGTTCAAATTATATAGAATATTTAGACGCAGTAAAGAAATTAAAACAACCGAACTTCATTCAAGATTTTCATATTCCTGAATTACTTGTTTTTCCAAGTAACACAATTTTTTACAAACATTCTAAGTACCAGAGTGGAGAAATTGTTTTACAAGACAAGGTAATTTTGGCGCGAATTGATTAATGTCTGTCACTATTTTAATTTCAATTTATAATTTTATGCCTTCAGGCCAGCTGTCTTTCGTCATATTTATTGAATCCAACACGAGGATCCGTGGTACTTGATATGTGCGCTGCTCCTGGAATGAAAACATCTCATTTAGCTGCAATAATGGAGAATACAGGGTAAGATTCTGCTATCCATTAGCTCTTATTTATTAAATAATATTTCTACAATTTAATTTCACGTGATGTTTCTAGGAAAATTTGCGCAGTGGAAGTTAATGAATTTAGATACCAAATGTTGTGTAAAACAATTAAGCTAACAGGTGCCTCTTGCGTTGAAACTGTCCATAAAGATGCGTTAACTTTGAAATCAGATGAATACCCAAATGTGGAGTATATTTTAGTTGATCCAACATGTTCTGGTTCAGGTAGACTACTGCTTCACGACTATAAGAGAGTAAGAATATTTCATCGTGATTTCAATGAATTCTTTTGTCATAGGTATGTTGGACAGACAGAAATTGTTTGGCAAAGAGAAATATGACCCGATACGCCTGAAAAAACTACAAGCTTTCCAAGTTTTGATGTTACGACATGCCTTGTTAAATTTCCCGAACGTAAAAAAAGTCGTTTACAGCACTTGCTCTACTTGTCCAGAAGAAAACGAGCAGGTGGTGAGTGAAATTCTCGAGAATGTGCAGAACGCGTATAAGCTTCTTCCTGCGAAAGAGTTGCTAAATGGTAACTGGCTGAACTTCAGTTCGAAAATATACAATTGCTCAGACAAATGTCTTTACATCAAATCCAACGTGGATCTGTGCAATGACTTCTTCATTGCTGTATTTGAACGAGATTTCGATGTTCCATTGCCCAAATACAAAGAGAAGAAACCACGACAACAGGTTGCTTCAAACAACCAGGGAAAAAAACAGATAGATGTTTTACACGCTGAGAATGCAAATACAACACGGAAACTCAAGAAGCTTGGTAAAAGGAAGAAAACGAATGAAGAAACTTTTCAGAATGGAGAAACTTCTCAGAATGAAGAAACGAAGGATAATATTCTCATTGACAGTGTTTTGAATGCTTCTTCCGATTCGATCGAGTTTATCCAAGAAGTGAAAAATGACAGCGATGATAATACGTCTCAAAATAACGATTCTGTCGACATTGAGCCAGTAATTAAAAAGCGGAAAAAGAAAATTAGTTCAATGATGATGAAACTGCCTCGTAATAGATTTCGACTGTCCCAGCATAAAGAACTTAGGTCACAAAAGAAGAAAAGGAAAATCGTCTAAATATGTAATTGTTGCTGAATGTTTCTTTATAGTTGTTGAAATTTTTTGTACTGGACTTGCGAACCTGTATATACTAACGAATTAAAGAAAGAAACAGAAATAATATATAATATGTATTTCTTTTTCTTCCTTATTCAATTTCCTTTTTATCCGCGTGATACCCTTTCAGTTATTTTTACCGCCATCTACGATAAGATCAATGACTTTTTATCGCGGCGGTGTCGCAGCACGAAATCCAAAGCACGCATCACGTAACCGATCTCGCAGAGTTGTCCTTCGGGCCAAAACCTGTTAGAAAATTTCACAGTGATACAGTGGAAAGAAATAAACAGAGTAATCAAATTAAACGAGACCATGAAATTATGTATCAGATTCTGTTACTTTTTCTTTCCCTTTGATTTCACTCGATTCTTCCTTCGCTCGATGTACGTTCTTTCGTGAAAAAGAACGATAGGTTAAAAAATTAGTTGATAAATGCCACGTATTCGTGCTTGCTCGTGCTCAATTTAACGTCGTTATTTCTCTCTCATGATTCAAGAACACGAGAAATCGTTCGTTCCGAATATGAAATTCGTTCGAATAATCATCCTAAATCTGAATCTCGGGGGGGGGGGGGGGGGGGGGGATATTGTTAAAACATTCCTGATAATCCTTATGATGTACATGATGTTTCCTCGATGAGCGATGAAAAATACGCTCTAGCCACGTACCACCCTTATCTTGCCGGTCTTGGAACCAAATGCATTCCGTATGAACGCTCTCCAGTGCCTTGTCGCGTTGACCTACAAGGTCTTTGAATGCCGTTCGATAACGATCTTTTGATAAACCAACCTCTTATGAATTCTGGTGATATTTGATGATAATATGGTCATGGTAATCGCGTTACGTATAGCGCAACCGTACCGACTGCGTCATTAATTACGTATATGCATGCTAATGGCCTAATCTGGCATCTTTATAATTGCCTCTCAAATGCAAATATTACCTTGTACAGCGTGTACCATTGATTTGAATTTAATATTGTAAATTGTATCTAACAATATAAGTATACTAATAACTAATGTTGCAATAATATAACATAATATTATACAAATATTATATATAACTAATATTGTAATAATATAAATATATTAATAACTTATATAAGTATACTAATAACTCATAATATTGTAATAATGTAAGTATATTAATAACTAATATTATAATAATATAAGTACATTAATAACTGATATTGTAATAATTGTAATAGAATAAATATTATAGTAACTAATATTTGTAATAGAATAAATATATTAGTAACTAATATTGTGATAATATAAGTACATTAATAACTGATATTGTAATAGTATAAATATATTAGTGACTAATGTTGTGATAGTACAAGTATATTAATAACTAATATTGTAATAATATAAGTACACTAATAACTAATATTGGAACAATATAACTGATAACTAATATGGTAACTTGAATTTAATATTGCAGAAGCTTTGCGTTATCAGTGTCTGTTGTGTTTAGAAATTCGTGGATCGCAGCGAAACAAAGAGAAGCATGAGCAACGCTAATTAATGTGCCACACAATAGGCGTATGTCGTAAACGCGAGGAAGACAGCCGATGGCAGCAGGATAAGTAGAGGCCAGTCAACTGTAGGGTGAAAGCAACTTCGAGCAGGTAGCACACAGCGCAAAGACGATATCACTGTAACGATTGTTTCACTTTAACGCGTGTCACGTTTATAAACTGGTGCCAGGATTAATAGCTTTAACTCTTCCAGAATGGATATCAAGAATAAAAAAAAAAAAAGAAAAGAATACATCCATTAGAAAAAATATTACTGAAGGAAGACGCGCTACATTATTAATAAAATTCGTTAGTAGCTACATTGTTAGTAAGATAATTATAAATTAATAATGCGTGTCAATTAAGTGAGTATTGTTAGGTATCGTGATATTCGTCGAAAATTGTCCCGGGTTATCACTCGAACTTTATTTTTATTGCGAGTACTTCAGAACGTTTTGAGATTGTAAAGGAAGAAAAAGAAGGGAAAAAAAGGGAGCGATCAGGAACTGTTTTGGGGGCAATGGCACTTTCAGTTTTATTGCAAAGTCGATACAACGAAAAGAAACACGAGTTCGCCTAACCAACCGGGAAAAACTTTTGGATATCGCGTGAAACCATCGTTGACGCGTTTCTTTATTCCCTGGTGGACTAGAAAAAAAAAACTTTTCTCTTTCTCTAATGGCTCGCCCTCTAATCGGATATCGGTACTTCCGCGACACGAAACCCGTTGACCTGCTTGGCCCCCGTAGGCCCCCGGTTTGTTTTCAAGCGTGACAGCACAGAACTTAACCTCCGTTTCATATTTGTTTCGCAGCTCGACGATTTCGTGAAATATCAGATCCGAACGAGAAAAAAATGTTAAAAAAACAGTGCAATTAGGGAGAGAAACGAAAGGAAACGTCACACCAGTTTCACCTTTTTTTCTTTAACTTCTCTTGAATTCGTGATTAATAGCACGAGATGGAAAAAAAAAAGATTCCAGATTAGAGAAAAGAAAAACGTTTTAGCTTTTCAACTTTTAGCAACGTCTGCCCTCTCGTTCTTGTTTCTTCTGCCATTCGAATTCCATCCGAGAGCATACGAGTATTTCAAATAGTCGAAAGGGGAAATACTGAGATTCAGTATTCACCGAATCCTGCTGATTCACGCTTACTGTGATATACGAGCCGCTCGGCCGCTCGATTACTTAAGTGGTTGAGGAACGAATCTGGTCAGCCGCCTTCCGCGGCGAACACGCAAACCCTGCTCGAAGTATCGACTATTCCACTCTGTGGAGGGAATATTATAAAGATGACCACTGCGCTATAACAAATCGATTTCACGACTTGATATTGTTAAATAAACGCGAATATTAACAGATACAGTGTGTTTAACAAAAGCTTGCACGTCATTTATCTGAACCACATTTTCGACACAGATCGAAAGTACACTTAAAATATTACGCGCTCGATCATATCACACGTTCTATTCCGCGTGGGTATACGATCCACAATGAAGTTTCGAGCCATTTGGAAGCGAAGAATTTTTTAAAAATTTGTTACAAATGTATCGACATATTTGATCTTAATAACATGCCGCATTTATCCTATTCTCGTGGGGCGTGATCATTTTTTTTTTTTTGTGACTGTTTATAACTCAATTCGGTAAGAAGATGCTGTAAAATTTGTTACTGTTATATAAAATAACGTTAAAGTAAATATTATTTATTAGTATTTAGTATTATTGTATAGTATTAATTTATATTACATTATATAATTTAGAATATATAATTTTGTATAGTATTATGTAGTATTATATAATAAGTATATATTGTATAGTATTATATAATTTATATAATTATTACTATTTAATACTATTTATCACTATTTGGAATATAAACAGTAATAGAAATATTTAAAACAAAATGTTTCATTCCAAATTAATTTTGACATCATTAAAAAATTGTTTGTTAAAATAATACTTTAAAATTAAATTTATTGCTTTGTTCTACAACCGCATTTTAAACTCTAGACACTTTTCTTGATAATTATAGTTTTTGCACTATTATAAAAATTGTAAGAGATTTCAGAAGAAAAACTATTAATCGTAATAGCGTATACGCCCTACGCGGCCTAAACGGAAAGTAACTAAAAATCGGCCCAACACGGAACGTGTTAACAGTGTGTCCAACCTCCAACATTAGTGATTATTGTTTGGTTGCTTCCCATCAACTTATTTCAGCATACGAGACAGATAAGGATCTCCATATTTTTCAAGTTCGACAACATAGGATCTCCTAGGACTTATTAAGACACATGTCGTATCCAAGCAGTAATCGCTAGTGGTGGAGATTGAACACGCTATTAATCATGTACATAACAGTATTTTGGATGTACTTTCGATTCGTGCGAAACTTTTTACAAAACGAACATTTTGTCTACACCATATTTCTTCACGTCGAGCAAATGTTACATTCGATCGTCTGTCACAAAATCAAACCGAACCATGTTCGACGAACGATTTTCTAGTTGGAAATTTTTATGCAAAGAAGACGATCGAACGTGCGGCATTAACATTATCGCTTGTTTCGCGTTCGACCTTCGCGACAGCCCCCCCTCCCCTCCTCTCTCACCGCGCTGTATCTTGTACTCGTATCGTGCATTCTGCAATTCTTAAGGCTTCATGCGGCTAATCATCCTGGGCCACCAGGTCCGATAAGAACCCCGGTGTTCCTTGTTCGTAGAAATGCAAACTGCTTGTTTTGGGTTGTTGAAAAAAAAAAAAAATGATATCGATCATGTGATTTGAAACTGGAACGTGTTGACCAACATACACATCGTTTCGACTTCAGCTGCCAGCAAACTTCAGTTACCAGCATTATCAAAACGTCTCGTTTTATTGCCATTGTTGGCGATCTTCTCGATAGTGCTAGACCAGTGGTTCCCAATTTTTTCTTGACCACTCCCTCATGTAAGTAATTTCTGAACTCCTGATGCCCCACTCCTGTGACAAATGTAATTTTTATTATTCAAAAAGTGAATTTTTGACCTGCAGGAAGTGTAAAAGGTCATTAACTTGGTCTAAACAAGCTTTCAAAAGACAAGAACATTCATAAAAGAAAAAAATAAATGAACGAGAGTACCTTGAAGAAATCACTAAGAAATTGTAAAAAAAATAATAATAAAATGAAGTAATATGATATGATTGTTATAAAATAAAACAAAGGTACCTAACAAATTCAGGATACAATTTGAGCTCTTAAGGTGAAATGAAAAAAAAATTCACTGTTAATAACTCATTCACGAATTGCCCCCTTGTGGGGCAACGCTAGACTGTCGTCTATGATGTCGTTTCTCATTCGTTGCAGCGCACTTCGTGATTTAGATCTTCGGCCATTCGGCGCGGAACGTCTCATTTCGCGCTGCTAATTATTATCGAAGTTCCACTTGATCGAGCGTCCACTGCCTGTTATTACACGCAAAACTCGATCCGCGTTACACGGTACGAACGTTCTCTCGATTGAGGTTATAATTGTTCGGCGTATTAACGACGTTCCATACGTATTTACATACGTATGCAAATGCGCCACGCTTCTATGCGAAATTTTTGAACAATTTTTTTTAAACGAAACAGTCACGTTCCTCTTCTCAGAAATCGCAATCTTCTGCACGCAAAATACCTATATCCCTATAAGGACGCTCTCCTTGAGAATTTTCCAAAGTCCACTGCGATATTCTTACATATGTTTTTACGATGCATTGCCAAATGTCACGAATCCTCGCGAAACGAAGCCGATTGCGAATTCCTCTTTACTTCTGAAGAAAAATTTTTCCCCTTCCCCTCCCTCTTAAGTTTAACGCTCAACTACTCTCGTTTTCTGTTCCAAGTTAACACATTGTATGCTAGTAGAGGACGTGCTATGTTTTATAAGTAGTTATATAGACTATTTTTATAAGTAAAGATATAAGTAACTAATTTATAAGCAAAATACAAACTATTTTTATAAGTAAAGATATAAGTAACTAATTTATAAGCAAAATACAGACTATTTTTATAAGTAAAGATATAAGTAACTAATTTATAAGAAAAATATAGACTATTTTTATAAGTAAAATTATAAGTAACTAATTTATAAGCAACATATTTTTTTTATAGATTATTTTTATAAGTAAAAATGTAAGTAACTAATTTGTAAGCAACATATTTTTTTTATAGATTATTTTTATAAGTAAAGATATAAGTAACTAATTTATAAGCAAAATAGAGACTATTTTTATAAGTAAAGATATAAGTAACTAATTTATAAGCAAAATTTAGACTATTTTTATAAGTAAAAATATAAGTAACATCTATAAGTCTAAAATTTATAGATGTTTACAAACTTAACCAAGAAACAGCTTTCGATGACGAATACAATACCTTGGAAAAGAAAATTGTTTCTTAGAAAGTTGTAAAATACGGAATTCTAATGCTTACTTTAGAATGTGCTATCTTTTCTGGTGATATACAATGTGCTGATTCCCCCCTATTCTGCCATTCTGTTAACACTAGAACTACCACCGAACAAAACATAAAATTTCCATCAGAGATGTTAAAGTAAAAAAAAAAAAAACTTTACAAGCTCTTATTTATACATTTTACGAAAGATCATTTAAATCTCTCAAAACGCGCTGTTTTACGTCTGCAAGGTATCCAACAAGAGCTACAAATTGATCATTTCGATGGTTCTAGTGTTAAACATTTTCTTTGAATTTTCGACGATCATTGAATTTTCATTTCTCGTGGCCGAGGACAATATCTACGATCGGGCTTCTGTTTTTCCATCGATTTGCGAGAGCATAGGTGGACGACGATCGGGAACGCAGGGGACGAGGCTTGCGCGTAGCTTCCTGATTCGCGGTGCAACAAGTTCGGTGCTCGTTTCGCCGGCGTCGGTTCACTGACACGGGGCGTCGATGCCGGCAGGAGAACGTCGACGTGGACGACGACGACGGCGGCGCCGAGGTAGCGTGGTTCGCGGCTGTCCCTCGGAACTCGACACACTCGACGTCGGGACGCCATCGTCGAAGGACGCATGAATATGTATACGATCGCGGCTGCCCGGTGTTGTCTCGCGTCCGAAGAAGAGTGAGACTCGGTGGCGATGGACGATCAGTTTGACGCACATACCGGTGGCTCTTCCCTCTTTCTTGATCTTACGTGGTGAACTTGGTGAAATTACTATCATCATTATTATCATCCTCTTGGAGACGATGACTTCGTTCCTTTCCATTGTCCGTTGTTCCCTTGTTTACGAATTGTGACCAGAGAACATATTCGTGTTCGGTGAACAGGTACGGAAGACGTGGAGAAGAATGAACTGAAAGAAATCGATCGGCTTGGTGAATATCCGGCGGTGCGTAGGAATGAATGAGAGAAGGCTCTAATTGAAAAGGCCACACCTCCACTGGCTGGCTCACGACTGGGACTTTCACGCTGGCAAGCACACATGCACGAGTAAATCGATTTATGTTAATTTTGATGGTCACACTGCGTACACAGGCTGTCACGAAATTTCTGACTGATTTGTGCAATACAGGGAACACAGGGAAGCGTCAGGTTCTTGCTTCAATCAAGTTACATCGATCAGAACGCGAAGAATCCATTTTCGATTGGGGGTTCCTCCAGCCCCTCGCCGCGAGGCTATTGTGCAAAGTTCGTGACCTTAACTCCTCGAGGAGTTCGCCTTAGTGAGTGTTACGCAACGTAATTACGTGACATTAATCTTGAACCGCTTTGAGCCCTTAGAGTAACAGTAAACTATAGTGAAAGACACGTTCACCGAGCCGAGCTGGAACGCGGTTGCTCACGTGCTCGCTTGGGACTCGCGCGCGCGTCGTTTTAATTAAGATGAAGGGAGACGATCGATTGATCTGCAGTGAACTGCAGTTGTAAAATAAAAGTGCATTGTAAGCAGGGAGATCGATCGGGAATCCACCCCGGCAAATCACGCGACACGTGGACGTACGAAGGCCCTTTTGTCCTTTCCAGTCGCTGTTTCGCCGCGTGCCGCGAACGTACAGAAAAGAAAGAAA